AGGGGTGACAGGTGGGGCGAGTCCATTCAAATTTAAGGGGTGACAGGTGGGAAGAGTCCATTGTTTTCGAGGGGTGACAGGTGGGGAGAGTCCATTCAATTTTAAGGGGTGACAGGTGGGAAGAGTCCATTGTTTTCGAGGGGTGACAGGTGGGGAGAGTCCATTTAAGTTAAAGGGGTGGCAGGTGGGATGAGTCTATTACTTTTTGAGGGGTGACAGGTGGGGCCAATCAATTACATTTTTAGGGGTGATAAGTGAGACAAAGAATGTAAGAACATTTACTGCATAGGACTACTAGGAATTCAAAATTGGCTTACAAATATATGAAGGAATTGGAAATAATTTGAACATTATTTCGAATAGACCAAGTAAAATATATGCGAATAAATGATTTAAAAAAATAGGACTCGGGGGGCATTTGAGCAGTTCTATATCATCAAAATAAAAGGTCCAAATTCCTGGAACAGCCAATGTCATTTACAAAAAAGCAGCAAAATCTTTTTTTCACTTGATCATTTTATTCAGATTTGTAATTGTATTATATATACAAGTATTTAGATAGTCAAATTGGCGGTAGCAAAAGAACGTTCTATAAAAAAGCAATTAACTACATTATGAAAAGTGAGAAAATGATATTCCGGAGGATGGGCAAATTTGTTCTAAAGTACACTGAAAATATCATGACATGGAAAAATTTAGAAACAAAATTAAACTTCAAAAAGCTGGTTTGTAATTACACTTTATGTGTGTTTATGGAAATCATTTGGTTCACCTATAGCCTTGCAGCAGACTTTAGATTTTTAAGTACTCAAATACTATCGTTTTTTAATACAAGGTACGTTTGCAAAGCTTTTGAACCATTTCACTTTCAAATATTTTCATGTACCAAAGCAAATTGTCAAAGCAATACCAAGGGCAATATTTACAGATTATATTAGGTAGATTGAATTTGAAATGGCTAAAACAGTTATTATATTTATATCTTCATACTCCTTTTCTATCTATTACTATTATCATTATCATAACTTTTCATATAAAAATATAACAAGAAATCCCAGACAAATATATTTATTCAATTCTCATAAAATAAATGCCTGAATAGGCGTAGAGTTCCTGAATGTGAACCAAAGGTAAGGCTGCGAGCAGACGCATGTTGAACTGTACCTCGGTGGGTTTCTGAAATGAGAAAATTATTTTTAGCAATTTTTTATTTAATCTGAACGGCTCTTAAATTTTCAGCAATGAATGATAAATCACACGGGATAGAGTGATTTAAGCACGCGTTGGCTTGTCCAAAATATAGGCAAGCAGGAAATAAGTCGAGGTTGTCTTATGTTAAACATGATCCAAAATGAATGAATAATATTCTTAGAGAGCAGTCCTAGAATGCAGACGTCCAAGTTAATGGTAAATAATAATTATAATGATAATAATAAATATATAAAAATACGAGGAAAGCCAGATTCAGTCGAAATTGTAATAATGTCTTTCTCATCTGAATATCTCTGCGTCTTGAAATTTTCAACAAATATGCAGAAGACATTTAGAAATATTTTGCTTAAAAATCACATGAAAAGACAACCCATTTAATTTGCGGATCGTAATTACGCATACTATTGAATGTCATCGCTATGCATCACACCCTAGAAATTCAGGGCAGAATCCACCAAATAATTTCCCATTGACGACCATGGGCAGCAGACACATTGACATAACTCCCAATGGCACAAAGATTTACTGTTGAAAAGCTTCTTTTCTTACCGGCAGTACTTGATCACGGGGACCCCTCTTGTTTGTAAACAAACCACTGCACCGCTCAGGAGCTCCCTCCGCCAGAGGTCTCACGACTGCACGACACCCGTGTCTGGTCCTGAAAAAATATGCATAGTTTATATTAATTTGCCTGTTAATTGACACCAGAATTAACCCTAGCAAAATATCAGGAAAAATTGGAAAAAATCACTAATTTTTTTTCACAACACTACAATCGTGATTGGTCTATTTAGTGGAATCTGCCCTGAAGACAACGCTTTACATCCAAACCAAATACAGAGGTGCATTTCACATGCTGAAATGTCCAAAAATAAAATAAAATAATAAAAAGTTGTATTCAATTTTTTAAACATATATGTGAACAAAAATCCACCACTGTCTCAATTTTAATTTAATTTTTAATTTTTACTGTGTCTTTACATGTTAAATCAAATTTAACATTTAACAGCAACCAATACGTTCAAATATTCTACTAGAGGGGAATGTGAAAGAAAAAATCCCCTAGAGACATTGATTATTGAAAAAATGCATTTTAGCAATTAAATTGCAACGTGTGTTATTATCAAACAGACAAAATGGAGGGACATATCATGGTGGTACTTTTAACACTTTGCATTTATGTTTTAAAGTCCAAAAAATTGTAATTTTTGTAAATTTCTGAACATAAATAGTGTTCTCATACAAGAACATAAACATTTCTGCATCTGCTGCCCGATATACTGAAGATGCTGCTGAGATAGAAGTGTTAAAAAGCAGAATATAGGTTTTGAATATAGGGAAACTTTGTTCCCTTCATCTTTATGCAAAAGTGAGATCTGTTCAACAAATTAATGTCACGAATGCAAGTCATAGTTAACAAATAATTACAAAAATATTGCACATACTACTCACCTTAACTTTTAAAAAATCGGTAATATTAAGATTACAATCCAGATGAACAAATTTAGATAACAAAAATCGTTTAATATATCTACGTTCTTTTTATGCACAGTTTAACCAGTAGACTTGGGTTAGCCAAATCAGTTTTCAACTACATGTAGTTTTCGCAAATTGAGTCTTAAATGTGTGAACTTTATATACTCCGTTACACAAACAAAATCATCGATTGCGGTCTGTAAAAATGACACTTTTCACGCAACAAGACAGCAAGTTTCCAATCTTCAAAAGATGATGCAGATACGAGTTAAAGTAACCTCGCTATGAAGATAAAGGCTTGTGACTTTCACACGTGGGGATAGAATAATAGAAATTTGGAAACCCCAAAGGGGTTTCCAGATCGTAGTTTTCGAAACGGTTTTTGAATAAAGTAAACCTAAAGAGAAAATTGCTGAAATTTCCTGATTTTTTTTTTTTTTTTTTTTTTGCTTTGGTCTAACCCGGATTGGTTGCCTTCAAAGTTAAGAATTTAATTCCAGGAGCGAGCGAAAATATTGTAAATGCCAAGTGTCGAGTGAAATGCTCGCCATTTAGAAAAAAAAAATCTTAAAAATTTTAATCTTTCGTTAAAATTTTGCCAACTAAGCATTAAACCATTTTTAAAATGGATTGAATTGATTAAGTATTATTTGTAAGATCAAAACGTAAGACTGCTTCAGTGCGATTTATTTTTCTTCAAATATTTTAAAGGACGCGAAAAAGTAACAAATCAACAAATGTGCAAACTTACGTGAACAGAGTTTTCAAGGTTGTCTTCTTCGTCTTTTGATGGATAGGTCAAATTGAGCTTTGTGAGATTTCCTGGACTAGAAAAACAAGTTTTCCGTATTTTGAGCATTATATTTGCTTGAAATAAATGTAAAGTCACAACTTGCTGTCTAGCTGAAGAATATCGCAAATAGTTTTACAAACATCACAGAGGCTAACTGAGATTTAAAATATTATAGTAATATTGTTCCCTTCATTTTTATGCCAAAGTGAGATCTGTCAACAAATTAATGTCACGAATGCAAGTCATAGTTAACAAATAATTACAAAAATATTGCACATACTACTCACCTTAACTTAAAAAAAATCAGTAATATTAAGATTACAATCCAGATGAACAAATTTAGATAACAAAAATCGTTTAATATATCTACGTTCTTTTTATGCTTAGTTTAACCAGTAGACTTGGGTTAGCCAAATCAGTTTTCAACTACATATAGTTTTCGCAAATTGAGTCTTAAATGTGTGAACTTTATATACTCCGTTACACAAACAAAATCATCGATTGCGGTCTGTAAAAATGACACTTTTCACGCAACAAGACAGCAAGTTTCCAATCTTCAAAAGATGATGCAGATACGAGTTAAAGTAACCTCGCTATGGAGATAAAGGCTTGTGACTTTCACACTTAGCGATAGAATAATAGAAATTTGGAAACCCAAAAGGGGTTTCAAGATCGTAGTTTTCGAAACGGTTTTTGAATAAAGTAAACCTAAAGAGAAAATTGCTGAAATTTCCTGATTTTTTTTGCTTTGGTCTTACCCGGATTGCCTGCCTTCAAAATTAAAAATTTAATTTCGATGGGTTTCCAGATCGTAGTTTTCAAAACGGTTTTTGAATAAAGTAAACCTAAAGAGAAAATTGCTGAAATTCTTGATTGTTTTGCTTTGGTCTTACCCGGATTGCCTGCCTTCAAAATTAAGAATTTAATTCCAGGAGCGAGCAAAAATATTGTAAATGCCAAGTTCCGCGTGACGAGTGAAATGCTCGCCATTTAGAAAAGAAAATTCTCTAAAATTTTAATCTTTCGTTAAAATTTTGACAACTAAGCATTAAACCATTTTTAAAATGGATTGAATTGATTAAGTATTATTTGTAAGATCAAAAACGTAAGACTGCTTCAGTGCGATTTATTTTTCTTCAAAGTATTTTAAAGGACACGAAAAAGTAACAAATCAACAAATGTGCAAACTTACGTGAACAGAGTTTTCAAGGTCGTCTTCTTCGTCTTTTGATGGAAAGGCCAAATTGAGCTTTATTTGTGAGTTTTCCTGGACGAGAAAAAACAAGTTTTTCGTATTTTGAGCATTATATTTGCATTGAAATAAACGTAAAGTCACAACTTGCTGTCAAGCTGAAGAATATCGCAAATAGTTTTACAAACATCACAGAGGCTAACTGAGATTTATAATATTATAGTAAAACACGTTTAAAGGCATAAGGGGTGCTGAGGCGGATCCACGATTTTTGAAGGGGGGTCCGCGGATGCGAAGCCGATCCCCTTGGCGTGGGGTTCGGGACCCGAAAAAAATTGGTATTTTTGAGAACGAACAGTGATATTAAGTACAGTTTAGAATTGTGATTCAGCTAGTCAGAATTCTAATTTAAAGAGGGGAATATCTGTGTTTTTTTGTCAGAAATCGAAATGGGGGCGGGGGGTGGGGTTATTCTTTGACGATATGAAACAAGTTTTGTTATTAATGACTATTCGGTGTTAAATGTGCTGCGTTTTGATATTTTTACAAAGGCTTAAAAATTTGGAGGTAAAAAATCATGAAAAATTGCTTTGGAAAGAGCGTTTTGATAAGACAACATGATATTGGCATTAGCCATAAATGAGAAATATCAAAATGAAGTTCAAGCATTACTTGCAAATTGGCGCTAGCAATTCGCCCCCTATGCCTTGAAAAGGGTTGCTTTCATAATCAGTCACGCAGGACGCAGTGTAACTATAAACTAGGTCACATACTCAATTGGATCGAAATATTACATTTTATGGTTTTATTTGTGAAAACATGCCAGAATTAGAAATGGAAGTATATTACTAAACCTTTATCCTGTTCTTTAATGTTAAATTGTGACTATTTTGCTGTACCATAATTATGACACATAACACAAACACAAAATCCTCTCTTAATTTCAACAGCCCAATTTTTAAAAGAGCCATTCAACAGAATTTCCCCCATCTTGACTATTTCACATGTACAACTTTACTGCCACTACTAATTCTACCGATGTAATTTAAAATTCTGTGTAGTTAACATGAGGCACAACTGCAATTATCACTGTCATAAGGTACGTGATGAAATAAAGGAGGCATGGAGGACATAAAATATCATGTGGGGAAAATACTGGTGGATGGCAAAACCCAGTGTTCAACATGCAGGCGTCGAACCCATTTTTAAAATGCATTAAAGAGAAGTTAGCGACAAATACCTAAAATCATTGTCTTAAGACGTTTCGTACGTTGAATCGGTTAAAACTGAAATATTCACATACTTAGTATCTTGTCCGCCTAGCATCCACACCCTGGTCACTCGGAACTGAAGAAGTGACATCTCTTCCAAGGATTCAGGTTTCAAATGATCCATCAAGGTAGGAGGCAGGAAGAACAACCCTTTTTATTTATCAATTACCATAATTTGGCAGACAAAAATTGATTAACAATGAACTAAAAAAGTAATGCACAGGAAGCTTTTGTTTCCTTCATGTTTTAAAATACACTAGATTAAATTAATTAAATTAAGCTTCAGACCCGTACATACCCCAAAGTAAAATGACATAATGTAGGTCACTGGTTCTTCCTTATATGGTCTACTGCATGCTGCAATCTGAACAGTTTTTGCCTAGTTTGACAAACCAAACCGTTCTATAGCGCCATCTGGAGGGGAACAGAAATTATCTTCTCTGTTGCAATTTAGTGTATGTGTGTGTGTGTATCTGGCATATATACAAATAAATTGATAGTCATTTATGAGAATAGCACCAACAACCAACAGTACATTATCTAAAAACTGTACGGACATCATCTCTGCTCACGGTCAACTGCCATTTTTGATCTGTTTATTATAGGAATCCCAATGTAAAACCATGTAAAACGACCTTAAAACACTACTCCAATCTGCCATAATGCAAATAAAGTAATGATTAAATCAATAAACCCATTATTAGAATAAAACTGAATAGATGGAAAGCGAATAGATTAACTGCCAAAATGGGCCAAATGCTAGTATTTTAACCGAACTGAAAAGAAAAATGTGTTAAGAAGAGTTCACACTTTGAAAATACCAGAATGAGAAAAATAAAAATTTGACAAAAATGGTATTGACGCCAGCGTTCTTGTTGTTGCATTATAAATTGTTGTTGCATTATATTGTTGTTGTTGCATTATAAATTATAAATTTGAAAAAAAAAAAAAACACTTTAAAAACGTTTGTCCAGTCTTAATAACATGATGAATATCGTCTGCAGAACTTCGCCCACGCAATCTCTCCTGATGCAAGCTGAGAATTCATGACACATTTGTTGTGATTCTAAAAATTAACAAATAAATATACAGATATAAATTACAAAGTAAACAAACACGTTTAAAATGCGGAACAATTTATTAATGTACATTTATGTATGTGAAGTAGGCGAAATGCGCACAAATGTAATGCCAAAAACTTATCAATATCAATAAGATATGTCAGTAGTGTGAATACAGTGTCCTCATGTAGTACTGGTGATGCCAAAGCCAGTGTCACCAAAATGTCAAAACGACAATGACACCTCTTTTGCATTATTGTGCCTACAAATAATTGCAATGGTAATTGATATCGGTGCCTTTGCAATTAGGATACCAAGCTTGTATATGTGGTGTATATTAAACAAAGAGTCCGATGTCATACTTTAGTTGGCATTATGAAGGCAAAACACGACACCCCTGGTGAAAATTAATAGTGAAAAGAGTTGAGCCAACATTGCAAAGCGCCATGTATTTAATAAATGAGGCATTTCATACAGGCATACTGGTTTTGTATTGTCACTACTGCCACAGGTGAAGCGTAATAATGGAAATAATGATTAATGCATTATGATGTAATGAAATGAATTAAAGGCCTATAATATTGAACAAAATCTTGTCTCGTCGAGAAAGCCTGAAATATGGTATCAGATTAATTAATCCATTTCTACTGCAGCTTTATTAAATTCCGTTACACCCACCAAGAACTGATAGAATAAATATTCTGAAATGTGAATTTGACAGAAAACGTCTGTTATATCACTCCAATTATGAACTATTAACAATACTGAATAGTCTACAAAGATGATTAATGCTACAGCAACACTTACGTAAAAGCAACTGTAGGAACTCCTTAAAGACACTCTATACTGAAAAAACCCTGGGCGCATTGTTACTTGCTAAACTACCGCGGTATAGGTCTTGAATAATTCTGCAAACAAAAGCATGTATCGGTATTGCGAATGCAGGTGTGACAAAATTGATATATCTTACCGTCAACATTGACCAAAAGAAATATTCTGGATGGCAAGAACCGCCGAATGATCCGAGTCTCGAAATAAAAAATCTAATTTTATTTTAATGCCTTTGTGGCTCCATCTTTAGGCGATGTTTTTAACCCCAGCGAAAAGTTAAGACTGTACATGAACAGTTCAAAATTTCATGTTAAGAAACAGTTAAAATAACTAGCAGAATAAAAGAAATGTCAGTCTCTTTCAGTTTGAAGGTCAACCTGAAAGACAACACAAGAAGTTATAAAGAGATATAACTTCTTGGACAACACCACTGTATTAATTATTGTATCTGGGTCAAGGTCAAGCTGATGGTCAAGGTTAAACTCAGGGTGAATGGTTTCAATGTCAATATAATACATTTGGGAACAGTTTGAGAGAAGAACTTAAATTTGTCTTCTCCTACATTTGATTCTGTTAATATTACAGAGTTATTTTACAACAAATAAATTATTTTGTAGCAATTACATCCTACTGACTTTGTCAAAGCCTGCTTAAGACAAGGAACTGCTGAAAGGTATTGTACAGAGGGCATATGGAAATACATATCTGTGAAACTACTTGAATAAAGTAGTTGAAATTCCACCATCCCTTTCTCTACCAGGGCATAATTATTTTGTAAATGGATGATGAAAGTCAGAAGTGGATTAGCATGTGACTAATAATGTCCAATTAGTACAATTTCACACAAATTGCATCAAATTTTTTGTCAGAGTGTACGACTAGAGCTCTCTGGTGTCACTTTATTGACATCAGTTTTGTACTTTGACTTACAATACAGGGTGCAACTTGACTATTTACAACATTGCCAGGGATAATGCGAGATTCTATCATGAAGTAAAAATTGGCCTTACTTTCATAGTTAAGTATTATTCCTTGAAATAAGATGAAGAGGACATTTTCCAACTTCCATATTGTTACAGTTAAAAGTTGGGTTTACTTGCTGGGGCTATCCTGATTAATATCATTGCACAGTTGCTTTTTCAGTTACAGGATTATTGTGCTGCAATGATAAATACTCCATTTTCTGAACCTTGCATCTATTATTAAGCCTTCTGCATTATTTATCTTTTTCATTCAATGAAAAACAGTTTTTTTGATGTTCAAAACATTCTTTATAAACAAAAACATGGACTTTGTTAAATACATCAGATTGCTTGATGCAATGTGAGATTTTCAATACTTTACAATGACGATGGTATCAGAATTACAATTAAATAACTGCTTTACACCATCATGGTCTATAAAAATTGAAATAATAACAATACCTCATCTACTGCATTAAGGATCAATATGGTAGAGATTATGAATCATCACAAAAATGTATCAGTACAGACATAATAATAATAATTATATAATAAATATCCAGTGCAACTTGGCATACCAACTGGGTCATGATCAGCTGTACACCAGTGGCGACCTCTATACGAGGTTTTTCCTCGGCTCTGTGTCTCAGTTCACTCAGTAGGTGGAGCCACCGAGAATCTGCAGCAAAAAACTTTCAGGTAAATATCTGTATATTAATATTTATATACTTTATATATATGAACATGAACAACTGTGTTATAAGTGTCTGCATTATAATAACATAATCTGACTTCCTTCAATACAATATCAACAACACTGTACAGAGTTCAGAAAACTGAAGCAAACCCCTTTTTTCACTTCTGTTTTTCTTGCACTGTTGGGAACTTCTCCCCTATTCCAACCCCTCATCTTTTCAAAGGACTTCACATATTGATTATCAAGTAACATAACAGATATTGCAAATTTTGAGTCTCCTCCATCATAATTTCATATAAAAATCTAGTCTTTGGCGTAAATGCGAGATCATCTCTTCCAATGTTAAACAATAGGAGATAAATTTTCCACTGTTGCTTCATCAAGTTTTTCAGTTCTCAGTTCAAACTAATTTAGTTCAATTATAGTTTTTCTAATTTCTAGTGTCTACTAAACAGATCTGGCAATAAAAAAAATCTGATTTGAGAGAACTGTCAATTGACCCCCTTATCACATTGCCATAGGAGACAGCAAATCCACCAATCACAATGGGCTTAACATCTATTAACATTCAATAGTGTCCAATCAGATCCAAGCTGTCAAGAAGGCTACCAATGCAATGCCATGACATGCAGAGAAAATGATGTCCCTTAAAATCACAACAGCATTTCCTTGTCTGAGTAAATATACTCAATGTTATATTTGGTAAGTTCAGTGCACTTTCACATATAGGCACCATAAGCACTGTGATCAAATCACAAATCAGAGAAAAAAGTCCCTATGTAGTAGTCCAGGTTATACCAATGTAGATCTACAAGTCCTGGTTATTATGTCGATATTGTTCTATGAATAGTAGTCCTTGCTAAACCAGTGTCATTCTATTTGTAATAATCCTGGTTATACCGCCTCAATACCTGCTGTTCTTCTTCATCCAATCCACTTTTTAGTGTCCTCCTCACTAAAAGATCAATCATGTGGTTATTAGTTATCATTTCTCATATAAAATCAAATATTAAATTAGGCAACTGTAAAGAACAAAATGAATTCGATGAGGACTTGTGTTTTATGAAGTTTTAACTGACTAGTATCATTGTTAAAGTTGGACAAAAATTAATGTATACTATAAAATCCTTGTTTGTTATGGGTGACATAAATGTACTTCAACAAAGTGGTTCGCTCACATGATTTTCTGTGTTGATTTCGTGCACGTTTCCTTTCCCTGGGAGTGCGAGACGTGGGTGCAGACGTTGCGCTCTTCACACATGCCTCCAAGATCTCATCATCGTCTCCTGTGTCGTACACTTCGGAGTCTGTGGCCATGCTGCGGCCTCGTTCTCTCGCCTGTCCGTAATCTGGAGGATAAAGAAGCACCTTGGTTTACCACTGTACAACATATTATTACAATACATTGAAACAAGGTATAATAACAACACAATATACTGTTGCTGCACATGAAGGTATAGTTGTACAATAAATTTTCCACTTTTGCTCCATCAAATTTTTCAGTTCTCGGTTCAAACCAATTCTATTACAGTTTTTTTTCTTCTAATGTCTAGTGTCTACTAAACAGATCTGACAAAAAATCTGATTTGAGAGAACTGTCAATTAACCCCTTTTCAAAGTAGACAGATTGAAATTGTGCTGTTCTACATTTGTAGCATATTGAAATGTTGCTGTTGTACATTTTCTAAAACAATAGCAAGCCCATAGCCAGCAATTTCAAAAGGTTTTTTTTTTTTTTTCTGAAAAAGTGGACCTTTTATGATGAAACATTCGTGTACCTAGATAAAATTTTACCTAGAGGGGACACCTTTTCCCAGCAGAAAGGAGGGTTCTTTCGAACCCCCCTAACCCCCACTGGCTACAGGCCTGAATTGCAATTAAGTATATCTACTAATTTAAAATGTTGAATTTTTCTCCCAAAGTTTCTGACTTGTAATCACTATCACAATATCTTTCCCTAAGTTAACATATCTCTAACTTACCAAAACAGTATCTCTTAGTTTATATATCTCAAAGTTACAAAAGGAGAATCTCTCCCTACGCTTAAGACTAGGTCCCAACCGAACATACGGGCTGCTATGTGTGGTCTATGGTTAAAAAAAAAAAAAAAAAAAAAAATGGGGAAAACATTGGAGTTGGTGCGTGAGGAGCACGTCCATTGTGCGACTTTTGGAAGACGCAAACAGCACGTAGAAACTTTTTGACATGATCAACAGCTGCTACTTGATTCCTTCCCTGCGATCTAGCTACGTCCTAGCCAGACGCAAGGAACCTAAAAAATGTGCATCCAAAACGTGGTTGGGACTTAGGCTTTGTATATTTCAGACTTACCAACAGAATATCTCTTCCTATGTTTGGCACTATCCCCACGCACACTCCCAGTTTCTGAGGTATAACCATTGGCAAGGATCTGTTTTAAAGCGTCCACACTTTGGTTGTCTTTCTGCTGCAGTCTGTTCCCTAAGGCCTGCTGCTGGGGGGTTTGTTGTTGGTCTTTGGTTTTTGAAAATTTCTCCGTCTGAAAGAGTTTACGAACACAGTGAGGTCCAAGTTTCTGTGTGGTCAAACTGACACCTGACTGATGCAGAGTTTAGGCCCTTTATTTGATACTGACTGTATTAATTGAAGATGTCAATATTGTTTTCCTAGTCTTAGAGGTGGTGAAATATTTTTCTTTCCTCAGAAATGTTAAGTGCGTAACCAGAAAAAGATAAATCAAAAATAGTTCCCAGCTATCAGAAAGATATACTTTTAATGAACTTCCAATAATAAATCTTGGGGAAAAAAAATGAAAAAAATTTGTTTGAAAATTAATCATCATACAATTTTGGTCAATAGCATTCTCATAAACACAAAAATTTAACTTTTAGGTATTATATTAACATAAAAATCAACTTTGTGCAAGATATTTGTTGTAAACATATCATATATAAGATGGCTTGTTGAATCTTTGCAATCCTCTGCATGTTTAGAATTAATGGCTGTTTACTGGTCTCAAAAGTTTCGAGTTTCTAAACAAAAAGAGTCAATACATACATCAACAATCATCTTCCCCCTGGTTTTCTTCCTTTCCCTGTTGTTTGCCTTCTTCTCTCTCTGTTGTAGCACTTTCTCCCGCGTGGTGCGATACTCCAAGGCAAACTCGCTGACCGTCTTACAGAACTCTGACACTCTGGCCTCTTTAGCACTCGTCATGGGAATCCCCATGTAGACCAGGAACTTGACAAACCTGAAATTGGAATGAAACATGAATATAAAGAAAGGCAAAGTACAAAAGGAAATTCATGATTAAGTGGAGCACTAGATGTTATAGTTGTGGAATAAATGGTCAGAGAAGAATTTCATCAGCTGTGTTAAGTTATAAGAAAGGTGTGATTTTTTCTTCAGTCAACAGCTAATATTGAGATAGGTTTTACCTCCAATATTTCGATGTCTATCAGGACATCCTCAGGGAATGAGTACACCTCCTAAGTAGAGGCTATTCACCTGGATAGCCTCATTCCCTGAAGAAGATGTCCTGATAGACATCGAAATATTAGAGGTAAAAATTGAAATGGCAGAGTGAATGAGGAGCCCATGGCTTGTGATTACACTGCCATCTAGTGGTGGTGCACAGTTTTCTGTGACCAAGATCAGTCAAAAATCACCATTAAAAGAACTTGCATTCACGTACCTGTTCTGTACTCGCTGATACACAATCTTCAGCACTATTATCCTCTCCGCAGAGTCCGACAGGAACTCTGACAACCTGGAAATAAATTTCATCGCCTCATGAAATATAAATTTAATCAATTGTGCATTTTTTCTGGGTCACATATCACGTGTAATCATTCAAAATGCAAGTATCACAAGCTTATAGCATTATCCTCTAGTGTAAACTAATACAAAACTGTTATTTTAAAGAGAGCAGTAAGTATTTCCGCCATCATTTATTTTAAATACTTTAAAGTATTTTCATTACCCATATCTGCGTACCCCTTACACAGAAAGGTTTCTTCAATTCTATTAACAGAAATATGTTGCAGTTTTGGGAAAACATGAACCCTGTTCAAATTGATTCAACTTAGCACTGAATATTCTTAGCCTGTTCACGCCAATTTAATTTAGAGCAGAAACATTTAATTCCCCAAACAAGACACCATGAAATTATCAACTGCACATAATTTTAACAACCTGCCAGTCTTCGTTCAGGAATACAAGTAGTACCTGAGGTGAAGAAATACATAATAAATACAAAATATGTCTCAGGCATGAACAGATCTACAAGCTGGAAGCAGAGAAAGTTGCTTGATTTGGCAAAGAAGAAATAGATGGACAAGCGGAAATGTTGTGATAATAAAACAAAAATTCATTTACAGATTTGGGGTAAAATAAATGACATCCATGATTCAAAACATAAACTGTGATAAGATGTGCTTTAATAAGAACAGTGGGTATTTTGGATTAAGTATAAAAGAAAAAAGATATAATAGGTTTGCATAAACAAAATCAAAATGATATTTGTCAGGGTAATTTGAATGAAGTTTAAAAGAAAAAGAGTTTGGTATGCATAAGCAAAATCAAGTAAACAATCTGTTTTTCTTTCTACTGATTTTTTTTAGTTATTTATTAATTTTTTCTGGGGGAAGGGAAACAGACAGGAAGATCTGATTCATAAAATCATCAAGTATAGATTCATTGCATAATAAATTTGCTGCTTGCTGGGCAAAAAAGCAGGGAGACAGTGTGGACCGACGCTACACAACATATGGGGACTTTTACCTTTCTTCTACACTGCGAGTATTGCTGAAATGGCATGAATAAGCAGTCAGTAAAATATTCTATTTATTTTATCCCTAGATTTTATTTACACAGCCAACAAAGCAGGTTATACTGCCATCAGCATTGTTTTGTCTGTTTGTTAGTAGACAGGACACCTCCAAGAGATGTCACTTTGATGAAAACTTCACTATAAGTATAGATCATTATTAAGGGGGAAATGTTCAAATCCAGGCCTTTCAAAAAAAAAAAAAAAAAAAAAAAAAAAACTTTTTATCCTTGACTTAGAAGTGCTGTCCAGATTAGAGTTATAAAGCATTCAAATCCTTTAATTTTACATTAAAAACTTTATTTTAAAGTACATATTTTTCCTTACTTTGTTCTCATGCTGTAGAAGGAGTAGCTATCATGCTTGGCTATCGTTCTCAAGTGATCCCAGGACTTTTTACAGTCGTTCTCCATCTTGTTTAACTTTCCTTGCAGCTCTGTCCAGTCAACCTGAGATAAAGACAATAAGCCTTCTCAATTCAGGAATGATCTGGTATTAATATTTCATCCATGAAACATACTAGGAATATACCAATTGATAAAAAACTCTAATATTACCATCTGCTGCTAAACACAAAAATCTTCCACTAGATGGTGCCACTTGATGGTGAACCCAAATAAACTGGCACTAGGTGGCGCCATAGACCTGACTGTCAACAGGAATATTCTCCCACTAGGTAGAATGTGTAGTATCTTTTTAAAAACTGACCAGTAGTTTATCACAGATGGTGACACATGCACACACGTATTTACCTTGGCACACCGCGTGACGGCAGCAATGTCAGAGTAGAGGTCTGTGGTGTCAGGGAACTGGTCCAGTATTATATCACACAGATGGTGGAGTAACGAGTGCTTGTGAACTGTGTCCTTGACCTCAGGAACCTTGGCAAGATAGTCATACTGGAAGCCCTGGCTCTAATGGAGGGAAGACAAGAGGGAAGAAAAATATAACACTGGTTTCTGTATATGGATTTGTTAGTGTTAATTAATCAGCTAATGGCAAATCATGCAGTAATTTTTTCAAATCTGTTGAGGTAATTACCAAATACAAAGTTGTAAAGTTAGTTCACTGGAAACAATCAAACTGAACTATGGAAAACCAGTATTCCAATAAAAACTTTGAGCTCCTTTTTCTTTTAAATACAGGTACATTTCACTGCTTAATCCTAATATTCTCCTCATATTTACCCCTCCATCACTTCTCTCTCTCTCTCTCTCACACACGCACGCACGCACGCACATGCACACACACACATAGATGTCCATCAACCTTTGCTAACTTACTTGAATACCATTCAGAAAATTGCCCACAGCCAGGATAGCTGAGAGGATGCATTTAAATGTCTTGTTGTTTCTCAATTCATCAATTCCATTCTTTAGGTCCATCAAGGGCTCAGCTATCTCCTGTTTACAGAAAACAACAATTCAAATCTTACCCAGATACAAAAAGTGTTGGGCATATTTCTGTGAAAGCTTGATGTGTGTAACAACTATGCAAGGTTATACATTTTTTTTCTAATTATTACTTGATGATCTTACATCTGAGAAAAATCAATGAATATGGCATTTATCAAAGATGAAAAAGCATCAAGTTTTTTTTGATAACTATCTAATGGATAGTGACATCTAGAGTTGATGAAACTTGTCCCAGGCTTACCTGTTCCACCACTTCATAATCCATCTTGAAGAGCCAGAGTTCCAGTCGTGCCTGCAGCTCACTAATGGAAGACAGCGTGAGCAGGAACTGTTCTGCGGTGCCCAGAGGGGTGTCAGGGTTGGCCATCTGCGCCTCCAGAATCTTGCTCTTCTCTTCATCCGTGGGGATCATGGTGGAGAGGATTTTCTGGAATGGTTTTGTATCATTCTATACATACTTTGAAACCACTTATATGATAGGCTGAACAAAAAACATGAAATCCGGTGGAAACTCGACTCCTGTGGTGATGATATAATTTTAAAGCTACTGTAGTAAAACTGATACATACTATAACAATTGCTAGACAAAAGTATCAGTTTAACATTTTGAAAATAAAAGTCATCTTCACTTTGTTCTGGATAATTTGTTAAGTCTAATAGTACTTCAATTTGACAGGTAATCCCCAAATTGGGTCAAAATTTAGTTTACTTCTGCTCCACCAGGTTCGTTAGCAGGCAAGGCAGTTTAGCCAATGATAATATAGGAAAGATTCTATCAAGATTGTTATCCTTTAGATTTTCAAGATCTCCTTAACCCTACCTCGATTCCTTCCTTATTCATTATTGCACTGTCCATTTTCAAGATGGCGGTCTTGATTGTTCGTGGCGGTGGAAGGACGGTCATACCAATATTAATGGCATTTGAGCGTTTTGTGTCCAATACAATGATTTCTTTCTTTGCTCCCTCCTTTGCTTGCTGGAATGGGTGGTAAGCCAAATGAGTTGTTGATTTATTCTAAATGACTCAAAATATTTGAATATAACATAACCATGATGCAAAAATTCTCCAAAATGCAATATATATATATATCTTAAGCAAACTGATACAACTCAATATTATCTATTTGCAGTGATCTTATATATTTCATTGTTTTTTTTTCCTTGCATTAATTCGGTTACTACTGATATATTGCATATCAACTGATCACTGATCAATGTTCTTTTAAAAGTGCAAGCAATGTAATAAAAAGGTTGACCATGAAGTGAACATTTCTTAAACTCTGTGAATTCAGATGTTTGTAACATAGAGACTACATCAGGAACTAAAAAGGCCTATAGCGTAGGTATACATGAGAGAGAAAGAGAGAGAGAGAGAGAGGAGGGGGGATAGGGGATAATATCTGGGTAGTAGAGATCTAGCACATAATATTGGAGTCAGACTACGTGTACCGGTTATTAGATTCAGGGGTCTCATCCACCAAAGAACTTAAACATTAAATTGGCATTAACTTTCACATCTAAATCACAGTGAAGAATGGACATGAAATACTGAGAGAGAGAGAGAGAGAGAGAGAGAGAGAGAGAGAGAGAAGAGAGAGAGAGAGAGAGAGAGAGGAGGGGGGAGGGATTCTAGCAATGTGTGATGGTGCGGAGATGGAATTTAGCTAACAAAAAATTTTGATAAGCAGGGAAAATCTGGCATAAAGACTTGACCAGTGTCTCAGTGAACTGTTGACTACTCAGCACAAGTACAGCAACTAAAACATGCAACACAGTAAAACTCACTTAGAGAGGACTGTCAGAAACATAAATCTAAAAATTCAAAAAGTGGCCTTGGAAACAATCAAAATCTCTAGTAACATGATGTAAAAATTTTTGTTTTTCTTTCAAGACATCTGTTCATAAACTGGTAGGTCATCTTATCAATGTGATGTTACCGTTTGGTTCAGAACATCCTCTATAAGTGTGTCTTATCAACATGTTGAAATTATCTCATCTTGTAAGCAAGAAGCTCTTGAGCAACAAAAGTGACTGTCATCTTCATGCCAGAATTTCCACAAATGTTGCTTAGTTTCTTACCGGATCCTGTTAAGTTGACGTCCATGATCAGCACATGCAGCAAATTCAAGAAATTCAAAAGAAAAAACAAAAAGCAACAACATTATCAAATAGTTAATCCATGCCTGGTAGCTGCTGAAATTGAAGTATATTTACTCAGTGTTATTAAAATTCGAACAAAGGTGAAATGTCTTCTTTAACTTTTCATACTTTTTTCGCGATAAATAAACTCAACTTTTCATACTTTTTTGCGATAAATAAACTCAACTTTTCATACTTTTTCGCGATAAATAAACTCAACTTGGGCTAAAAAATGTTATCATTTTTAACAAAAAATATCCAGCTTTTCTCTTCTTTTTCACCTTTGTTTTTTCTTTCAACAATTTTATGTAGCTTATACTGCAACAACAGGTTAAGTAATAAGCAAAATAAAAAATATATAAGCCAAAACTCGGCAAAGAAAATAAATAAAAAGCAAAAATATTTCATGGCCAGTTTGTGAAACAAATATGAATGTAAAAATGTAATGCAAAATATAGCACTTAAAACACAACACACAAAATTTCACCCATCGAAATTTCACAAATTTTCTTTTGATTATTTTCTGTGAATTTTCAAAATTAATTTAAAATGAAAAAAAAAAAAAGCAAAACTCACAATAACACATTCTAAACTGCTGATCTGCTATAATTATTATAACACCTCAAAATTGTATCTTCAAATCATTATTTTGTGATATCACATACACAATAATTTTCATTTCAGGCTATCCTGTATGTTCACTTTGAAACTGCATACAAACCAAATTAATAAAACACAAAACTCAAAACACAACACACTCACATAACCAACAAAAAAAGTGACAAAACAACACAGCAGTGACTCTACCTTGGCTTTAAGCTCGTTAGTCCGACTCTCGAAGAGGTGCTCCAGTTTCTGTTCATCAATCTTCACTTTGACTAGACCCTTCCAGACAGTCCCCGCCTTCGCCAGAACTGGGGGAACATTGGTGTCACGCACCTCTTTCCAGTGTAACCTAAGTGTCTTCTTGTTTTTCTTAATGGTATTAGCACCGGGTTTTCCACCTCCTGGCGGAGGGGGTGGGGGGATACCACCTCCCCCTGGGGGCGGTGGTGGAGGAGGTGGTAAACCAGGGGGTGGGGGTACACCTGGGGGTGGTGGAGGAGGGATGCCACCTGGGGGTGGGGGTGGGGGTACCCCTGGCCCTCCCATCCCTTGAGGAGCAAGAACTGCTGTGATGTCTATGTCATCCTCGGCTCCTAAGTCTGTGAAATCTAACTCCTTGATTCTTAGGGGACGTCTCAACTGAAGATTGTTCTCCAGCTGTTCCCAGTGGAGATCCTGATCCCCCTTGGGTGTGGAAGGTGACGGTGCGGCGGGTGATGAAGAATTCAATTTAGGTGCATCACCAGAACGAGCAAAACGATCACGCATGCTGGTGATGCGGCCTGTAACATCCCCGCGAGGGGCCGATGGTTTTGCTTCCTGTTGCTGTGGCTCCTGAGGGGGCTGACGGAACCTGTCCGCGACTGATTGCACTGCGCTCTTATTGAGATTCCCTCCACTGCTCTTTCCTTCCTCCTCCTGTGACGGGGCCTCATCCTCGTCCATGCTATCCCGCGACTTCATTTTGTACAACAACCATCGTTTATTGTTTGAAACACCAGGGGGCACCCTGCCCTCTTGTTGTTCACTTTGTTGTTGCTGCTGTGGAGACACAGCCTTCTGATCAAAGCGGTTACGAGATTCATTCCGTTTGTTCATACGATTCTCCATTTCAGAGTAATTGTTTGTTTGTTCATTTGTGCTCTGGTAGCCGGACTCGTTGGAGCCCTGAGGTTTGTGGAACGGCTGGATGTTGGGGGTCGGCAGCCGTTTGTCTTGGGATGCCAACTCCTCAAATTTGCCGCGACGATTTGTAAACGGCTCATCTGTAAAATGTGAAAGTAGATTGAAATCAAATGTTAAATATATTCTAAGGGATATTTTTCTTTTCTAAATAATATGGTTTTCTGTCACCAAATGTCATTCATCTTCGAATATTACCCTATACTGTTGTCAATGAAATTCATAAATAATAATTAAAGGAAAGGAATCTAATTGATGAAATACCCATGAAATATAAAGAAAAGAGCATGTTTCTTACACAAATACCAGGAGAAAAGTGCTGGAAATCAGACCTCAATCCAGGAGCCAGCATGCTTCCACACAGGACAGTTGAGACATGACAAACCACAGGTAAAAATTGTCACATGCCACTTAAAAAATCTTTTTTTTTTTGCTCCTAATTTTTTTTTTTTTTGAGACAAATCGAACATCTTCATGCTCTTTAAGAAAGTTCCTGCACTCAAGAGTTCAAATATTTTCTGACAAGTATGCAACATGCACATGAGAAATTTGACCACGAGACTCAAACAGTTAACATGTGACTGAAACCATGCAGTGGAAAAACATGCTGCCACTGTGACAAACAAACAAATAAATAAATAAATAAATAAATAAATAAATAAATAAATAAATAAATAAACTGGGGACCCAGGATCAAGTTCAGGTAGCATTGGGGCAAAGGCTTTCTTGTTTTTGTAGAACCCTTCCCAGATGTGTCTGGCTGCATGTGTGTGCTCCCATCAAGTGTGAAACAGTAAGTGGAAAATATTACCCTTCTGTGTCAACTACCCCCCCTCCCCCTTCCCTTCCTTGAGTTCTTACCTGCTTTGGAATGATTGTTAAGTTGCCTGTGGGAATGATTAGCATGGGGCGGGTCAGACACACCATTAATGCTACCACTACTGCTACTGGTACCATTGTATGTGGATGTATATCTGGACGGAGTGGTAGTAACAGTAGCAGTAGATACAGTAGCATTAGCGTGGGACCGGTCACCATTGACGAGATGACTAGTATCTGGGGAGTCGGTGCTGCTTTCTTGTTCCTTTATAAAAGACCGCTGGCGCTCTCTTCGTTGTCGCCGTCGGGAGGGGTCAACTGGAGGTGAGAGGAAGGACTCAAGCATGATGGGATTGCAAAAACCAAACTGACAAATTGCATGTCAATGATATAAACATACCACCATATGCATGAAACACGGAGACCTTTTTTATTTACAAATCATACAAAGTGGGCACACATAAACTGACAACAGACGGAATTTCAAAATATGTCCATCAAAGCAAATGATTCATATGTACTGTAACTTTGAAGTGATATAAATTTTGTGCAGATATATCACGCTTATAGATATCTTCTCTTAATTACATATTTCGGTTATTTAGATGTACCCACTTTCATTTCACTATAACACACAAAGCTTCAGTAACTCTTTCGCCTTAAAACAATGCAACCACCTACAAAATAACTATGCTCAAATTTTCCCAATCCCAATTAATTTTTTCCATGCTGTAAATAAAGGGAGGAAAATGAAAACCAATCAACCCATGCAAATAAGTTATCCCAACACCTTAATGATAAATCTCCAAATGAAGTCTTATAATGTTCTTTAAAATATATCATGCTAGTTCATTATTCATTTATCCATGTTTGATTAGATATCAATAGGGTATAATAACAGCATTTGTTACAGCAATAGTTTACTTAGAAAATTCAGAGCAACTTAAAGACGAGTTCCTCAAGCAATTAATTAATTAAATCACTTGTACGTAAGGATATGTTCTTGCAGCAACTCAACTATGCAGAATGTATTAAATTTTTTAAAAATCATATTTGTGTGTCTAACCAAAACGACGTTAAATGCTTAATGTGTTAGTGAATGGGCCTTTGATCCATTTCTGAAGCATAATTTATCTTGAATTTGCTCAAGAGATGGGTTATTCAGTTGCATAAGACACTGTTGACTGAACATGCTACACTGAAAGCACTCTCAATATTGATTCTGTCAAAGCGTAAATACAGCAAAGGTACGGATCTGGTTTAAATGTTTAACCCGCCCCAAACAAGTTAGGAAACCTTTTTTAGAAAACAGACAATTCTCTTTCACAAAAACCTTGGATTTCAATTATACAAAAATATGCACACTGACTAGTAAGAATTTGAATGAAATAAAATTTCAGAATAAAATTCATCAGAGTGAGTAGTAAGTTTAAACCCTAGGACTATTATTCAATCCCTATAGTCAGGTATGCTAGACTTCTACTGGCCAAATACAAAGGTGTCACTTTACTGCATTTTTAGAATCTTGGCGTATTGCATTTAGCACCTCTCTTTATTTGTGTGCTGCAAACCAAATCTTGTGCTCGCTTCACTTCTCAAACTTTTTAAACACATATTTTAAGGTGAGCAACATCTATTAACCCTCTTATACCTGTCTTCCTTGCAACAGCTTTAAAAATTACATATGATAAATATCAAATGATTTATCACTGAAACCTTTTTATCACAGTTATCATTGATGTTATCCACTTTAAGCTTTGATGAAGAGTTATTCGATGCATTTACATATTGAACATAAACCAGTTCAGTCAGGTGGAGTACTGCTTTACTGACAACTTTCTGACTGTTTTACATAGATAATTTACCTGAAACTGGTTAATATGTTCTTATGTGAAAACACCGCTCTTAATGCTGTAACTTGTTAAAATAAAATAAATATTGAATGTTTTCACAAAGGAAAAAATGTTTTCAAGATTTTAACTTTTTCAGTTAAAGAAGACAAAAAAAAAAAAATAATAATAATTTGGCAATTTTGTTAATGGTCTAATAAATCTAAATACTTTATCAAATTAGTAAAAAAACAACATGCAAACCAACATACATGCACTCTGTTTAGGTGTCGTGTCCGTGGTGTCGCAGGATTCCACGGAATGCGGTCTATGCATGCTCCCGTGCCTACCTTCTGGCCCCGCCTCATCGCTGTCACCACGTTGTAATCCTGGAAAACCACGCTCGCTGAAATAAAAATTAAAAAATATCTAATTGCTACTAAAGAAATGATTCATTTATAATACTAAAATTTTTATAATTTTAAAAAAGAAAAAGAGAGAGAGAGAGAGAGAAAAAAAGGAAATTTAAATGCAGTGATTTGAATTTTGAGATGTTGCACATTCCTTAGCCAAATTAGAATCTGTTTAACATTTGACCTGGCTGACTATTTCTGAGCTAGGGAGAGTCTAAAATACAGCAGCAACTTGCATTTTCAACAGATAAGAGCCATTATGTGCAGTAAAAAAAAGGTTAACTGTCAAGCAGATTTCAGGAATTGTATGGACAAATTGATGAATGTTCGGACTCTGTGAAATTGTAGAAAATGAAATTTAAAATCTCCAAACTCTCATTTACATGTATAGTACTCCAAACTGTAAAAGAAACTGATTGATTATAATTATAATATCATTTTCAATTGACTGGTTGATTTATGACCAATCACATACCCTGTTGTCCTTCTCCTCATATCTTTGGTCTCTTCCTCTTTGTGAGATGGCAGTTTTCCAATCTCGCGACGTTTAGTTGGTGGAGTGGCTGGAGTGCCTCCAAATGATGATCGACGGCTCTTTCTGTCATCCTCACTCTTAATGCGAGGTGTTTTTCTGAAAATAAATAATATTTTAAGAAATAAACAAATACTTTATCAAGGAATTCTCAACACTGTTTAGACAGACTCCACCATAAGAACATTTTACAAAAAATTAGAATAAGAAAATCAAGCAATACCGAATATTTTCCACTTGCTGCGGCACATTGTCTTCTCCGTCTTCGTGCCTCAAAGCCGCCTCATAAAGTTGGAACTGTTCCAGCAGGTCCAGATCTGAACCCTTCCTGTTCATGTGCTTCTGGATGATCCTCTCCATCCCCTGCTCTTCCAGGGCATCTGTCAGGTCATAGAAGGCGTCCTGGTCTGGGATGGCATTCAGGGCCTGAGGGAGAACAGACATTATTAGGAACCAAGTACTGACCATATGTAGAAAAGTTTGTGTGACATTATTGCTATAAAGAAAAGTTTGTGTGACATTATTGCTATAACTATCTCTTGTGTTTACGGACTTAAAACGACTATTCAACACTTTCGAGAAAGTGCAAAATATTTCTCCTTGGTAAGTAGGGTAAAATTTTTAATGAAACGTTCTATAGATAAAAATATGCATATATATTCTCCTCTTCTTTAGCATTTGGTAACAAATTTACATCCTAGCAGCCTAACTTTCTGCCAGAAGCAGAGCAAAATAAATAAATAAATAAATAAATTTACTTTGTTAACCAGTGTCATAGCATAAACCAGAAGCTCCGAGTCCCCTCCATCCTTTTCGTCCAGGATGTTCATTATATTTGTCCATGGCAACGTTCCTAGAATGAAAGAACAAATAATAAGATATCACAGTCTACAACAAACACAATATATCTCTAATAAAGGTTCATAGGGTTAACATTATCTTTTAATATGGAAACAGACCAAGAAACTTTGTAAATTTGGACCTATTGGTAGTTTGTCCTGGAAAGAAAACTGCTGCTTTTTAATAAAATATTCTGATATTGATAAAAATATCTTTGGACACTGCCTGAATCCAGACACTCACATCCCATGTTAGCTATATATCTAAGAGAGTACAGATCTCTGCCAAAATATTAGGAGACATGAGTTCAGTAGAAACTTGAATTCTAATAAGTATCTATTCCTCCTTAACATCTGCCAATCCTGAAAATTTCACTAAAATTTGTGCACAAAATTTTGAGATATCTTCTCCACTAACAAACAGTTACAGATAAAGTTTACCACAGATGAAAACACAACCTCCAAGGACAAGGTAATAATAACAACTCAGCGAGAAAGTGGCAATCTTACCAAAAAAAGAACATCCTGATTTGACAGAATCTAGTATCATAATGCTGCATAAGACTCTAAAATCTTTCACGAGGAAATTGAGAACAGTGTTCTCTGCCCTAGGACTCATCACAAAAGCCCTGTTTAGTTTACACGACTGGAAGATGAGATGCTTTCTGTGACAAATTTTGGGACAAGAAAAGAAGAGAATCCCTGCAGAGTAAAATCTACAGAAAGATTGCTGTATCCCATATGACAAGTGTTTCAACAAAGTACTATTTTTCTCATGACCACTCCAGTAGTGTTTAATACCAGAAGTCCCATCCATGATGGCCCAAGGGCTTTCCACAATGGCAAATGGGACCGAGCCAAAATTGTTCAATTTGAAGTTAATTGGGATCATTTTCCCAATTTTCTGCTTTTGATGTAAAACATTAATTTTCTTGTCAGGGTATTCAATATCTTCAGAGCTATTAAGAATCTTATTGCTCCTTCTTTGGTCGCCTTTGTCATCTGTATCACCTTGAAATCTGTTAGGAGTACACAGATCTGCTTTATTACATTGAATTTCATCTTTGTGAAGAAACAATGCAGTGTCACTGCTGCACATGTTTTCACAGACATGCTCCACTTTGCGACACAAAGCTGCTGTGTCGTTCTCTTTCATGTCACCACAGCCATGCTTATGCATGTTAAACAAAGCTGCACTATCCTTTTCTTGACCACCTGTGCATTCAAGATTATGAGTGTTACATGGAACTGCCCCATAGTTGTCTTGCATGTTGGCACTATCACGTTTGTGCACATTACATGGGGCTGCACCAGTGTTCTCCTGAAAGCCACATTCATTGGGATGCTGCTGTATAACATCATCTCCTTGGCTGTCAATGACACTACTCCCCTCCACAGCAGGGCATGAACAGTACGGGTTTCTACATTTGAAAATCAACTTCTCCTTGTGCCCCTTAATGTTCAATTTCTCTGCTAAGATATTCCTTAGTTCAGTAAAACTCAGGTTTGCTTCACTGGTCTCCATGATGAAAATGTATCTAATAATATTAACAAATATCAATACATGACTTTCTTCACTGGCCTCAATTAAAATTGACCCATTAACTGGTAATACACTAATTGTAAGCTAAAAAGATCTTCACTTGTTTTGCATCAAAAGTCGCAGGATTCCACCATAACACATCTTCGCTTTTCATCTCATCTTGTTCAGCTTTAGGTATTAGTTCTCATATCGTGACCAATGCACAAAACGTGACAGCCTTCAAAAAAAGACACCGCAATGCAGGATCCGCTAGTTTTTTCTGCATCATGGTTTCATAACTAAAAGACATGGATTTGTCTTAAATTACAGTAATTATCATATGGTCTCAGGCTACTCTTGTCACTCTGACTGACCTCTTGGTTTGGTCACTTTGACTGACCTCTTGATGGGTCACCTTAGTGTGGGAACTGGACTGTCCTTACTTCTATCACACTGACTGATTGCTTAGGAGTTTGTTTTATTACAAATTATTAAGATCAGAATTACTGACTGGTGACTTAACTTTCATGACTGTCTAGGATCTGGGAGCAATATTCCATAGCACAGTTTTGTATGTGTGCCAGCACACGCAAAAGGGAGAGGGAAAAATTGTCGGTAATTTTTTTCTGCACACAGTCAACCAAAACACCACTGGTAAGGACCATGAGATGCAATTCCTTGAAACCTTAAATCAATTTGTGATTCATTTAGGAAATTATTTCTTATCAGGCCTTCTTCATGGACAACAACATGAGAATAGAGTTTTTGGCCTTCAAATCTATGTGGCCTCAAATTGCCCTTTCCAGGGCTATCTTGTAACAAAATTGACCCACCTGGCCTAACATACTGGGACCATTTTAGGTAAATCTGAAAGGAAATCTGGAAAAACCACCAGCACAGAGGTGCAATGGACAGCCAGTATGATTTACAAACACATATGGGAAGTGTGTGTGGTAAAATCAAGGAACATAAATCAGAGAGCAATGGACAATGCGCACCAGGTGGCAGTATGGTTTTGGCTCTTCTTGATAAGAAAAACTCCACCTTCTGGGCAGGTGAAAGACTAAACTCCACTGGGCAGACAGCAAGCTGTCTCACTGTCAATCTGTTGCCATTTTTACAGTTTTTTCCCCTCTGGCCAAGCTGTGCCTGAGGGTTACTTACCACAGGATACACCAATAACATGAAGCTTATTAGCTCTAACAAATTGTGATGTCGTTAAATCTTCTTGTCTCTGTAATATGATGACTCGATCTTTTCAATGGGGATAAATTATCAATCTTTCAGATACAAAATTTTAAATCATTTAATTCATTTCTGGATTAATAACTTTAAAAAATATAGCATCCGTAAAATTTCATAATTTTTCCCATAAAAGAAAAGATAAGAGTCATTACCCTTAATTTCATTACCCTTGCCAACTAGGGTGGTTACGTATTCTCAACGATGTTTGTTTGGTTTCTGAGCAGACAAGATATTTCAAAGGATTTTTCACAAATTCTGATGAAATTTTATTGCCAGAAAGGTCTTCATTTGTGTAAACTCTTTTAACTAAATGCAGGTCTCCTACAATTTCTTAAAAAAGATTTCACTGCCTTTTACCTAGGCAATGGTTTGAGTTCTTGGGAGTTTTTTCTTCTAATTTGAAAAAAAAGTTTTGTCTCACAATAATCATTTTCAATTGTAACATTTTCCTACTTCATTAAATGTCTCCATTAAATCTTGGCTACAAGATGTTAAGTTATTAAGTCATATTCTACCTCTGTCCTGTACTCCTATCTCTTGTAAATAAATCTTAAAAGTTACTCTACAACCCAAGAATGCCATTATCCCAAACAAAATACTAAGGCTGAGTGGATAGAAATGCACTAAATTCCTCATTTACTATCATTAAACCCAGTTTTGATAGAGAAATCTCAAGTCTCTTGTCAATTTGATAGTCTAGGGATTAAAATTATCACAATCCAACATGACCAGACTATAAAATAGCTGAGAGAGATCAAACTGGTCCAAGGATAGATCCCAAAGTTAACAACACCGGATGTTTGTACATATCCAATAAGTTACACTGCAAACATGGGCCATTTCATGCTGTTTGGTTTTAATTCCCTGCAGTGTATTTTGTTACAGTTTCATAGGCAATGACACGTTTTGGAAACAATGACAATTTGAAGTCCACATTGTATCCGTGGGTCAAGACAAATGGTGGTCAACATAAAAGAGGAAATCAGACTCCTTATCTTAAATACACAAAGATAATTGCTGGACAAGTGTCTGGATGTGTCACCCCGTCACATAACTGCCAGTATCTAGCCAATAACTGTAGTAACAGGACACTGGACAGACAATTATAAAATGAAATTGAACCTAGTTTCTTTCAACCCCCACCCCCCTTTCCCTTCATGACAATTCACTAAGTACATACCAACTTTACATAAAACCCCCCAAAGTAACTGTCTGTAACAACTGACTCCAATCTGTGGACAAAATTTAACAATAATTAACTCAACCACACTTAAATATCGGCACAATTCCAATACATGAAAACCCAAACCAGGAAAGAATTGAATCAAAATATTTACCACAGGCAGAGCAAGGGAGGAATTTGAAATATGGGAGTTCTGTATGTGTAAACCTTGAAAGTGGCTTGATTTCCTGGTTCTTCCTCATGTCTTATCACCAGAGGGCTCTCCCAGGTGGGACAGTTTACTCTTACACAGAACAGGTCTGGTTCCAACAAATACCTTCAGCCCGAAAAATTGGTCTGAACTTCACACCGGTCCGGCTTTAGAAAAACAATACAGTAATATCAAGTCTGCCAAATTGTTTAGAATCTAATTAATATGTTCTTTAAAAATTCTCCTCTGTCTTAAATTATTCCATAACATATTCATTATGTGCATTTTATCAAATGGTTCATCTAATTTAATTGCATAGAGCACTCTCATGAAGGTTTGGATAATGCAAAGATATGCACATGATTGCACACAAACATTCATCATTCACCCACCCACACACACACACATACACACACACACACTTAAAAAAGACTTTCAACATCACTCTCCATTCCCATCTAACAATCAGCAGTACAGCGGATGGGTGGATACTCTTCCATCATCAATACCAATCTCTTCTATTTCTGTCCGCACTAAAATAAGACACCTGGCATTTTCCTTGATGAAGTTGACCTTCAACAAATTGCTCTAATATGGTACAGAAGTGGCAGTGGAAAACAAACTGGCTGGTAGACGTAAAACATTTCACAGGAAGGTCCTTTTTTATGTCTTCTTTCTCTTTATTTTTAAACTGTCTATTTTAGAAGTTGCCACCTTTCATTAATTTTGGATCGATAAGAAATATCTTCAGAAATATTCGGGTGGAAGATGCAATTACCAAAAACACTCAAAACAACCTCAGACACTCCTAACAGCAATTTTCACCAGTGTCAGATATTCTTCTTTTTTTGACACTTCTATTTTTACCAATGCGGTACAAATATATTTAGATCAGATCTCTATAAGGAGATTTTCTATTTTTTCATGGCAAAGAATATGCAAAACGAGTAAAAAAGTGAGATGAACCTAAACTGATTATCAAGTACCAGACAGATAGACATTCTCCTCTACTGTCTAACTCCCTGTTCAATTCCCTTCTCATAATGAAGCCACCCTGTTCAATCCCCGCACCCACCTCTATTCCCGTCCACTACGTTGACAGCGTTGATGAGCAGTTGGGTGTTGGACTCCGTGTACTCCACAAACACCAGCAGGAGCTTGAGAGCCGTCTTCACAACCAAACGAAACTTAAATACAAAACACAAAAATATTCAGAACTTGTTACCTNTATCACCGACCTTAAACAAAGCTGCACTATCCTTTTCTTGACCACCTGTGCATTCAAGATTTTGAGTGTTACATGGAACTGCCCCATAGTTGTCTTGCATGTTGGCACTATCACGTTTGTGCACATTACATGGGGCTGCACCAGCATTCTCCTGAAAGCCACATTCATTGAGATGCTGCTGTATAACATCAGCTCCTTGGCTATCAATGACACTACTCCCTTCCACAGCAGGGCATGAACAGTACGGGTTTCTACATTTGAAAATCAACTTCTCCTTGTTCCCCTTAATGTTCAATTTCTCTGCTAAGATATTCCTTAGTTCAGTAAAACTCAGGTTTGCTTCACTGGTCTCCATGATGAAAATGTATCTAATAATATTAACAAATATCAATACATGACTTTCTTCACTGGCCTCAATTGAAATTGACCCATTAACTGGTAATACACTAATTGTAAGCTAAAAAGATCTTCACTTGTTTTGCATCAAAAGTCACAGGATTCCACCATAACACATCTTCGCTTTTCATCTCATCTTGTTCAGCTTTAGGTATTAGTTCTCATATCGTGACCAATGCACAAAACGTGACAGCCTTCAAAAAAAGACACCGCAATGCAGGATCCGCTAGTTTTTTCTGCATCATGGTTTCATAACTAAAAGACATGGATTTGTCTTAAATTACAGTAATTATCATATGGTCTCAGGCTACTCTTGTCACTCTGACTGACCTCTTGGTTTGGTCACTTTGACTGACCTCTTGACGGGTCACCTTAGTGTGGGAACTGGACTGTCCTTACTTCTATCACACTGACCGTTTGCTTAGGAGTTTGTTTTATTACAAATTATTAATATCAAAATTACTGACTGGTGACTTAAATTTCATGACTGTCTAGGATCTGGGAGCAATATTCCATAGCACAGTTTAGTATGTGTGCCAGCACACGCAAAAGGGAGAGGGAAAAATTGTCGGTAATTTTTTTCTGCACACAGTCAACGAAAATACCACTGGTAAGGACCATGAGATGCAATTCCTTGAAACCTTAAATCAATTTGTGATTCATTTAGGAAATTATTTCTTATCAGGCCTTCTTCATGGACAACAACATGAGAATAGAGTTTTTGGCCTTCAAATCTATGTGGCCTCAAATTGCCCTTTCCAGGGCTATCTTGTAACAAAATTGACCCACCTGGCCTAACATACTGGGACCATTTTAGGTAAATCTGAAAGGAAATCTGGAAAAACTACCAGCACAGAGGTGCACTGGACAGCCAGTATGATTTACAAACACATATGGGAAGTGTGTGTGTGTGTGTGTGTGGTAAAATCAAGGAACATAAATCAGAGAGCAGTGGACAATGCGCACCAGGTGGCAGTATGGTTTTGGCTCTTCTTGATAAGAAAAACTCCACCTTCTGGGCAGGTGAAAGACTAAACTCCACTGGGCAGACAGCAAGCTGTCTCACTGTCAATCTGTTGCCATTTTTACAGTTTTTCCCCTCTGGCCAAGCTGTGCCTGAGGGTTACTTACCACAGGATACACCAATAACATGAAGCTTATTAGCTCTAACAAATTGTGATGTCGTTAAATCTTCTTGTCTGTTAAATGATGACTCGATCTTTTCAATGGGGATAAATTATCAATCTTTCAGATACAAAATTTTAAATCATTTAATTCATTTCTGGATTTATAACTTTAAAAAATATAGCATCCGTAAAATTTCATAATTTTTCCCATAAAAGAAAAGATAAGAGTCATTTCCCTTAATTTCATTACCCTTGCCAACTAGGGTGGTTACGTATTCTCAACGATGTTTGTTTGGTTTCTGAGCAGACAAGATATTTCAAAGGATTTTTCACAAATTCTGATGAAATTTTATTGCCAGAAAGGTCTTCATTTGTGTAAACTCTTTTAACTAAATGCAGGTCTCCTACAATTTCTTTAAAAAGATTTCACTGCCTTTTACCTAGGCAATGGTTTGAGCTCTTGGGAGTTTTTTCTTCTAATTTGAAAAAAAAGTTTTGTCTCACAATAATCATTTTCAATTGTAACATTTTCCTTCTTCATAACTTCATTAAATGTCTCCATTAAATCTTGGCTACAAGATGTTAAAAGTTATAAAGTCATATTCTATACCTCTGTACTGTACTCCTATCTCTTGTAAATAAATCTTAAAAGTTACTTTACAACCCAAGAATGCCATTATCCCAAACAAAATACTAAGGCTGAGTGGATAGAAATGCACTAAATTCCTCATTTACTATCATTAAACCCAGTTTTGATAGAGAAATCTCAAGTCTCTTGTCAATTTGATAGTCTAGGGATTAAAATTATCACAATCCAACATGACCAGACTATAAAATAGCTGAGAGAGATCAAACTGGTCCAAGGATAGATCTCAAAGTTAACAACACCGGATGTTTGTACATATCCAATAAGTTACACTGCAAACATGGGCCATTTCATGCTGTTTGGTTTTAATTCCCTGCAGTGTATTTTGTTACAGTTTCATACGGCAATGACACGTTTTGGAAACAATGACAATTTGAAGTCCACATTGTATCCGTGGGTCAAGACAAATGGTGGTCAACATAAAAGAGGAAATCAGACTCCTTATCTTAAATACACAAAGATAATTGCTGGACAAGTGTCTGGATGTGTCACCCCGTCACATAACTGCCAGTATCTAGCCAATAACTATAGTAACAGGACACTGGACAGACAATTATAAAATGAAATTGAACCTAGTTTCTTTCAACCCCCACCCCCCTTTCCCTTCATGACAATTCACTAAGTACACACCAACTTTACATAAAACCCCCCAAAGTAACTGTCTGTAACAACTGACTCCGATCTGTGGGCAAAATTAAACAATAATTAAATCAACTACACCTAAATATCGGCACAATTCTATTACAGTACATGAAAACCCAAACCTGGGAAGAATTGAATCAAAATATTTACCACAGGCAGAGCAAGGGAGGAATTTGAAATATGGGAGTTCTGTATGTGTAAACCTTGAAAGTGGCTTGATTTTCTGGTTCTTCCACAGTCTTATCACCAGAGGGCTCTCCCAGGTGGGACAGTTTACTCTTACACAGAACGGGTCTGGTTCCAACAAATACCTTCAGCCCGAAAAATTGGTCTGAACTTCACACCAGCTTCAGAAAATCAATACAGTAATATCAAGTCTGCCAAATTGTTTAGAATCTAATTAATATGTTCTTGAAAATTCTCCTCTGTAAAAAAAATATTCCATAACATATTCATTATGTGCATTTTATCAAATGGTTGACTAATTTAATTGCATAGAGCACTCTTATGAAGGTTTGGATAATGCAAAGATATGCACATGATTGCACACACACATTCATCATTCGCCCACACACATACACACACACACACTTAAAAAAGACTTTCAACATCACTCTCCATTCCCATCTAACAATCAGCAGTACAGCAGTACAGCGGATGGGTGGATACTCTCCCATCATCAATACCAATCTCTTCTATTTCTGTCCGCACTAAAATAAGACACCTGGCATTTTCCTTGATGAAGTTGACCTTCAACAAATTGCTCTAATATGGTACAAAAGTGGCAGTGGAAAACAAACTGGCTGGTAGACGTAAAACATTTCACAGGAAGGTCCTTTTTTATGTCTTCTTTCTCTTTATTTTTAAACTGTCTATTTTAGAAGTTGCCACCTTTCATTAATTTTGGATCGATAAGAAATATCTTCAGAAATATTCGGGTGGAAGATGCAATTACCAAAAACACTCAAAACAACCCCAGACACTCCTAACAGCAATTTTCACCAGTGTCAGATATTCTTTTTTTTTTGACACTTCTATTTTTACCAATGCGGTACAAATATATTTAGATCAGATCTCTATAAGGAGATTTTCTATTTTTTCATGGCAAAGAATATGCAAAACGAGTAAAAAAGTGAGATGAACCTAAACTGATTATCAAGTACCAGACAGATAGACATTCTCCTCTACTGTCTAACTCCCTGTTCAATTCCCTTCTCATAATGAAGCCACCCTGTTCAATCCCAGCACCCACCTCTATTCCCGTCCACTACGTTGACAGCGTTGATGAGCAGTTGGGTGTTGGACTCCGTGTACTCCACAAACACCAGCAGGAGCTTGAGAGCCGTCTTCACAACCAAACGAAACTTAAATACAAAACACAAAAATATTCAGAACTTGTTACATGTGGCAATGAGACTCAAGAGAATGAGATTCAAGTTCAGCTGAATATGAATATTTAAACAAGTAAGTTAAAAGATTTAAACTCTTATTATACTAAGAGACTGGTAAAAAAAAAACACCTTCATTATGATAGAGTAGAATCCTGGTAATACTATGAGACATACATGTACTATCTAAACTTATGAGAGTATAGACAAACTATGATTTGTCTAAATGCTTTGAGATATCTTATCTTAGAATGCTATGAGATATCTTATCTTAGAATGCTATGAGATATCTTACCTTAGATGCTATGAGATATCTTACCTTCGATGTTGTGAGATATCTTACCTTCGATGTTGTGAGATATCTTACCTTTGATGCTATGAGATATCTTACCTTAGATGTTGTGAGATATCTTACCTTAGATGTTGTGAGATATCTTACCTTCGATGCTATGAGATATCTTACCTTCGATGCTATGAGATATCTTACCTTCGATGCTATGAGATATCTTACCTTAGATGCTATGAGAGAGTAAAGCCACTGTATGGTCTCATTGTGTCCTATCACTCCATTCATACCATCCACATACAGCATAACCTGACCCAGGGCTGGAATAATACAATAAATATAATACATAGTCAAATTTCCTAAAATAATACTTCTAATTATTTGATAATATCATTATCATTATTAAAGGCAACAATATATTTTACTTCTAAAGTCAAATTTTTGAAACATAAGCTTTAAGACTGTTTTTATCATATCAATCACTTTCTGATGAAAAATCATTAAATAAATTGTCACAATTCACTTTGCTGTAAATAATTCCATCATGGCAAACATGCAATTTTATTATTTTTTATTTTAATATTTTTTTTACTCAATTCAACTCCCATTCCCTTTTTTAAATAAGAATAATAAAAACCAGTAGAAAGAAAAAAAATTCTATCAAGTTGTACAATTTTCTTGGCTCTTTGAGCCCTAGTTTCTAACCTCTACAAACAATCTCTGCATACGAGGATCGAGGATCGGTACATGACGTGGAGTTTTGTTTGTAGCCCAACACAAGGCAGACTTCTCTCCATACAAACATATGACTCAACATCTCATTGTCTGGCTGCTCAAAAGCACAATATTTATTGGGTCTGGATAAAGCAACAAACTCAATATCTTCACAGAAGCTTTTTATTGTGGACAAATACACAACTGAAGTGGTGATTAGGTACATTTATAACTATTTTCACAGCATATATTTGTACTTTCACTTTTTAGTCAAGGACTTGTTTCAAAACTTTAACTACAGTTTAGAGTAAAGGGGAATATTTTTTTTTGAAACTCTTATGCTACAGTATCTTTTTAAAATTTTAGGATAATTTTAGGATATTTTTTTCTTTATATTTTGTCTTTTTCAGTGTACACCTTAATAAGGAACAAGTCCAGATTTTTTTGTTTCAAGAAAACACTGCACTTTTGAATAGGGCAAAAATATGGAACATTGTTAAAACAAGATACGACACCTTTTGCCCAGTGTTCTTTTCCCTCTTGGAGCAAATGTCATTACAGACATACATTAAATAGATAACTGAACCAGAGATTGTGAAAATGTTTTTCTGTTAACTTTTTAAAATAAATTTTTCACCACAGCTTAATTTTTTGATTTAATACTGTACTCATTCTATAACAAATGAACTTTTTTTTTTATCTATTTACTTCTTTATCCAAATGTGATCAAGCATTATAAAAGAGATAATATACTAATAATTTATCATAATTAACTGTAAGTAAATCAACTCGCTCCCCCTTCAAACATAGAGTCCTCCCCAGATATAACAAAATACCCCTCTATGAAGTCAACGCAAGTCATCCCAGGTCTGAAAACTCCTATTTAACACTTAGTATAATTCTCATAATGTTCAGTACCAGTAGCCAAGATGACCGTTACAATGGCCCAGACTGGTCATTACTGACGGTTGTTTTGGAAGGACCACCGTCCTCTTGTGTCTCATTTCTGCCATTAACACAAGCACCGCTTTTAAAACCACAGGTCACGTTTGTTATTCTTCGCACAAAAGAGGAAAGCAAAGCTGTTTCTGTCAAGTCACTAGTCACAGGTGAGAACAGTACGTAAGAATTTAAGTCCGTCTGAGCTGTAAAATCAAATGTGTTGGTCCATTTCTATTCCAATTCAATTTCATCCATTTGGCCCACTGAAATACATCAACCGCTGGTCCAAAACATAGGCCAGTCTTTCCCTTCTATAAAACAGGCACTATATTTCATTTCTAAAATCAGACAACTGCTGATCTATCTAGGTTTGAAATAAGTAAAACAAAAATTTTGGCCTTAAAATTAAGACAAATTTTCAGTCATTAGTTCTATGCTGTAACAGGCCCCAAGCGGAGGAGTGGTGGCATTGCTGGTGATGGTGATTTAGACTGTTTGCTGATTCGTAAAATAAGCAACCAGAAACTGCCTACGCTGATATGAAAACTGGTTTGAACCTCACAAGTCAAACTGTTGATACAACTTGTGTATATGCAACAACTAAACAAATACTGACCATGTTGTTGTTGTGTATTTTGTATGACACAATGTAGCACTGTTTCAAGACATACGTCAGAGGATGTGGACACATAGCTTTAAGATGGCAGTTTAGTTTGTCTTCCAAAACTTACCATGTATAACCAATATTAGAAATGTGTCACTTCATTCTTTTCCCTTTTCCTGTTTACAAGGCACTACTGTTGTGTAGGCTGTTGGAAATAAACTCTTTTTACTTCTGTCTAATAACAACACTTAAAAGTTGACAAGTGCATATACGACATGTTGCAAGCAATCGAGGTGGGTGGGAGCATATTTGTGGGAAAGATTGGCAATGAGTTTTGAAATAACTTTAAAAATCAAACTGTTTCTATCGTCAAAGTATTCTTTACCTACGACTGTCTGGGCTATAAAAATTTCAAAAGTTTACTGTCAGCAGCGAAATGTGTCAGCCTCTATCTCCAGGAGTGACTCAAAAGCAGTTTATAGCTTGTATTTCTGCTACATAACAGTTGACCACATGCTATACCACAATGATGAAAGCAAAAAGTGTTCAAATTTCCAGAGAAATTAAATTTTTTTCCATCATACTTTCAGAATATCAGTACCTACCCCTTAAGATGTAGTTCTGGTAGTTCTGGTCGGCCTCAGAACCCACTTTGATCAGACACATCAACCCATCGCTGTTCACAAACTCATGCACCAGGTCCTTGTCATCCTGGAAACAGAAGGATGAAAACTGTCAATCATGAAGAAAGAGTACAATAAGATGCCCATTAAATTGATAGAAATCATGAACATGTTATTTCACTCTATATCTGACTGATCAATCATCATATGTGCAGTAAATTCAGTCACTAAATTAATATACAAAATTTAATAAGTTACTTAACAGTTAGGGTGCTTGATACTTCACATTCTGACATTTGGTGGTTAAAAAAAAAAAAAAATAAAAATAAATAAATAAATAAATAAATAAATAAATAAATAAATAAATAAATAAATAAAGTTTATCTAAATTTTAAGACCAAAACTGGTTGCATCAATATGTTTATAAATAAATAAATAAGTCGGTGTACTATGATGTTAAAATTAGAGTGCCTTGACAAAATGCCCTGCCATCTACATTTTAGTCACAGCTGCTGACAGTCCACCAATCAGATATGGCCTGGCAAGTTCATCGCGTGAGCTGTCCCATTAGAACCAACCAGTACACAGATGACAAATGAAGATGTCTGCTACTGGGTACCATAGTTATGGCTCAAATTTTACAGTCTTGTGCCTAGCTACTTACAGTAGCAGATGTTGAGCTGATTTGGGATGGAAAAGGAAAGCTTTTCCAGTACTTTTCAAAAATTTATTTTGTGATTTTTGTCAAGTGGGGATTTAGTGGAGGTGGGGAGAAAGTGAATTCATACCTTTTTCTCATATTTATTGATCTGTCTGTCTGTTTATTTATTTACTTATTTATCTACCTATTAATTGTTTGATAACCTATCTACTGATCTCTTTACTGTTATATAGCCTGAAGGAGTGAACACTGTTTTTCGTATCATCTGAGACTTTGGGTGACAAATACGAAAGCTACAATTTTGTCTGATGTACACTTCCTCATTAGCGGGTGCCTTGCGCGACGGCTGCGCCTCCAATTGATTACCTATGAACCTGTTGATGTGTCAGGCTGCCCTAGCTGAAACAGCTCTTTGTTATGTGATTTTAAGCTTCTTTAAGCAAGAGTGGAAAGGTTAGGAAAGGGCAACAGTTAACCAGGTGCAAGGAGTGTACTCAAATATGATAAACAATTTTAAGTCTAACGGCTAAAATGAAAGTTGTCAGGATATGTGGACATGTTTGATTTTTCCACCCCCCCCCCCTCCCATTTCAACTGCATTGCTAGATCAAGGGAGAAAAACAGTCCTTGTTTAAACTATCCAAAAACAATTCATGACCTACGGATTTTGAAAAAACTTCACTTGTAAAACACTTCTCTATTTAAATCCTGATCAACTTGCATAAAGAATTCAGAAAAAGAACAGACTAAGCAAACTGTTAATAAAATTTACTTTTTTCCCCACAACCCAGATGGCCGAAGCTGAAGCAAGTCTCCATGTTTTAGTGCTATATCTTATGACAAGAAACCGAACTCAAGTTACAACAACATGTCAATTGAGCAATAGAGAAATGTCTCGTAACTTTGGTGCATCGTCAAAGAGTCATCTCCATCCCCATGAACTTCTTATCCATTTTATCTAAACTACTCAGTTTAATGGTCTGATGAGTTCAATGACCTTTCTCTCATGACTTCCTCTCATCCTTTAACTGTTATAGGGATATCTACAGTACTTCAGTCCCATTCAGGAATAGTTTTACTGTTATTTTAGTTTTCAATAGGAACCAGTTTAAAAAAAGCTATTTGTACCTGTCACTGACATATAAGTATAATACATGCATGTATGTCAGGACTTAGTGCAAAACCATTTAGAAAATCACTTTAAAATCCTCCTTTTGAGTTCTTCTCCAATTAAATGAAAATTAACTAAAAAAAGCCATCCTAAAATTGACAATGTTTCATGGGATATGAGGGCACTGTCTCAAAAGTGTGTGTGTGTGTGTGTGTGTGTGTGTATGTGTGTGTGCATGTGCATGCACGTGCCTAAGATCTTATCATTCTCTTCACGTCCTTCATTATTCACACCACAAAGGGGTGACTAAAGGGTCAGGTTGCCTGGATAATACATTACTAATTTATATATATCATAGGTATTCCACATTACCTGAAATATCTGTTTCAATGAGAATAAGGCTCTTCTCAGTTCTCTCCCTGTTGAGTTTAGTAGTTTCTCTGAAAATGATGGAAAAATAATTAATAACCCATTATATATAATTCAAGTATAGTTATTAAAGTGTCCAAATCAATTGCTTTGATCAGTAAATTACCCTATTAACTGCAATCAAATTATTTATTTCATTGAGATTGAACAGGATCTAATGTCAAATAAACACACAATAATGGGGATGAAAATGGATGACAAAATAATTACAATTCAAGTATGGATATGCAATTCTGTATTCCAGCACCCTACTCTGAAAACAACTAAATGCCACAAGTCCATAACAAATTTCAAACGTGAAAACAAACCCAGAATTTGGGACACAAATGCCAATGCTGTGACTTGGAATGAACCATGTGAAAAATATTGACATCCATTGCATAACACTAAGAATGTCAACAGAGAGGACCTTAAGGAAGATGTTGACTCCATGAGGAACTTGTGTTGGAACACATGAGCGCTCCTTTGGCGATTGACATCACAGAAAACACTAAACTATGAATGAAACATTTATGACATTGTACATTATCATTTTGTAGAAGTGAGCCTGTAAATGTAAAAACTTTTTTTTGAGTTCAATTAGTTTTATTATAATCTAACATCATCTAGATTGGCAAAACATTTATACATTTTGCTCTGTTTAATAATGAAAACATGCATTAGGGCAAATTCTAGAGACATTCCATGTGTATATTTGATGTACATATCACGGCGGGATTGGAGATCAGATCCACCGCGACATAGGTCCAAGAATAAATCAACACAACTTAGTATGTACTTCAGGTTTATTCCTGGTCAAGAGCTGGGACCTCCAGTCAGCTTGTTCAGCTGTCTGGTGTAGCCAAGTCCAGTCTTTCTCTCTCAGAGAATACATGCAAGTTATATAGCCTATCTGAACAAAGGACAATAAACAATGAACTTAATTACATACCAAATAGAATATTTGAATATTCTATCTTGGATGGGAAGTCTGTACTAGTAACAGTGTTACTTTTCAGACAACATTAACATCATTTCCTATTTCGAGGCACAGAATTATTAAAGGTGGGTTGTTAACATGATCCTCAAATTAAAGAAAGCCACCCCCAGTGCAGACACTGATATGTAATTTATTCAAAATGTCATCTCCTAAGTCTCATTTAAAAGGCTTTATCCATTATAAGAGGTCTAGACTTTTTCTTTAAGTTAAAGATACCAATAGCTTATTAACATAGGTATACAAATACAGGAACAAAAGAATGCTAACAGTATGAGAGACCATGGAGGGGGTCAATATCATTTTAATTAATTAACTATTTTGACAGGTAATTGATATCAATTAACATAAAATGTTGACATATCCAATAAGCTGGTTGTTTTGTCTTATGATTTCCATTGGATGTCCTATTAGCTTTATCTTATAAGTCATAGCAATATAAAATACCGGGTATATCTGAAATCTCTTTGACACCTAAAAAGGTGGCAATTCTCTATAAGAGAAATTAGGGTCCATTTCTGAATAGCAAACATTAATGGGGATGTTCAAAGGGGCGGAGTGGGAGACGGAGGAGCTTTTACTACTATACTACTTTATCCTCATGCTCAATAAAATGGGAAGGAATACAGGAAAAATGGCTGCTAACCAGTTTCTTTCACTAAAAACTGACAACTTAAACTGAATCTGACAGATTATTCAAGGAAAAACCCATACATGTCTCTTTCACACAAGAAACCACAAAGTTTGAATATTGAGGAAGTGAGGCTCCACAAAACTACGCCCTTGCTCAAACCACAACAATTATTACATTAGATTTTTAAATGAATTATGTATACAACTATTCATGAAGATCGTGTTCCTTATAATTCCTACCCTTAACTTCTTCAGCAGTAGCTCTACTTGCAGCGCTTTTTGTCATCACTATCATAGCTGAAGCAGCCGAATATCCTCCTCAAGTACAAATCCTCCTATCCTCGTCCAGCCATTTCTGCCTCCATATTTCAAATCTCAACACGACGCAATTTTCAAAAACATCACGACAATGACACAAGCCAACGCCAAGTCCAAAAACTGTCAGCTGTCAATCGACACCAGTGGTGGCGGCCAGTGACAATGACACCCCTTCGGAACAATGGCGCAGATCAGTATTTAGGGGTCATTTGCATGCCCCTCTGCCTCAATTAAAACCCCTAGATGTTTGCTGTGAAAACAGCTGCCCCAGGAACAATAGAATTGTAGGGTCAAGGTGGAAATTGGCTTACTGGGACCTACTTGGGAGGGGCAAGAGGGGAGGGGGTCAACGAAGATGGGGGGGGGGGGAGTAGAGGCACATCACTAGTAAACTTGTACTAGATAATATTGCTGTTTATAATTTGCGTCTTTTATGTAAAATATTATATAGCCTTATATAAAGATCAGCTATTCAGACTAGCTTGCTGTGTTGGTGACTGCTATAATAATATCACATTGAGAGTCCACTCTATGTAAATAATAGGAAGAAAAGCAAGAGAGAGAGAGAGAGAAAGAGAGAGAAACGATGATGATGACGATGAGGATGACAAACTTTTCATGGTTCTTGAAGCAGTGTGTTGGACCTGTATTCCACAACATGCAAGAATTCTAGAAAGTTACCTTTTGTCACACATTGGCTTGGTTCAAACCAGAACTTACATAAACCCAAAGCTGACTAAATGGGATCACCAGACAACCAGCTGAATTGTTTTACATGGAATCATGTCCTATGATGATATAAACTGTTTTCAGTGTAAGTCAGGCCTGGTGTTAAGGTGGGGGCCATATACAGACCACATAGACAAACGAACTATTGATTGCATTCAACAGCCTTGGCATCTGTACAGAATCACTGGAGTGAAATGCATTACTTTCACTCTGTTGATGCTGTTTGCACAATAATAATACGGCTTTATCTTTTAAATGACACTCCGAGTCATTTTCAAATTTTATCCAGTAATAAAAAGGTGAGTTGAGGACGTAATTCTCTGCCCTAGGCCGCAAGTATTGTTGACTTAAAATCTGAGTTTTAACCAGTTATTATTCAACTCTACCAGAGTAAGAAACATGAACTTTATAACGATAATGGGATTTTTTACCTGACGGGAAAAACATCAAGAAAAAATGTATTAATTTCATTTTATCACAAATAAGCATGTGCCTCTCATGTTTCAAACACCATCAACATGTATATGACTTTATTCTTTTATTCAGCTACATACTTCCACTTTTCTAAATGTGGAGAAAAAAGTAGGCACCCTTAAAAGAAGGGAAAAAGCAAATTTTTTGACAAGTCACTGTATAGACAAATAATTTGAATAATAGCCAAACAGATTCTAAAACATAGAACTACTACACTGCCTTTTTTTGAGCAAGAAAGAATTACTGACTAATAGCTACTGAAGTGTCAATGAAAAGCATTATAATAATATCTGGAATGAATCTTTAAGATACTAAGACAAAAGTATCTTTTTTTTTATTTGGTTAAGAATATATCCATATACCATATAAACTACAAACTGTACTTTTCCCCCCTTTTTCTGTTTGGCTGGTCAGACAATGATTAGCAAATACGACCCCAGGGCAGCCAACAAAGCCGTAGGAGTTGTCAACAAAGCCCCTAGCGTATTACAAGACCCCGATGTTGCCAAAAAAGACCCGAAGATTTAGCTGAATGTTTAGCTGATCAACCAAGTGTGACTGTTCAACATAAAGTTCATTTCCTTCCTGTAAGGTGCAGTTCTCTTAGACTTCCTAGTCCTTGGTGTTACAAATGGACCCAGCCTTTACATAACAGTGACTATATAAATATCCCAGGTGAACTGGACCTGTGCGATGACCCGTGGCGTTATCAAGAGAAATCAATCGCGTAATGGTCTATCCTACCTTTAACGTGCGCCATCTTTTGACAGCAGACACAACATGTATCACCCTGTTGACGGTCCCAGACTTCTCAGCCATTTCTCTGGGTTTATCTCGAGTATTTTCCATCCATTTTTAAAACGCAGACAGCCAACTCTCCTGTTAATTCATTCGTCAGGTGGTACTTTTGTTTTCTCATGGTTCTATTTACACTGTGGGCTTAGGGGCATGGAGACAGTTAATTAATCCAAACAAAGGAAAACAAGCATTACATGTACAAAACATGGACTATTACAGCATGTTTTTAAAGTAACTAAAAGTATATGAAATTTCTTCGATTTCATTTCTCTTCTATAATTCTTGAAAAAAATAACTATCATTCCTTATTTTATTTTTATTACAAATAATTAAAAGAAATGTCTTCTTTTTTTACCATCATTTTTAAATATTTAACATGTTTTTATTTTTGACATCTAAAAAAAGAGTGTGCCCTTACCACAATGATATCCATCATATGTTATAAAAGGTAGGAATTTTTTTGGAGAAAAAAACAGTATGGCACTTCTGGTCTGAAATCTGGACAGAAACTCTAGAATTTAGACATCTGCTGGGTTATCTAGTAAGTGTACCTCAGTCTTACAACAGAGCAGATATCCTGTCCATGAAGAACACCAAAGTTCAACTTGTCTCACACGAAATAGGAAACTTCCACAACGTCCAGGTGAAAAACCACAAAAACTACCTGTGGTGGGATATCCCTAGATAAAAACAAGACCACATGCTCAATAACATTGTTCACAGGCACATAATAAAAAATCCCACTGCGGCTAAGATCTTTGTGGTCCCCTATTTGGTCTGGAAGAAAGGACCAGACAGCAGGGCCCGGTTCCACAAACTAACATAAAACCGAAAGTTGGTCTCAGCTTTAAAAAATTTTTTTTTAGTTTACTCTGACCTACATCAAAGGTGCATCAAAGGTAGTCTTGTTCAATAAAATATTGTCCTATTTATAGAGAGAAGTTTTGGATCAACAGTTTCTTTATCTAAGTGTACCACTAAATTGAATTGAAGTGGGCTGAAGTTTTCTGTCTTCACTTGTTTTGTGGAATCGACCCCAGAACTCCTGCACTTGACTCACCCATGCCTGTTCTAATGACTTTAAATAGGGGTGAAATGATATAGTCCAAGCATGTCCCATGTCTGCAGACTGTTAAAGTGACTTTTTTATCAGGCATGAGATTGACTTTTAGATAATTCGTATGAAAACATTCGGATAAGTAAAACAAATTTTCAACAAAAACCTAAAATCCTTTTTTTGTTTCAAATGTTTTCAAAAATCAGAAAATAAACCTTTTTTTTTTTTCAATATCTCAACAAAAATGCTTTTAATTTTAACTTTTTTCTACAGCATCAGCATTTCTGGCATAAAAAAACTTATGGTTCTACTATCTAAAGATTAAAATCAACAGTAAATGCAGGTGAAGAAAAAAAAACACCTAAGCATCGCTAAACACTCGAGTATTTCCAAAAGTTCACCTTCCTCTTGGGTCAAAGTGCCACAGCACACACTTCACTTGAAGTGATAACCTCTGAACTTATCTTTCAATATTAACACTTTACATTCTAATAACCCAATCACCATGAATGACAAGTTCATATAAACCAATATTGAGAGTTAAAATAATACAAGAGGACGTCACAATGCAGAAGGTACACTTTCTCCCACATTCTGTTTACCTGAACGAGATTGATGCACATACCAAAGCTGGGGATTCAAGATGTTTGGAGTACTTAACAAATGTAATTCGACTGTAATAACAAATACCCCCCTCCGCCCCCCATTCCACTTAGTCTCTATCCCAGGACAGATCTTATTTTAGTTCACTTTGGAAATAAGAACACATAATTTTGCTTAGAAATCCTCTCCAATCATCTGGAGGAGAAATTACAGAGGGATTATCCAAATTCCTTTACAAAGTAGATAAAGCAGAGCTGTTCAAGATATATATAGAGAGAACTATGTATGCATTGTAAATAAGAAGCATGACTAGCTGTTGGAAAGCAGACTTGAGTGACTCAAAACGTGTAATTTTCAGTTGGGAGCACTGTTGTTCATTCCCTGAGAGAATTCACTGGGAATTTTACTAATTAAAATTATCAATTCAATTCATGATGTGATTTTTCTACCTTCTTCATTCAATAACTGGGAATAATCTACTGGTGCTGCCATAGCAATTCTTTCATTTTACAGCCTTTCATTAATCAATCAAATAATATAAAATTAAAGGTGTGTGCATGCACACGAGCGTGTGCACGAGGGCTTTGTGTATGTGTGTATATACGTATGTGTATGTTAGATGGTAGAAGAGGAACCTGAGCAAATTCCACAAGTGCCAGGTAGAACAAGGGAAGACTTTGACAGCTGTCAGTGCTATTCCTTTTCAATACCTGAAGGTATTTTAATCTTGGTGTTTTCATCCTCCTTCAGTGTCAGCACATGTTTTCTATCCTTTTTATTCAATGGCAAGAGAACCTTCCCATTTTTTCAATTACTTCAGCATCTATTTAAAACCTGTGTTTCCTTTTATAGATCTGTTGCATAACTTCAGCCTTATCTTCTAATTAAACTCAAGAAGAAAGAAAACCAGAGAGTTCAGGACGTGAAGTTATGCAGAATGACAACTCTTGTTGAAAATCCCACCGTTATCTGACCCTAGAATTTCTACCTGAAATAAGCAAATGTGGCAAGATTGAGCTTTGGGGGAAAGAACAGGGCAGAAGGTTCACTGGAAGGTATGATACCCCTCTCTTGAGAGACTACCTATGAGGAGGTAGGGTGGAGATAGGGCTGAGGGGGGAGTGGGGGGGGGGGGGGGGGGGGGGAAGGATCCTGTCTAGGATTCTGANCATTTTTTCATCAAAGCCATACATCAATTGGCATACATTCATGACACTTGAGTTCTCAGTTATCTCCTGGGTAGTGCTTGGAATTTGATCTGAAGTGTTTCTATCCTAGTGGCCATGTGGTGTTGCTGTAACTTTCGAGTGTTAACATAGGTTTTCACTCAGGTGTAAGCCAGATGGAAAACTGTTCCCTCAAACCCTGTCTGAAAGCCAATTTGAAAACCAACCCTTTGCTTGCATTTTAAATACTGTTACTATGTTATTTTCCTAGGCTTTAACACACTAATGGACAAACAAGACAAATAGACTGTGAAAAAGAGATACAGAGAGAGAGAAAGATTTTTTGGGCCTGAAGTCTGTCAATCTTTCAGTTCACCTCACTTCACCTCACCTGTCTGAGGACTTAACAGAGACAGACAGCACACCCCCACATAGTGGAGACTTCACCTCTGCTGTGTTTACCATATGAAATAAGACACTGTAATAACATGTACTTGCTAATGGTGGATGTACAGTTAAGTCTTTTCAAGCACAGGTGAAGGATTCATTTTGTGACCATATATCTAAGAATACAATATATAAGAATACAATGCATCTCACTTATCTCCTTATATCTCTCTCTCTATAAAAGGTGCCACAATAGAGGTATCTTTAATCATTAACCAAGTTATTTATACATGGTTAACAATCATCACCCTCACCTGTGACTCCATAACCATAAATTATCAAACAGAGCAAAAAAATCTTATCCTTGTATTTCTAAGGGGCACAGATATATCCGTATAGGTCTGATCCACCAAAAAGAAACATAATGTCACCAACTTGGACTTTGGTTCAGCTGCAGTGCCACACGTAAACAGGCAAAAAGTTCAGATGTTGTGTTGATGATGAGGACGATGATGAAAAAACGAAGGTGGTGCTGACAAGGAAACTTATTCCATTCATTATATTCGGTAGTTGCTTGCAGTATGAGTAGTGATTTTTTAATATAATCACAAATATCCATGCAAAAAAAAACATCAAATATAACTTAACAAAAATCAACCACTTGCATGTGAACAATTACACGTACGAAAAAACGAGTCATGAACATGTGTCACTTACCTATACATGCGTGAACACGGACTGATAACTGTGTACGAAGAATTATTGTGTTCTTGCGTCTGAAAAGCAAGGAAAAGATAATCATATTCAACACACTTAAGAACAAGAGGCTATAAACATAGAACTGGTGACAAAAATAAGTGGTTATAATATAATTATCTTCATCTGAAATGAAAGGAGATAAATATTCCTCCTGTAAAGACGAGGTGATCAAATTATCTTTTAACTGGGGAATCCAAAATTATAATTTTTATAAAAGGGGGAAAGAAGATGGATATTATAATTTCAAAGGAAAAGGAGGAGAGAAAAAATACCATTTCTTAATGAAGCAGAGATTAAAGCTATATTTTCAAAGGAAGGACAATAATATTTTTGAAAAGAGAAATATATAATTTCACCGAATATAGAAGGGCAGGTTGAAATACAATTTTCTAAACAAATCAGCTCCTGCCGGTTATAACTTGTCAAACTATTCCCCCATCCTCTGGCTTCAATTTTTATACAAATTCAACCCAGCAGTTGATTCAAAACACAATTTGAGAGAGTGAATACTTTAACACCTTAAGTGAGTACTTCCCTTTGTAAATCAGAAATTACATGCACCCCAATGGAAGGCAATACGACCTTCTCTTTGAGCAAAAATGAATCGGGTTTATTTTTCAAAATCAAATATTTTCTCTCACCTCTCTCACAACAGGTGCTCCTGTTACTAGACTTAACTGTTTGCCTTTGTTTGTTTTTCTACTTCAACTTGTTTAAGATTACAGTCGACATTGTTATAACTGTTTGCTTTTGATTTTTCTGTCATTTCAACAAAAACACACGTTCAATAGACTCTCTATTGCTCCAACGCCCCCAGTTTCAATATACACATCAGCTGTTTTAATAACATTTTCAACTAATAATCAATAAAACAAGACAATGTACAAATGATGCAGGTGCTTTGTGCAAAAAATTGGGTGGAGTCGCAAAAATCATGATGATATAAATATTCAAGATATTTCCCTTTTGTGTACAAGGTAGGTGCTATGTTTCCTCTAGATTTCTTTCAATCAGAGATAATTGAGCCTCCCCCATTTAAAGGCACCGTATTTTAAATACAAATTGGTAATTTTTTATGGAATTGTCAGAGAAAGACATCTACTGTGTACTTTTTACCCAAGCATTTTTTTCTTCCTTTCTATTTTTGAAAGAAATATACACACAAAGTGAGGAAAACTGACAGAGAAATATTGCTACTGAACAGTAAACACTGACTGCTAGAATGTGCCCGAGAATCATTCAGAAGGTTTACAGTAAATCTACACTCCTTGATAAATTTAACTGTCACTCTTAATGTCCAACTGACAAAAGCTGACAACTCTCTTTGGCCAGGTGGAAAATAAGTCGACAAAAGCCGCAATGACAAAAGATATCATTTCCATTTTCGATTCCCTCTTCTTGTAACATTTCTTGACGGGGCTGTCCCAAATTACACCCATTGACACAAAGAAGTAATCCCTTCAACGCACAACCTCTATCCCCTCACATATATTGTATGTCGTTTACTAACAATCTGTTCTTGCTACACATATATTGCATGTCACCTCACTGACAACCTCCTTCTATTTCAGCAACATCGTACATTGTCAGTCTTATAACACTGCTCTTCACACAAATACTGCATGTCTCAAAACAAGTCCTCTCTACATTAACCCCTGTACAATTGTGCCTATAGTCCATGTCCTGGTTTCTTTTTATTCCTGTGTACAGGTGTATCTTAGCTAATACAAGACCACTGGACACCTTTTGCAACACAGATCTGCACCTGTACCCTTAAAATATCTAACCCAAGTGACAAAAGCTTGCTTTACTGAACTGGAAAGATGTAAAACTAAAATGATTTTTTTTTTAATTTTTGAGCCATATCTGCTCTTCAAAAGAATTACTTCAAACAAATTTCTTGCATTTTAAGATGTAACAGGGCAAATTATTGAAAGTGTTTATAAAGCAGCTTTTAGAAAAGGATTTAAATACTTCATTTCAATGTATCTATCAGTATATATACTAGTAATTCACTACCATGTCAGTCATCAGTTAATATTCCAACATTTCTACTTCCACCTCCTTAGACTGTGTTCCCATAACCTTATCATACTAGCAGGATCGATCTATCATGCAACATGAACAGCATCATGGACAAAAATGTTTTCCCGACTTTACCTAAATACCTGTAGTTACGAGGTGGCATGCTAGACATTTAAGCTGCTTAAAGTGAATGCAATTTAATGAGAATCCCCAAGGAGTTAGATCGATCCAGCTAGTAAGTTAGGATTATGGGAACGGGGCCTTAGAAGCACTGTGCCCGCATAAAATGAAACGCCATATTTCCAGTCCAGCTGGATCTAGACACATTTTGGTGCCACACATTTCTGCAAATAACTTAATTGCAATCAAGTCACCACTGGCAGCAGGTCCAAGTGTGACACATATTTCATGAAAAGGGGTTTCATTTTATTTATAAATCTTTTTTTTTTTAATTATATTCTCCATTTATATATTAAATTCAAAAATCTGATTTGGCTCATTTTATTCAGAAATTTTGCAATTAAAAAAAGTTACACAGTGACATAATGAGGATTGATTTTTAATAAAAAATATATCTAGGCATTCTGGCTATAAACCCATCAAATTACCATATTAAACACCTACCTGTTAATAGTGATCAGTAAATATAATAATATAGTAATTTATTCCGTTCAACATTTACCTTGTGGCCGTCTCCTGGCATTTTCCCTCCTAAACTAAGTGTAATATGACAATCATATCAAGCCGCAGGCAGAAAGCATGGGTTTAGCACAGATTATATATACTGGTAACAACAATTTAGCTTTGGGCACATTCATGCTACTGAAGCTACTCTGATGATGTTTTTCCTAATCATCTGTCCTGACAAGTACACCACTCATTGTTAATTAAAAAGTGGAATCATTAATCCATAAAATGTGTGTTTTTCGTTATTATTTGTCAGGTCTTTTATGCCAAGTTCATTTTTACTACACCCAGCTGCAAAAAGTGACATTTTAAGTTCAATAAAGTTAAAAGATCTTTTGCAATACGCATGTCATTGTGCCTTCAAATCCTGAAGTGTAATGAATCATGCAACTGGCAAGCGAAGTTGCCACATATTGCATAATGACGGTGCATATGTTACTTCATATTACAAGTCCATGTTTCAAAATGCAGGAGCTGCTTCTTGGTATAGCAGTAATGTAGCGATGTACTAGTACACAAGTGTGCAGAAAAAACTTTATCTATTTATTTATCTTTTATTAATATGCCAGCAAAAGGGCGCCTCTTCAATCTAGATATAATTCAATTTTCACCCATCCATTTTATTCAAACTGGAAAATTATTATACCTAAGGATACACCTGGCATAAAAAAACTAGCCAGGCATTTCATTAAGAAAAAAATATATTAAATTACAGGTCTTTTATTCTATAAAACCAGGTGCCATCCCTTCATTACTTCCTGATTGTCCTGCAACCAAACCCTGTAACCACCATTATTAACCATCTATATAGATGCTATCACTATTCTTATGATGTTTTTTTACTTGACTCTGTGGTTACCAACTCAACTTACCCCCCCCCCTCCCCATCTCAGGGATGAGGGGCAGTCTTAGAAACGTCCGTTGCACAACATAGGACAAAATATGCTGAAAAGGAGGAAGGCTTTCAGGCAAACCTTTACTTATCTGATGGCTTAGTATACACATAAAAACTGTCAGTGGTCTTTTTCTCTGTCTGAACACACATTTGCCTAAGCAGTAGCTTACTAGTACTACCGAACCAGAATTTGTAACTGGTCCTATTTCCTGTCTGAACTCGCTACCAGACAGCTACAAACAATATCGTGCAACATGATACCTGGCGAATACATGTATAGGACACCTGTAATTCAACAGGCCAAGTATTTACGCATTATGCAAGTGCACACAATGAAAGTTGCACAATAAATAGGGCCTGGAGAGATTACAGTGTTACACTCCACTTGTAAATCAACAGGCAAAACTTGAAGATCTGATAAAAGTACACCTTGACATTTGGGTTGCTTGTGACTTGGTAAGTTGAGGTACTCAGAAGGCATATTTCATAACAATCTAGAATACCATATAGAAGGTGATAGCACATAGAATAGGAGGCACGATGAATGGATAAAATGAGAANGCTCAGAAGGCATATTCCATAACAATCTAGAATACCATATAGAAGGTGATAGCACATAGAATAGGAGGCACGATGAATGGATAAAATGAGAATAAATAAAAAGATGATGAAAAAAAAAATCCCCCCCTATTCATTTATTGAAATACAAATACATTATAAAAACATGTATCAAATAATTATTAGTATGGAATGTGGAAAAAATAACTTATGCAAGGTGTATTGTGTTATTTTGGATTTTAGTTTTAAAGCAAAGTCACTAGTGCATTTCACACGCACATCCAAACACCTTGCTCATTCTGGTGTGTCTATTCCTATTACATATTCACAGCTATAAATGAGTTAACTTACTGTTCATTGAAGCCCTCTAACTCATCCCACTGTTCTTCCAGGGCTAGGTCCAGGTCCAAGTAGGTGCCATATTCTCCCTGGCCAGTGTGGTTCACCTTGAACAGCTGGAGGGCACAGTCTTCAAGCTGGAGGAGACGGGGTGATAGAATACATTTCATATAGTGTATGTGATTTAATGTACTAGGCATTGAGGGTTCAATGAACAGTGTGTATATGTGTTCCCATACCCGAGCGCGTGTGTGTGCATGTGTGTGTGACAGATAGGTAGAAAATATAGACTATATATAGATGGAGATTGAATGTACTTTTGTTGGAAACTAAAGGTTCAACAATTAAAAACTGTGTGTGTACGTGTGTACTTTTGTGAAAGAGTATGTGTAAATGTGTAATAGAGATATATGAGCGTGCATGTTTGACAGAGAAAGTGTCTGCATGCGCATGTGTGTGTGAAAGAATGTGTACAACAGTGTGTGCTAACATGTGTGCATAAATTTATATACAGGTGCATATTTATATGTATGCACATGCATGAGCATACCCAATGTGTTTGTATTGTTTTGATTTTCTACCTGATGTAATCAGCATTCAATGAACTAATGTTGCATGCCGTTGTAAATCAGTTTGAATGTGCCTTTTGTAAAATGTCGTCATTTCAGAGACTGATCTTTCGTCTTGTTTTTTTAGTTTGGTTTCTTAATCAAGTTGAAACAATCTTAAGTACCAAATTAATTCTGAGGCATTGCCATAACAAGTAATGATGGATAACATCAGACGGGGCCTGGCCAGGCAATATAATTAATAATACATATTATTTTGTGACAGGGAAGTATGCAAGATGACAACATCGCATGTCATAACTCTATTGATTGGGAAGTATGCAGACCGGCATTGTTATCAGTGAATAACATGTTTGAAATACCTGGGCTGATTTCTTGTTTGAGTTTTGACATTTCTTTTTTTTTTCGTTTGGCAAATTAGGGGCGTTATCACTTGCCATATTGGTGTCACCAAGTACAAGACAAGAACACCTGTTTATAATAGTACCTTGTCTCTATAACAGAAGGTTGAGCAACAGCCTGTCCGCATGTACTTTGTAACTTTGATGTAATTATTATACAACAGCATGAAATTAATCAAAAGTGAACTTTCCAAGTGTTTTTCAAGTTATAAGTCGACCTGCAAAAAATACCAATCAACACTTACAATTTGAGGTCACAGATGTTAGATTTTTAAAGCTGCATGTTGTCCTTTATCTCTCGTAAAATTTATGCATAATTTAATATGTTATAGCAGCAGATGTGTGCCACATGCTACGGCGTTTACAGCCACTCTATTCTGTAAAATTTAGTACTTCAGAAGATTTCTTCTAGCAATTCATTAATTAAAATCATCAAAATTCCACAAGAGCTTTATGCTGTTCAAATGTTATGTTGCAAAATATCAATTACTGTTATTTTGCATAAAATCAGGCCTCAATGGACAGTTTTTCAATTTTTATAGACACAGAGTATAGCATATAAGCAATGAAACACATCACTTTTCCTACTGCTTTACTTTATAAAAAAAATTCATTTTCAAATGCTTATATCTTCATAACTGAAACATTATAAACAAAAAACTTTAAGGCAGAAAATAATTCACTCATATTGATCAAATTAATTAAATCAACCAAACTGAATCAGCTGTATGATGCTGGTGTTTCCTAGTTGCAAGAATATTGGAGAAAAAAGGTAAGTCCGTCTCCCCCCCCCCCCCCCCCTCCAAAACCTCTCTGTGGCATGTTGTATTATGCACTAGCCAATAGTCATTATCCAAATACTGTCACACACCTCTTACTTTGCCATCATAACTGGTCAATTCTAAACTGTTGATCAGATAAAAACCATAAATCAAAAAGACATAAAAGCCTTCCCCGCATACACACCTGTGCCTCAAGGAGACAAAATAACCACCACATATCCCACTATCCATTTAAAAGGGCCACAATATTAACTACCAAGCCAGAACATGGATAATATCTATTTACCCATATTTTTCATTTCTATTTATAGACCAATGCATGTGTCTAACAGGGGCAGATTTAGGCCGTCTTCTGGGTCTTCCAGAAGACGGTCAGATTTTCAAGTTTACATTGACGGGTATCTTTTTTTTCTGTCGGAAGACGGTCAAAAATGGAGGACGGATCAACAAAGATAATTTGGAAGACTGTCAGAAAATATCTCTGAATTCGCCCCTGTCTAAGTATAAAAGCATAATCTATTTCCATAAAATGACACGTCATCAGTTTATTATAAGTACTACTTATTATTTGTGTTGAAAGAACAAAGGTAAGGGCTTATGGACAATTTCCTTCTTTTCCTCATGGACCTATTATTTCAGAAATGTCACACATTCCTCCCTGTCATTAAAGCAGTGACATTAATAGCAGCCTGTAAATTAATGGCACTTCAGCAGAGACACTCTTTACTATCACTGGGACAACTTTTGAAATTTATCAGGAGAAATCAAACAAAGTAGACCTCCATTAGAATCCTGGGTATGGGTAGGAAAAACATACTGAATGAAAGTACAGGTGAACTTCTTTTGACTTTGGGGCTTTATTTTTAAATGTTGTACTTTCTTCGAGAACCATCTCTTTTGCCCCCCTCCCCCCAACTACTCCCCTCCGTCAACAATTCAATGCTCTAATGAATCGGAATGCACAAAATAAATAAATCCAGTTACATTACCATACAAATAAATTTACCCAACACGTAAAAATTTTACACTTTTTACTGCTAATTATCAATGTATTTCTTCACTACTAAATAACTTGCTGAAAGGCCTGAATCATAAATTGAACAATCATGCTATAAAATTAAACACCAAAGTCCAAATATAGATACACATAGTATTGTCATTTAACTGCAGTGAATCACTTAGTATATATATATATGTGGGTGAAAGGTATATTTACACAGTATATATATATATATATATATATATATATATATATATATATATATATATATATATATATATATATAGGTCATCTTTGTAATAATAATAATCTACACCTCCAACCATGTGGGCATATACATACACGCAACTACCCTATGCCCTACCAGTATGAACACCCATGCACACACACACGTATATATNGCTATCTTCAAAAATTTGAATATATAAATGATCATGTAGTAATTAATTGCGTGTATCGCTTTTAGTTTGCTGCGATCGAGTAAATGTAAGTAAGCGGATAGCTGAATCGAATATGGCTTTCTGAGCCTCGACGCAAGTGACGTCACTCGCCTCAAAGCGCCACCACGCGGGAGTATCCTAAACTACATTCACACCTGCATAAAATCGGCTTTAAAAACTAAATAAACGTAAGAACTTTTTTTTCATTACTCAAAAATGACTTTTGGGCACCTAATGGATTGTTTTAACCCGTTTTTTCATCACAGTATACCTTTAAAACATGTCAAATAATTACTAGTAAGGAATGTGGAAAAAAAAACATATGCAAAGTGTATTGTGTTATTTTTGAAGTCTGATTAAGCAAAGTCACTTGTGCATTTCACACACACACACACACACGTCCTCACACCTTGCTCATTCTGGTGTGTTTATTCCTATTCCATATTAACAACTATAAATGAGTTAACTTACTGTTCATTGAAGCCCTCTAACTCATCCCACTGTTCTTCCAAGGCTAGGTCCAGGTCCAAGTAGGTGCCACATTCCCCCTGGCCAGAGTGGTTCACCTTGAACAGCTGGAGGGCACAGTCTTCAAGCTGGAGGAGACAGGGAGATAGAATACATTTCATATAGTGTATGTGATTTAATGTACTAGGCATTGAGGGTTCAATGAAAAGTGTGTATATGTGTTCCCATACCCGAGCGTGCGTGTGCATGTGTGTGTGACAGATAGGTAGAAAATATAGATTGTATATAGATGGCGATTGAATGTACTCTTGTTGGAAACTAAAGGTTCAACCATTGAAAACTGTGTGTGTACGTGTGTACTTTTGTGAAAGAGTATGTGTAACAGAGATATATGAACGTGCATGTTTGACAGAGAAAGTGTCTGCATGCACGTGTGTGAAAGAATGTGTACAACAGCGTGTGCTTACATGTGTGCATACATTTATATGTATGCACCTGCATGAGCATACCCAATGTTTGTATTGTTTTGATTCTCTACCTGATGTAATCAGCATTCACTGAATTATGGTTGCATGCCATTGCAAAACAGTTTGAAAGTGCCTTTTGTGACTGTCGTCATTTCAGAAACTGATCTTTTGTCTTGTTTTTTTTAGTTTGGTTTCTTAATCAAGCCGAAACAGTCTCAAGTACCAAATTAATTCTGAGGCATTGCCATAACAAGTAATGATGGATAACATCAGACGGGGCCTGGCCAGGCAATATAATTAATAATACATATTATTTTGTGACAGGGAAGTATGCAAGATGACAACATCGCATGTCATAACTCCATTGATTGGGAAGTATGCAGACCGACATTGTTATCAGTGAATAACATGCTTGAAATACCTGGGCTGATTTCTTGTTTGAGTTTTGACATTTCTTTTTTTTTTTTTTTTCGTTTGGCAAATTAGGGGCGTTATCACTTGCCATATTGGTGTCACCAAGTACAAGACAAGAACACCTGTTTATAATAGTACCTTGTCTCTATAACAGAAGGTTGAGCAACAGCCTGTCCGCATGTACTTTGTAACTTTGATGTAATTATTATACAACAGCATGAAATTAATCAAAAGTGAACTTTCCAAGTGTTTTTCAAGTTATAAGTCGACCTGCAATAAATACCAATCAACACTTACAATTTGAGGTCACAGATGTTAGATTTTTAAAGCTGCATGTTGTCCTTTATCTCTCGTAAAATTTATGCATAATTTAATATGTTATAGCAGCAGATGTGTGCCACATGCTATGGCGTTTACAGCCACTCTATTCTGTAAAATTTAGTACTTCAGAAGATTTCTTCTAGCAATATATTAATTAAAATCATCAAAATTCCACAAGAGCTTTATGCTGTTCAAATGTTTATGTTGCAAAATATCAATTACTGTTATTTTGCATAAAATCAGGCCTCAATGGACAGTTTTTCAGTTTTTATAGACACAGAGTATAGCATATAAGCAATGAAGCACATCACTTTTCCTACTGCTTTACTTTAAAAAAAAATAAATAAATTCATTTTCAAATGCTTATATCTTCATAACTGAAACATTATAAACAAAACACTTTAAGACAGAAAATAATTCAGTCATATTGATCAAATTAATTAAATCAACCAAACTGAATCAGCTGTATGATGCTGGTGTTTCCTAGTTGCAAGAATATTGGAGAAAAAAGGTAAGTCTGTCTCCCCCCCCCTCCAAAACCTCTCTGTGGCATGTTGTATTATGCACTAGCCAATAGTCATTATCCAAATACTGTCACACACCTCTTACTTTGCCATCATAACTGGTCAATTCTAAACTGTTGATCAGATAAAAAACATAAATCAAAAAGACATAAAAGCCTTCCACGCACACACACCTGTGCCTCAAGGAGACAAAATAACCACCACATATTCCACTATCCATTTAACAGGGCCACAATATTAACTACCAAGCCAGAACATGGATAATATCTATTTACCCATATTTTTCATTTCTATTTATAGACTAATGCATGTGTCTAAGTATAAAAGCATAATCTATTTCCATAAAATGACACGTCATCAGTTTATTATAAGTACTACTTATTATTTGTGTTGAAAGAACAAAGGTAAGGGCTTATGGACAATTTCCTTCTTTTCCTCATGGACCTATTATTTCAGAAATGTCACACATTCCTCCCTGTCATTAAAGCAGTGACATTAATAGCAGCCTGTAAATTAATGGCACTTCAGCAGAGACACTCTTTACTATGACTGGGACAACTTTTGAAATTTATCAGGAGAAATCAAACAAAGTAGACCTCCATTAGAATCCTGGGTATGGGTAGGAAAAACATACTGAATGAAAGTACAGGTGAACTTCTTTTGACTTTGGGGCTTTATTTTTAAATGTTGTACTTTCTTCGAGAACCATCTCTTTTGCCCCCCTCCCCCCAACTACTCCCCTCAGTCAACAATTCAATGCTCTAATGAATCGGAATGCACAAAATAAATAAATCCAGTTACATTACCATACAAATAAATTTACCCAACACGTAAAAATTTTACACTTTTTACTGCTAATTATCAATGTATTTCTTCACTACTAAATAACTTGCTGAAAGGCCTGAATCATAAATCGAACAATCATGCTATAAAATTAAACACCAAAGTCCAAATATAGATACACATAGTATTGTCATTTAACTGCAGTGAATCACTTAGTATATATATATGTGGGTGAAAGGTATATTTACACAGTATATATGTCATCTTTGTAATAATAATAATCTACACCTCCAACCATGTGGGCATATACATACATGCAACTACCCTATGCCCTACCAGTATGAACACCCATGCACGCACACACGTATATGCACACACACACATGCGCGCCGGATAAATGGCAGCACCTATGACATTACCACCAGCCGAAATCTTTCAAAAAAAAAAAGTTCCACCCATCCATATTGCTGATAGAGCTGTAAAGCTATCCCTCAGCTTTGCGGGGTTATTTATGTACATGCTGGCTAACATAAACAGTTAGCCCTGTCATCACTGGGCCAAGTTTCTCAGGTGGGCAACTGCAAGGTGAGCCAAAGGGAGAGAAAGCGGGCATCAGATCGCTTGGAGCTGGATGTATTAACCCCAACTAAGAAATCAACCTACATAAACAGACTGCTGTTTCTTTAATGACTGGTCGCAGCTGTGGTACAGTGGTAAAGAAAATGAGAGGTGGAGGTTTTAGCTTTTAAATATTTATTAGCAATTACCAATATTATAGCCGTTTTTTAAACTCCAGCAATGACATCACTCGTTAATCACTGGTTTGGACTGCTTCATTTATTTTAAACCTGTCTAGACAAAAGCTCCTTCCCACTCCTGTACTTTTGATTACTCACGATCACTTCAATACAAAACTGACTGACGTATGTAAATAACACGCGCAGACAAATCCAAAACTAAAGCTAACTGCATAATGAAAAATATCTCAATGTTTCATTCAAACAGGTTTTACAATTTATTCTGCTTCGTTCGTACATTTTACGACTGAATTTAGACCCATCTGAATACTTTTTCTTTCATTCAAAACAAAACCGCAAGTTTGAACGTTCAAACAGCACTATTTATCTTCAGTAATAATAAGGTTTTGACAGTCGCTACTCACTTTGTGAGGGGCCCGTAAAAGCCTCTGAACGCCGGCGATCTGGCTACCAAGCGGTACATTGGTAAGGAATGTGTAACTAGGCGGGCGAGAAGGCTCCGGGAACGCTGTGCTAGAAAATGGGTCCCTATCGTCCAAAAATTGGACCCTGCAACTAAACGTCGCCATGTTTTCACTTCATCGGTGCTCTGAGTGTGTTTGACCGCACAACTACGTCTCTGTGAATATATCCTCCGCGAATGAATCACCTCTTTCCTGTTGAGAGAATTCCTTTGCAAAATGCCGAAAGTCGTACTAAATAACCAACTTATTTACGGTGCATCAACTTGGCAGATAACCTGGAGAGTTCTACGGATGATATATCGTCTGCTGCGCCTACCTTGCTTGAATAATATCCCAGACAGGTACCGGTGTAGGAATATCAGATTTCATCTTGGCAGAGCTGTGACGTCACTACAGCGTGGGCTCTTTCAAAATTTCTCTAATTCAAGACAGTTGATTACCCCGTTCCTGTCAAAATGTTCTTTGATAATTTTGGATTTAGTAATGAATGCTTTATTTGTTTATTTGATGAAGTTTATGCGCGGTTTACTGGTTTAAAGGTTAGGCTGAGCTGGCATAGGTATAAATTAAGGCGCACCTGCTGTGCTTACGGACGGCCTTTAATTTAAGCCTACCTGAGTACAAAGTAGGCTATATAGATTTAACTCATCTTTTAAGCCCCTATATCTCACTGCATATTGCTCGTCATAGCAATAAAAATTATTTCGCTTCTTTATCTCAGTTCAAATTTATATTTATCACGTTCTGGTGCGTTTTAGAATTGTTTTTTTTTTATGTTTGACCCATCTGATTAGGCCTACCTGTGTAACTTGAATTCTACTTTCGTTTCACGTTTCACATCTGTCTCTGTCTACAGTATTGCGTGATTGCATTCAAAATAAAAACCAGTGGCTGTTTGATAATGAATATATAACACACTGCAGACTGTGTACATACAGTAGACTTCTGTACAGCACAGCTATGTTTGGTTCATGCGCCATCTTTTGACATAAGGTAGAACGACAAAGACTAGCCTACAGAGCACACATCTGCGGAAATAAAACTTGTAAGGTGTATTTTTCTTGCGGGCTTTCTTGGCATTAGATTAATTACGAAAAAATATTTATTCATAATTTATTATAAATTACATATTTATAAAAATGTTTATCGATCATTTATTGGCCTTTTTTGACATAATTATGTTTAGCATATAAACCAGTAAAGATATTTTATAAAAGGTATATTTAAAATGTGACAGTTCTTATGTGAGTAATATCTGAATTTGGATTTACTTTCACTTAAAAATGAAAATAAATACTTATATCTGAATTTTGCATAAACTTTCATGGTGTATTCTTCGTTTAAAATGCAGTGCAGTATTTAGAGTGTGTGTAAAAATACTGAAATTATTATTTTCTTCTGGATTCTATTAATCGGTTGTCGTAACAGTTCAGATCACGTTAAATTCGCTCCCAAAAAGTCAAAAAATTTTAGCTTAGTTAAGACTGATAAACTTGGATAGCCGACTACATATCAAGTCGACTTTGCGATATGGCATTTTACCAACGATTGGCCCACCATGCATGTCGTAGACATAGCTAAATGGCTCACCGTTACCACTGAATATAAATGTCAAAGTAAATACTATGACAATTTGCTCTGGAACCCAGTTAAAATACTGAAAAAAAAAAAAAATAAAAAAAATAAAAATAAAAAAAAAAACGAGGTAGCCCCTTAGACTCTGTTTTACTGCTGTCTGAGACAGATATTAAATTCGTTATGTAAAACGGTCCTAATAGTGTTTTGGTATACATGTAAGTGTCTTAGCTTAAATTAAATGAAGGGTGCCTTACTTACCTTAGGGCAGATATACCATCGTTAAATAATTGCATCACATTACTCATCACTTCAGAATACCGAAAACATGATCGTCAATACCTTTAATCATTGCGCTTCCACCCACACGCGAACTTTTTCCATTAACGTTAATTGGCGTGAGTAAGTGAGTAACTAATGAACCAAATTTGCTACCGTAGTAGCACGAGTTTCAAAAAATAAGTGAACAAGTTGTTTCTGCCCAGGTCTATTGCGCATATCGTCAGTTAGGATACGTTTTTCTCTTTTTCTTTGTATCTTTTACATTAAAACCTCTTCCTTGTGTGAAATGCTATTTGTTCTGGATAAATTACTGTTTATTTTTAATTGTCGTTTTTATGGGCCCATGGTTATTCACGTTGTTAGGTTTTGAAGGTAGTTTATTGTTGCGAAATATTCCTTGAAAACGGAGTTTTGCAGAGTTTTTGATTCTTAAATGTCAGTTCACCAACTCAACTACTCCTTTCAAGTAAATCAATGTATACAATTGCATTTTTTCCAACCAATCTTTCATTATTCTCAAGAAGAATTGATTTTTGCTATTAACTGTCATTACTACGTCTCTCAGCGTGTTTTTGACTTGACAGTATTTCTTACACTCACAGTAGATAAACATTTGAAATATGGCTTATTTAAAATATAGCAGAAGTCAATTAGAAATTTTAAAAATCTTCATAAAGATTCTCTCCTTAAACCTTAAACGATGGAAACTAAATATTTCATGTAGGAATGTAATATAGTAGTAATAGTAATTATTTTGGGGCTTTAAAATCCCACATTTTTTAACTTCTTTCATATATTTCATTACGTGGTTGACTTTGATCTGATCAAAGAAGTTTTAGTAGTTGCGGCGTTTGATATTTGTGTTAAATCAGTATGCGCGCTGTTTTTCTTTTTAGAATAGGAAGGGAGCGTAAATGACGATAATAATAATCTCTTGTGAAAATCGGTCATTAATATTTTGAATGTGGAAATAAAATGGTGCAATCTGATGCGACTAAAATTCCCCATGACACATGACGGGGAGGGACATGGCGTTAAAATGGCGCAGTCCAACGTGGGAACCAAAGGGCTGGCTGATCTATTTGTGTGAGTGTGGGTGATATCGTAGCAGGCCGCCATATAGCGGTACAGGTGGCACTTTCAAAAGTGATCCTCGAATATAGATTGTAAGAACGCAAAATCATACCCACTGACTCGTGGCTCACTGAAACTAATATCAAACGTGGTTATATCTACAAATTTGCATATACTTTTGGATAATCTGCCTCACAGTCTCACTGTGCCAACACGTTTTGCGAACGGCGACTGTGCCTTTTAACGTGAACACGTGTCATTGGTGATCAACAATTTTTAGTCCCTCTCCCTGCCAGATAATTCCATTTATTCTTTTATTTATGATTTGTTTACTGATTTAGTTATTTATAGGGTGCAATTTTCGTTACAATGCTAGGTATACGAAATCTAGTTCTGTGGACCCCTGAGTGCAGCTTCTGGAAAAGTGTGAGTCTGCAGTCGACATTATGTTTTAAAAGAAAGTACGTAGCACTGCCCTCCCCTGGTCTGTTTATAATACCTGTATGCGCGTGTGTGAATATACGTACCTTCTTCATATCAACTCCCATGTTATCGAGAAGATCATTCAGTTTCTTGAACCCCTCCCATCCATCATCTGTCGCAGGCAGCTCACTATCGTCTGGCTTTGGTTTCTGGCATATGATCAGCAGGTCGTTAATTGTGACAAAACCTTTGACCTCAAGAACAACCTCCAAGCATTTTTTCCAAGGAGGCAATTCTTCTTCGTCATCTTTCTTGTCGTCAGCGCCCCCTTTGTTTCTGCGGGAAGGCGTGGGACTCCTGCTTCGACTTCTGCTCCTGTTTCTTTTGGGCTCGGCAAGAAGTTGTGGAGATGGTTTCTCCGCTTTTTCGCTCCCTGCAGCTGCCTCTTCTTGCTTCTTTTTTTCTGCCTCTTCGCTGTAATCCTTCCCCAGCATATCAAATACATCAAACGCATCTACGTCTCTTCTGCGAGCCTTCGGAGATGCTGTTACCTTTGACAAAAGTGTATCCAAATCTTCCAGGTTTTCCATAGAAAACGACTTCTTTTTTCTGGATTTCTTTTTCTTCTTTCCAATTGAGTCCAAGTTTGTCATGGAAGCGCTGTGTTCCGCCGCAGAGGGCTGCAGCAGTCCGTGCTGTTGGCTGGGAACCGGGGAATCAATCAGGTTGGGTGTAGATTCGGTCTTGGGCAGTTTACCCGGAGTGTTATTTCTGTTTTTGGCGTCCTCATCTTCTTCAGCCACGGTGCTCATGTAGAATGCACTATAGATATCCTTTCCTTTTAGAGCGTTACGCTTCGACTGTGCTTTTGAAGGCTTAGGCTCTGGCTCAGCAGGCGCAGGGGCGTTAAACTTGTCCAGTAAGCCCCCCAGACAACCTGAAAGCTTCCCGGGTTTCTTCGCTGGTGCTGCTGCTTTCTTTTCCTCCGGTTTCGGTTGGTTTTTCATCCATCTGTCTTGCAACGCCTTTTTGCTGTGTGTCACTTCTTGCTGAGCTTCAGAGGCACGTATGCGAGGTGCCTTTGGTTTGAGTAGGTCATCAATATCATGAGCCGCACCGATGAACATGAGATCGTCCTCAGTGTTTGACGTCCTGGGCTTGAGGAGTCCAAACTGACTTGCTCGCGTGATAGCCCTGGGATCCAGTTTTATACCCATCATTTGGTCCAAGCTCGGTACCTTCTGTCGAGTTTTAGTCGGGTCTGCGAGTTTTTGAGTTTTTGCAGTGTTCGCTTTGTTCATCCGTTCTTCATGCTTTGGCTCCGGTTTAGGTGGCGGCCATTGCTTTGTTCTACCAACAGCCGTCTTATTGAGATTGTCTTCTTCCTCATCCGAGAAATCGTCAGAAAAGTTATCTTCACTAAAACCTAACAAACTATCGATGTCACGAACTTGTCCAATAAATCCACCAATTTTCTTACTGCGTCTGTTGTCCACGGACTCGGTATCTGTGTCAACATCGGATGGTCTAAGCTCGTTCTTAGGCACTAAGTCCGGCAACATGCCCGCCGAACCGTACCTCTTCATGCCCCCAGAGTAATCAGCGGACAGCCTCCGGCCTGGTAGAGATCCGGGTGCACTCCAGTTGTCCTCGGCACCCGACTCGGAATACATGGAAGACGACACTGAGCCGGGTGCACTGCTGGCAACGCTGGAGAGACTCTCCATTGACGGGGCGTGGCGCATATGGGCAGGAATGGCGGTTTTATGTGGCGTAAGCCGGGAGTAGTTTTGATTTTCATCCGGCACTGTTAAAGTCGGCACCTGTTTGCTTGCCGCCTTTGTTTCCGTAAAATTATCAGTTTGTTTGAGTCTTTGCCTTGACTGGACGTTGTCATAGGGAGAAGGGGACCGATCTTCAGCACCGCGTCTGCTTGACGGGGGTCTAAATCTACTCTGTTGGACTTTGATATCTTCAGCTGCTCCATGTTTTCTTCTGATGTTATCATACGGGGAAAGGGAACGGTGACCCGATTCGGACATCTCATCATCGTCCGTAGCCGTGGAGGGTTTCCGGTACTTCGGTTGGAAAGGTGTTTGTTTCGGTTTCAGTTGTCCGGAATCTTTTCTGGTGTCTACTTTTGAGTAGCGTTTTTTAATGTCGTCTAGATGAGATGGTGCTTTTGATGGCTCTGGAGATTTTGATAGCCTAGCGGCATCTTTGTCTTCCTTTTCTTTGCGTCCCCTCATCCAGCGATCTTGGAGGCTTAAGCGTTCTTTTGGCTCTTCTTTTTCTTGTTCCCTCTGTTTATTAAGTCGCCGTTTCCTGGCCTCTGACATCTCCTCCTGTTTCTGCTCTTCTTTATTCAGCCGACTTTTCCTAACATCAGATTTGTCATCCTGGCGACTTGGTCGTCGTCTTTTCCCCTCGCCCTGTTCCTCTTTAGTTTCCTTTTGCTGGTCTACTTTCTTATTTAGTTCGGGTATTCTGTCCCTCCAGCTCTGACGTCGTGTTTCTTTCTGTTCTTCGGGTGCTGCTGGTGCCGGTGCCTGTGCCGGTTCCGGTGTTGGTGTTGGGGTAGGGGCAGGTTCGGCTTTGATCGCCTGCTGCTTGCGTTCTTTCCAACTCACAAACGGCTCATCGTCTTTTGCTTCAACGCTCTTTCCTAACTGCATTCTTGCTTTCCAACTACTGTAGGGTTCTAGGGTCGATTTGGCTTTCTCCCCCGATGGTTTTCTAGATCGATCTGAGACTCCGGGTTTTTTGTCTTTTGTGGGCGATTCTAAAGACCTGGAGGGTGACGATTTCAGTTCCTCACGCCTTGACGATCCAACTTCTAGCGTTGGTCTTGAAAATTTGTCTTCAAATCGACTTCGTTGAAAAGCAATGGTGCTTGTTGGTTTGGTCTCTGTTTTTGTTTTCTCTTTCTTTTTCCCCTTGTCAAACCACCCGTCCTCTTTCAGTTTATCCCTCCAACTTGAACGAGTATCTTTAGTTTCTTCTTCGTCCTTCTTTTCGTCTTTCTGCTTTTCCTCCAAGGGAATCTTTCTCTCTTGTGGTCTCTGGCGCTTCCTTTTGTTATCACCTTGGCTCTTTCTTTTATCTTCTCTTTCCTCTTCATCCTCTTGAGAGGTCATGGAAGTGGTCATTCCTCTTTGTCGCATAATAAACGGAGTTTGCTTCGGTTTGGCAACGCCATCTTCAGGCTTCCCTTTTTCATTCTCATCCTTTAACACGCTGTCTGAATCTTCGTCATAGTCATGTCTAATGTGTGCCAAACTGTATTTTTGTTCTTCGTTCTCTTGTTCCTGTTCGCTTTGTTGTGGCAGGTCAGTAGCTGGGTGAGTATCCATACGGCGCATTATGAAAGGTGTTTGCTTGGGCCGAATAATTTCATCATCCTCAACATCCTCGACCTTGCGTTTTTCAAAGAACTCTTCATCTTCATCTTTAAAGATGCTATCAAAATCTTCAACCTCACCCAGCTGTAACTCATTATTGCCAAGAGACACTTGTTCATGTGTTGGAGGCTGTATGGGTTTGACGGGTTCAGCCATGATCTCAACCGGCTCCGGCATCTTGACAGGTTCTGCAGTCGGGGACAAAGGTGGTTTCTCTACTTTCTCATTATTCTTAGGTTTCAACTTATCCTTTAATGAAACCTTTACCAAACCGTCGTCTGATTTTTTTATCTGTTTCTGATTTGCTTGGTCTTGTTGTTGCTGTACATCTTTCGCAGGTTTTGCCTTTTGATCAGAGACAATTTCACGTTGTTTAGCTTCTTCTGGAATTTTCTTATCGTCGTGATGTTCTTCTTGTTTTTTCTGTTGCTGTTGAGATTGTTGGTCTTGTTCTTTCTTTTGCTTTTCCAGTTGCTTCAACTTCAGTTTATCTTTCAAGGATACTTTTACTATCTCCTCACCTTCTTTCTTATGAACCGGCTCTTTATCAAATACCTCTTTTTGATCTTTAACTGAGACGTCATTTTCTGCGAGTCCCGTATCCAGTTTTGATAAAGCCAATAACCCAACCAAGTCAGAGTAATCAGATTTTGCCGATTTTCTCTTATTTGCCTCATCGTCGTCAGCGAAGTACAACGCTTTTAATATATCATCAGGTTTTTCATGACTGTCATTAAGTTCTTTCTCCTTATTGTCCAGTGCCTTGTTTTCACTTGCTTCAGGAGCAGGCGAGGCATCTGTCTCAATAGCTTTGGGCGTCTCTTTAATACTGGAATCCTCTGGTTCATCTTGCACCATCATATACAGTTCGACATCAAGTCCAGTCTCTTCAGAAGCCCCTAAATTCTCAATTGGAGATTCCGCCAAGTGGACGGTTTCTTCCTCAGGGACGCATTCTTCAGTCAAACTAGCCATCCTTACCATATTTTCCCCAGCCACCTCTTCTTCTTCCGTGGTCGTCTTGTGGCTATCTACGTCAACAGATACTGTAAACACGTCATCAGCTTCATCCTCGTCCACTGTCACAGCTCGTTTCAAGTTATCGTCATCGTCCATCACAATATCTGCCACGTCAGAGACAGACTCTCTCACATCTTCCATTGTATCGTCACTGATGCTGGCGACTTTAATCCGAGTATCGTCATCATCTGTCTGAGGTATGGCAAAATTAACTATATCTTTCACTGCATCGGGTGGTTGTTCTAGGTTATCAACCGCGCCAGTTGCCAATTGTATTCGGTCCTCTTTTCGCGGTTCCATTACCAGTTCTGAGGCACTTTGCTCACTAGATAGTTTCTCAAATTCAGGCTCCTTTGAAGTTGCGACCTGCAGTGTTGTGTTGTCGTTTTCAACTAAATCAGCAACGGTTTGTTTTTGAACAGAAGGAGACTCCAATTCTTTTTCCACAACAGCTGCAAGTTGCTCAGCTCCAGCATCTTCAGCTATTAAGTCACATTCAACATATAATCCTACTTGAGGTGCTTCAGTTGGATCTACAGTGAAGATGACATTGTCCTTGGTGTTATCTTCTTTAACTAGGTCTTCTGTATAATCAGTGGTTGCAGATTCAAGCTCCTGTTCCTCAACGGATGCAGTTTTCATTTCTTGGTCATCAGTATCAATAGGAGATGCCTCTAATTTTATATCATCATCACTGGCCAAGACACGTTCCTCTGCCGTGCGAAGTTTTTGTGACTCGTTGTCCCCGTCTTCGTGAATCTCTAATACTGGCCACACGATGTCTGCTAAATCATTTAGGTGACACTGGGAACTGCGTCTCGATGTTGACATAGACGAAGAACGCGGCGAGTTTAGGTCGATGAGATTAAACTCACTGGAAGTCGATCCCTCTCTCTTTCTTTGGGCACCATTGAGTTGCGGTGCAAAAAGAACCCAGTCATCTGTGGAGGTGGATACTGCTTTCTGGAATACATTTGGGACGTCTTTCAAAACGGCATCTTCGGCCTTTGTGTTTTCAACGGTCTCAACGTTCAGCAAGTCATCGACAGAGCTACACCTTAAGGGTTGTTTGGTGTGTGTCTCTAGCTCAGTCTCGGCCTGCAAAGAAACAGACCGTTCAAGTGGCTGTTTATCGTCTAAATCCACAAGGTTGTTAACATATATAGTACCGTGCCATGGAGGGGTTTGTGTTTGTTTTGTCGTTAGATCTTCAAACATGTCCTCCCTGGATTTCCATTTCATCCGTTCTAACACACTGTCTTCATCAGGCTCGTATGATAGCGTCTGTGTTTCTACAGTGCATGTACGAGGGCCAGAGTCTCGCCTGCGTGTCCTGCTTTTGCCTGGCACGTGCAGAATATCCTCACGTGAGTTTGATCTGCTACTGCTTTTTCTGCTGCCAGGGGATAGAATGTCTTCCCTGGAGTTTGACCTACTTGTCTTCCTGCTTCCTGACGATCTCTTGTCGCTCAGGACATCCTCACGGGAACTTGATCTACTTTTCTTTGATTCGCTTGATTTGCCCTTGGAGCGCCTGTCATCTAAGTCCAGAACATCCTCCTGGGAGTGGGATCGGCTTCTTCTGCTTCCTGAGGACCTCTGGCGGGAAGACTGTCGAGATGACTGTGAAGAATCGCGAGAATCTAACAGGTCCTCGCGAGAATTGGTTCGATGACCTGATCTTCTTCCTTTGTGTTTCCCTATTGATATATCGTTTGAAAATGCATCAGAAGAACCACCATGCTCTATATCTTCATCTTCTCTATATTGGTGACCGCTGTGGGTACGGTGTCTATGGCGTTTTTCATCGTCTGCCCTGTTAAGTGCAGATTTTCTATGGTTTTTATTCGGCGGCCCTCCATCGTCTTGTGAGGTAAAAACGCTGTCTCTGGAACCATAGATGGAATCTAGTTTAGGTTTCTTTTTACGTTGAGCTTCAACGTTTGGAGAAATTTCTCTCTCGAAGGGTGGTGGGGTTGTATCCCTGCTACTGGCAGAGGGTCTTGGTGATCTCACTCCTTGTTCGCTCTCCTCACTGTTCACTTTGGACAAGCGCAGTGCCCTTTTATCACGATCTGATTCCTTACTATTCTGTCTGGACGCTTTTGATGATCTCCGTTCACTTTGGTGGGAAGAATTACTCGACGACCTCGAGTGAGATTTTTTCTTTGCTTGTTCTACATTTTCAGTTGAACCGTCTTTACCATCTTCCGAGTACCGTGGTGATCTGGAACCCCTTGTTCTGCGTTCCGAGGCTGACAAGGACTCGACGGAGTCCTTTCTTCTCTGTCTGTTTGGTTTGTATGGGGCGCTGTCGTCCGGGCTTGACTGCGGAGTTACTTTCCCCTGGTTTTCAGCAATTTGCTTCCTTAGCACCTGCTCTGCCGGCGTATCCAGCTGCTCCTTCCACGATTTCACCTACAGAACCAAACAGAGAGTAAATAGCAAGTTAGAGTTTGAGAAAATTACTGAAAATAAAACCAAAACCTAAATCAGCGCTTCAATTTATTATGCAACAGTAAAACAATTTACCCATTAATCAGCACGGCCGCCTGAATAAGTTGCCGCAGTGGTGAGCAATATTACCTGACATTTGGATTGAGGTACCAGTTTTGGCACTGAAATCAGCGGTAGTCATTGCGAAATAATATCTTCAGGTGAAACTCATGATCACTGCTATGCATCCTTACACACACGATATGAATACAATATATTACAGATTGAGTTTTATTTGTATAGCATTTGGTTGACTTGCCTTTTCGATGCTATCGCGTAAGCTTAGAGTTTCTGGGGTAAGTGGCACCACAGGGGGCACGGAGGGGGACTCTGGTTCAGCAGGTTCTGGCTCTGGTTCCGAAATAAACAAGTCAGGGTTGATGTTATCTCTACTTGACTTGTGTCGTCTAGAGCTTTGGGAGGGTGGGCGGGAGTCCTCTTCATCGTCTCTAAAATCTCTCGAGAACCGCCGTCTACGATTTGCGCTTTCTTCTTGTTCCGCTGCGTCAGCGTCGTCATCAAAGAAGGCGCGCGATCCCCGACGTCTGAATATGAATGGCGTCTGTCCTTCAGCGGCACTTGCATATTCGGAGTCGTCTGCTGTGGAATTCTTGGGAGTACTGGTCAATGGTTCACGCCGCCTGCGGCGTCTGTGAGAAACACTGTCCTCCTCTTCCGTTTCCGTGGTGTCACGCTGCTGATCACGTGCCCGTCGCCGTCGCCTCTCATCCGTGGAATCCTGTCTGGAAGTAGATCTTTGCGGGCGGGGAGGTTTTCCGTAAACTTGGTCCCGCCACGATGTTTCTGAGGGGACTTCGTCAGCCATGTCCTGAGTGAGAGATGGTCGGTCGGTTCTACTCGTCTGCCGCGAGATGCCAGAAGAGCTTTTCTCTTCCGTTTGGCTTATTTGTCGAGAAGGAGGATTGGAGGAGGTGGGAGAATCAATGGAATTCTGCGTTACGTATTTATCATAGTATTTATAGAACGAATCTGGCCCGATATCGCCTGCTACGGAATCGGGCTCTTTAAAATCAGTTTGACTAGCACAGTCTATTGTCAGGGGTCTATTAGGCCTGAATCGTCTCCTGCGAGCGTTGGTCTCTTTTTTCAGATACGATCGTCGCCTTTTCTGTGAAATGGAACTTTCGTCTCTGTCCCGCCTTCTTCGGCGCCGTCTGCGTGCGTTCGTTGGCTCGTTGTCGAAGTCGACTGGAGATGTACCTCTGCATATCACGTGTGTTTTTCTGTCGTCTGAGTCGCCGCCGCTGTCACTGGCAAAGTCTGAACCAGAAGACGGCGCCCGCGTAAAAGGGGTATGTCGTGTGGATGATTTCTCGTCATCTGTCTCTCCAAGAGAACTCCTGCGGAAAAAAATGGAAACCCATATGTTAACGGTTAGGCAGCAGTTTGCTCACTCTTCTGTGAAATAAATTAAAGGTCATTGCACACGCTGATGTCACAATTATATCTTAAAAGAAACGTTTTTGTTCATTTCAAATGTAAAGTAACGCAGTTTAAAGAGGAATGTAAAAGAGAGACGGGTTATTTGCACTACTGTGCCAAATATTCAAATCATCCCTTTTCGTTAACCGAACTTTCAAACCTTCTCTAGAAATGAGCTATATTAATTAAAATGGCAACACTTGTTACTGCAGAGTTACGGAAACGGGGCACTCTTCAACGCACCAAGAAAGCTGTCTTATCAAATGTTATCATGGTGAAACGCCGTTCAAAAAGTACTTCTGCAACCGTGACTTAATATAAAACTTACCTGTACAACTGATCACCTGTACATGTAAGCAATATTGTGATTTACTCGATAAGTTAACTGATGTTAATTCTCAACTGTAGCGGTCAAGCTATGGATGTTTCCCAGAATCTGGCCAATACATCAAACAACTTACTTAATCTTTACCTGCAGGTTTCAATCTTTTTGCAAAATTGCTCCTCTGCAAGTAATTCCAACCTTATCCCAGATATTGTTGGTAATTCTACACACATTTTGCCGTTTACGCTTATCTAAAACACCTTCCAAATGTAAACCATTCACTACACGCCTTTTCAACTGCCGCTTTTTGACAGTGTTTCAATTTTCCAGTGAATAGTCTCATTTCATTAATATATATATATATTTGCAACAGACCGGATTCTTGCAAGGTCCCTTACGATACACCTTAAATATTTCTTTTGATTTTTAAAAATCTTTTTTAAATCTCAATTTCAGATATTGGCACTGGCCTTTTTTCGAGCTCAGATATACTAGACAAGCACAGAAAAGGTTATAGTTCAATTGGGGATTTCATTTCTTTCAATTACCCTTGTATGACCAGTACATTCCGTTACTAAAAATGATATTATACAACATATAAACTTATATATTATACGTTATATTATACATCATACAAATATGATATGTAACATAAATACCTGGAGAGCTGTCGCGTCATACCAGTGTACGCAGGCGCAGAGTGGGTGGAATGACTTGATAACTGCCGGGAGTAGGGAGTTAACTCTCGTGACGGCTGGCTGGCCACACTATAGCTCCCTGCCTCTCTGGCCGACGCCGTCGAGGCTTGGCGATCATAACTTCCGGCGTAAGACCCCGAATCTCGTCCGGAATCTTTTGATTTTGTCGGTTCTTCATTTCTACTGGTGCTGTAAGTCCTATCTCGCGCTGAGTATGTTGGAGTGCTAGTGTGATCGTACCGTGAAAGTCTAGAATACCCAGCCGGTGAGGGATCCCGGCTGGTGGGTTGTGAGAGGTAGCCACGAGCTCCGCCATAGTCCGAACCCCGAGACGACGCCCGATCCAGGCTGCCGTACGACCGGGTACTTCCCCCATAGTCTGATAAATAACCACTGCGGTTTGATGTTCTATCTAAAGATGAATATCTATCCCTTGACCCCCCTCCATACCCCCCGTAACCGGTGGAGTACCTGTCTCTGGGGGTGGTACCACCGCTGTATTTGTTCAAAGCACCTGAACTACCATATCTATCCAGTGAACTATTACTTCCATATCTGTCTAAGGAACCGTAACTGGAAGATCTCCCAAGTCCTGTGCCGTAGGTCGTACCCCCGGCACCGTAAGTCCGTGTAGTCCCACCACCACCACCACCACCATATGAAGTTGTGAGGTCTCCATAGCTACGATAAGACCCTAACCCACCGCTGCCACCACTGGTGTAACCTCCACCGCCGCCATAACTGCTGCCACCGCCTCCGTACGTACGTGAGGAGTAACGGCCGCCGCCGCCACCGCCGCCGTCATACTGAAAGGTAAAATGATGGCAATGAAAATTTTGATGACATATTTTGTTAAATATTTGCCTTTAACTTTTTTACCACTAACATCCGCCTTAACACCATTTAATCTGAAACTATCTGTCTATCCAAATGAATGAAAAAAAAACTAAATCTGAAACTGAAAAGATGTCTTAATAAAAAGATTAATAAAAAAACAGATAAACAAACAAATAAAGAAAGAAAAAGACCAAGACTTTAATTCGTAGTGGAAGAATTAATGCTTAGTACTTAAGTGCTGATGACCGTCGGATAAGGTTCAATTCATCTTTGATTAAGTTTTATCAAGTTTTAGCCGACAATTAGTTGAACCTATAATGAGCACAAGACTGGTGACACACCCCAATGAATAAAAGCAACAAGCAGAAATTTCAATTAAACATTATATGTTAGTTAATAAAGAAAAATATAAAAACTTTTATGGTCAACAGCATCTGAACCTTCGGAAGATCCGATAAACATTAAATTGTTCGAGTTCTATTTCTTTTATTTCTTAATTTACACTCTATATCAATTACTATTTTCCATATGCTTGTCACTTTCAAGATTTCTTTTCATGTCGATGTTTACACACCAAAACGCTTTTACTAAATGGTGAACTTAATTTGATGCTAAAATCAATCTCTTGACACAATTTTGGGAGAAATTTGGAACACCATGCCAGATCTGTCAGATAAAATGATCATTCCTCTCTGTCATGCTTAAACCGTACCGGATGCCGTTATTATGGGGTTTAACTGCGGAAACTCCGACAGCTTTGGTGTCTGACGTTGTGCGGAAACCGAACCCGTAACGTCAAACACTCGCATGGAGCGGGACACAGTAAGGCGTGCGAGGATAAAGTTGAGGTTTTGAATACCACCGATCATCTATCATTATTACCATGCCCTAGGAGTGAGCTTATGAAAAACACTTTAGCCCGAAAATTAGTCTAAAAGTATAGACCAAAAATTTGGTATGCTTCAGTTCAAAATAAAGCCATAATAGCCAACTTGAATACAGAAAGCATTGCTCTGAAACCTTTGGCATTTCTTTTTTGTTATATAAAAAGCACAGTATTCTATTTAATTGGACTTTCATTGATACAATTAAATTTTGTTTAAAAGTTCGGATCCGTTTTTGTTTTAAAATGAAACAGGCCTCATGTAGATGACAGGGAAGTTATTTAACACATGTTTAAGATTAAATCAGTTTGTTTAAAAAAGTGACAACGGATGCCAATTAGACAACGCAGTTAGACAGTTATTGTGGTGCAATCGTATGCCTCCTAACCTAGGATACACATTATTTATTCTAAAAATTGGTTAAAAAAACATGAAAATACGCCATTAGTATTATCGTGGAATGTATTTGCTTTCACTTCCACGGCTAGTTCCCTCCTAAGGATAAGGTCTGGTCCCATATTTATCTATCTTTCTATCTTCATCGCAAAGTCTTGTCAGCAATTAAAAATCGCTCACTCAGACCATGGTGATTGCTGCAATGCAGGCAAAACGTTACTTTTAACCTATATTCTATATTAATGTATTTCACAGCGAGTGTGAATAAGAATGAATAATACGCCCCTAGCATGTACAAAAAGCACCCAATTTTATGATTAAGGGAACTGAACCTATCTAAGTCTTCAATTACTTGTAATCTAATCAGGGCTCTTAGAATTGTGCTTTATAATGAGGACAGAGTAAGCCAAAGACAAGTACGAACAACTGTCTTATAGAAAAGATTGCCAAACTCGTCATTAGAATACTTTAAACAGAGGTGCAACTGAAAAGCGGAACCGCTGTAGCCAATAAAAACGTAATTCATTTAACCTATGTCCCCCCTTTGAAGTTTCCATCAGAGCTGTGTCTTGGCCTCCGACAGTTGTTTTACCTGGTGATTGTGCCTGTGTAAGCTTGGAATCGCGTGTACTCAAAAGTTATGAACATTCGTCGGTGTTAGCTTGGAAGCGTGTGTTCTCAATATTGCGAACATTTGCGTGGCGTTGAAACATTTCGCAAAACACAGGGCACATTTGAGGTAAACCAATAACGGTGCCATATCTGTGTGTCTAATTGGCAATAAACAGGGAGGAGGTTTCTGAAAAAAAGCATATGCCCCGCGGTTACTAGCACGCACTGTTCACGGTAATAACTGCCAAACATATCTGGTCTCGCTTCACACGTTTTCAGATCATCCTGTTTATAGCCACCTCAATATTTCCTTTCACATCTCAGTTGATTTTGAATGGGGCATTGTTTTCAATGATTTTATCTAACATTAATCCATGGACCATCTTTCATGTTTCGTTTTGACAGAATACAGGTGATATTCCAACACCAAACACGAGACAAAAAATAAACATCGTGGCACCAAGAATACAGAAAAAAAAAATTAACTCATAAAACACTCGTGAATCAATGCAGGCGCCAGTGCACAAACAGAGGAAACTTTCAACACACACGGTTGATTATCCACTGATATTTCACTTGGCAGATAGTTTGGCACATTATTCCATCTTATCTCGCTCGACGGTGAATCAGAGATCTGTTTACAATTACTTTTTTCACCCACAGGATGCCTCGGCCATGGCTCACTGTATTTTTCTTGTAATGCCGGACGTCATAAAGAATCTTCCAGTCAAACATACACGATCATTAAGTGATACATTTAGGTGAATCTAAACCTCTCTCAAACATATTTCTGTTTCACGTTTTGTTACAGGTCAATCCGTTAAGTATAAGAGGAAAAAGATGAAAAATATTTCGCGGACGCTTCAATTGCAATTCTACTACCGTTCATGCAATTCTATACATGTATACATAAAAATAAATAAGAAAAGAAATATTTTGAAGAACGCTTTTGAACAATTACGGCCTTTGTAACTGCAACAAATCAAAATGCTTCCTCAGTGTGCTACTTAATCCCTGCCCGTTGACTTTTATTTTATTGATTTTATTCTAATTTATTATTGTTTTTGTTTACGTTTTCCAGGTACACGATAGTGACGTCAACAGGTACTGATCCTGTCCAAAAATGTTAACCTTAGCCTTCATCACAAGACTGCGTTCGTTTAAAATCCTTCATGTAAAACCAATTATTGCTAATAAAATCCGAGTCGATGTGAGCAACATGGCGAAAAGTAGAACCACATACAATGTATAATGGTGACCTGTAATCCACAGATACACATAAATCTTCATTCATTTCGCGAATGCCACATCTTAACACAAATTTTCATTGTTGGCGTTTTGCTTAAACTTGCCCTTATTGGAAAAAATTATTATGATTTTAACATTTTGGGTAAACTTTAATCTCACTTTGAAAACAAGCAAAGATTTGGTGGCCTTGGAATAATTTATTTCGTATTTCAAAAACGATAAACCGGTTTACATTTCCACTTTAACATTTTGAACGTCTGTAGTTTTTCAAGTACTGTACAGTACATTGAGGTCCTTTTTACATTAAGCTATTCAGACTGTACCACTACACTGTGAGAGTGGCAACTTTAAAATACCCTGGACTATGTCTTAGTACAAAAGTCACAAAAACAGAAACCCCTCCCCCTCCCCCGCTCGACGCGACCAATTAATTAACTTCTGCCCCCCAAAAAAGGAAGAGAATTGAGAAAGCGAGTAACACCAACCCCACCTCATCCTGAATTGTAATTTTACGTTAGGAGCGCTTAAAGTGTATCGGTACGGACTGTATCGTTTGAAAGTATACCGTTCGATTAGAAAATAACCTTAGTGACTCATCAAACATAAGGTGATCTTCCCCCAGCGTCTAACTGTTTTGACCTTAGCTGTAACGTGTTTATGAAAGATACCTGAATAAGCAATTGCCATGCGTTAAGCAAAAATGGGATGGAACCTAAAAACTAACCTGTCGCACAGTTAACTAGTTAACCTCCTAACTATCGCAGTATAACGTATTTACTCAGCCAAATGGCTATGGAAGTTACAATAAAAAAATCCCATGAAACAATATACATAAGGCTCGAAATTTTTGCTCAAAGGGTAGTTTTGTACTTTTACAATCTATTGATGGAATACCCATACGCCAAGTGATTGGATCAAAACTGTTCACGAACAGATACTGTAATCGTTACATATCATTGTATTACACACAATTCTTACCTATTTTAAAAGCGGTATATATTTATCACTTTTCGCGTAATTATCACAAAAAATAATAAAATCAGAAAAAGTTTTTAGACAGTAGAAATTTGTTAACAAATAGAGGAAGGATTAAGACGCTGATGGGAATAGAGCAATCCCCCGATTTTATACAATAGAGGCAACATGGAAGCCACTCACAACGATGCAACAAGTTATCTGATCATGGATTTCATTTGTTCAAGGTCATGCCTTTTTATATGGTACCGGAGGCAACTTTGGGGGCAAGAATACAAGTAGTTATCAAAACGCCTTTTATTCAATGAAAAATTATTTCTCGGGGAAACCCAGTGTGGAACTGGTTACGACCCTCGTCTTGTTTGGTGTCGCGAGACCATTTGCTACGTAGAAATTACCACGGGCATTGCCCCTACACCAGTTCCACCCGATGCGGCCTCTATCGTCTAAAACCCTACGAACAAGAACAAGAAGGTGTTTTGATAAGCTAGAACAGGTAAAGCCAGGTAGAAACGCCTGGTCGGCATCTGTCTGTGTTGTTCAGTGCCATTGGAGTCAACTATGAACCCATATGTTTTCCACTTGTTTTATTTGCAGCGAACAGAGACAACGTGCAAGCTCCTTTGCCCTTCTTTGCTTGAAATTAAACTGCAGTCTACCCATAATGTCTTAAGGGAAGAAAAAGAATAGGTGCTGTGCTGTGAATTTAGAGCCATTTGTTCGTTGTCTGGTTTTCAAAATTTTCATTTAATACTTCATTTAACTTTTTGTATTCTGTCAAAGCCAAAATTACTAGATGTCCTCCTGTCTTTTATCAAAATAACTTTCAGGATAATATCCTTGTAAATAAAGACCAGCAGTATAAAAAATTGAAAATACACCGAAATGCGTCTCTTAGCACAACTGATGGATATTATTTATTCATTATTTATTTATTTATTTATTATTATTATTATTATTATTATTATTATTATTATTATTATTATTATATCACCAGCCCCTGGTTAATACCAGCTTACCTTGTTTATACAATCCAAACCCACTAAACCCAAATAAGACAACTTCAAGACTTTTTCAACGCTGATGAAAATGTTTACGTGAACATGCAAGTTAACAGAACTGTTTATTAGAGTCCAACAAATAAGCCTACGCCACGAACGTTTTCCAGGGGTTTCTTGGCAGGTACGAGGGTAACCTGCTAGACGGGGAAAAAGCGCTGAAACACATCAATCAAACTATCTTGTCGAGGCGTTCCTCCATAACTCCTACGATCAGAAATCACTTTACGCGTCCAAGAAGAAGATGATCGTTTTTACATTTGCCAGGAAACTCAATAAGTGATAACAATTCTTGACTGGTCTGTGTGGAATGTGTGTGTGTGTGTGTCTGTGTGTGTGTGTGTGTGTGTGTGTTAAGGGGGGACTTTAAAGCCATATTTTCGAATCTGTTGTGCAGAAAACAATGTTTTTGTGATTTGAAGATGAGGCTCTCGTTTGGAGACAGCTGTCTATAGAGCACATATGGCACGTAGCCCTTGGGAATGAGAATAACGGGGGTTTGACTAAGTGAAGAAGACTAGTATATGACTTATAGTCAAGCGTGCAGAATCATCACAAAGGTGTGTTGAATAATAAAGGGTTTAGTAATTCACTGTCGCTTGTAGTCAGTTGAAAGAAATAAAAAAGGGCGTGTTTCAAATTCATTGTTATATACGAGAGCATGCAAGATAGTCGTGTCAACTTCGTTTTTTAGTTTTAGTAAAATTCGGAATTGTTTGGATCACAAAGTTTTTACCGAGTCGCTTCACATAATTTGACAAATAGCAGAAATAATAGACTATGTACATGAGAAAAGCCAAACAGACGCCAGTTAGTCAAAAGGATGAAATAGTTTTTAATGAAACATTCCATGAAAATCTCCAACAGGGAAACATGCTATCTATTTTAAATTCTGAAAAGACGGAATTCCACGCATTCCTTGCTCGTCATTTCATTCAAATCGTGTCTATTCTTAGAAAAATGAAAGACGGGATATCTTTAAATAGCTTCGTTTGTCATGTTGCCAGGTTCAGAAATGGTAACTATAAAACTGCCTGTTCCAGTGTTAATGTCATATGCGGTGGTGCTCTTCACATGCTACCGCTAGTTCTGTTCCATCGCCTGCTGACAATTTTTGAATATGACAAGTTTACACTATGAGCGAAATAAAACATCTTATTGGTAGTAAGTGTCACTCTTGATCACCCGTCCCACTTCCTGCTGTCGTCAGTCAACTTGCAAAGTTGACTCGGACGTCATCAGGTTTGGCTAGTTGAGACCTCTAAAAAATTAACCTTTTATATTTTTACCTTGAGATTTTTTTGTACCATCTTAATCTGCGTTGGCTACCATTTTACAAGCTCAATATATTTGATCGAACAGTATAAATATTCCTTTCAGATAATTTCAAAAAAGACACCTTTTACAATCTTGGGCATAATTTTTGGCGTCAAAGCGAAGCATCAAATTTTTGTTAAAACCAATACAGATTAAAAGTTATAAAAGAATAACGCTGTTCAGGTCATGCATATGGAGGAACCGATATAGACTCTCGATGGTCTTTATATCTACATTCATATTCATACATACAACGACTGTGAAAAGTATAAGCTGGTTTTCAAGGCGTTCCGAAAAACTAGACGGTAGAATGGAATAAACGTGGGTTGAAAACCTCGGACCATAAACCGCCACGCGTTCACATGAGTTCCATTAGCCCATGGCCTGCAGACCGAACGGCGCCTCGTGCTCAAGTCGTTACACGATAATTTTGCACAAACCGGCATGGTATCCAATGGACATGCCCGCTGAAAAGGGCCTACATACTTTTGACATTTAATATACTATACACTTAAAAGATTTCAGAGGGCGAAAAAAATGGAGGAAAGGGGCAGAGTGTAAGGAATCATAACACCGGTCAATATGACAGCGTTTGATTACACCTGACGTGGTATTTATGCTCCGGTGGTTATTTAGCGTTCCTTTTAAACGAAATGTTGGTCAAATGTTAAAAGCACTCATTTATTGGGTTCAGCAGACGATGGATTAAAAAGTCCGGATCATTTTAGTTCGGCTAATAGTGCAGCGTCTCTTTTAACGGTTAGAGGGTTCAAGTACTGTCTATCAAAATAGAACTACTTACATAACCTGTATAGTAGTATGAGCTGGGTTTGGTAAACTACGAACCTTTCCTTCTGAGCTAATTCACTCCTCAGACCTAGATATGATTACAAAACATTAAACGAGCTTCCGATAAAGTCACAACAACCCTCTTTGGATTTTAAGAACTCCCAAGTTCAAGCCTTTTTTGTAATTTTTTTCACGATTTGTTTGTATTTGATAGATGAGATTGAATCGGTCTAATAGAATTTAAATGTAGAATATATATACTAATCGGAGTAATGACATCAAGTTCATCCAAGAATAATTCAATGTTTTATTTTATGATTATAGAAATGGTAAATTTGTCTCTGATACTCTACGTCTTACATTGTTATTGAACATAATTTGAAAACAGGCAGGAAGGACGAAACTGTAACGTCTGGATGATAGAAACGTTAATTAATATATTAGACATGGGTTATACTTAATACAATTTATATACAATGTTATAATGCTAAATGAATTTGAAATCAAGAACTGGGCAATGCATTAATACAGATTATAATGTTTCAGCATGTGGTCACCAACAAAAGGATGGAAAATAGGTTGTTGAATAACATAACTGAAAACACACACACAAACACACACAAAATAATACATTAAGGATAGATCGCCTGGTAAAGGGAGGAGAGGGTACATACACGTCACTTCTACGGAGCTACACAATAGGACAAAACTGCACTGATGGTTTTGTTGGTTTTTGTAAACATCGTAGAATTTATTTGGTTATATTTAGATGAGATCTAGAATTCTTGCTGACAATCTTGCAAAATGATTCTTGTTGTCTCCGAACTGTCTAGCATTTTCCCTTTTTTTTATACTTTTGAATTAAAAGAAGAATAAGACGTAATTTTAATCAGATCAAATACTAATAATTGCTGATTACGACTGTAAACCTTATGTCGTATCCTTCTCCTTTGAATTTTACAAAAGGCATACAATGTCATTTTTTAGATAAATTTTTTAAACACTGAGATTTCGTTTGAACCGAAATCGTCCCATATGCGGCCAAGAATACGAAATATTTCAATTCAAACCAGTTATAATCTCAATGCAGTTTTGTTCCTTCGCGTTCAGCAAGGGTGATCCAAGCTAGCGCTACTGACTGAAGAATATCCTCTGGTCCCAGCTCCAGTTCGGCCGCCATACCCACTGGTTGTGCGACCCCCGTAGCTTAGGGGGTCGCTATACTGAAAAACAGGGAGGAAAAGAAACGCTAGCGACTACAAACTAAGCTACACTACGAAAAAAGAAGAAAACTATCATATCTAAAATACTAATTCTACCATTCTTTTTACTTTAATTTTAAAAAGAAATAAGCTACTAGAAAAAGAAATAAGCTACTCAACTGACAGCAATAAGATATTATGATTAGACTAGAATATAACTCCTAGGCCAGAAATAAACGAAATATAATAATAAAATAATAATAGAAATGAACTAGAATACAAGACTAGAAATACACAGCAGTAGGCCTACTAGAGTGGACTATAAGCCTAGTCAATGTCAATCCCTATGCCTATAAAGCAAGCGAAATATGGAGAGCTACTTAATTAATGAGAAACAGGAAAATATATTTATCTTAACAAACCAAGACATTTGATTACTCTCATAAGATCAAACTTTGCATTTTCTTCACTAAAAGTAAGATGTACCATACAGAGCTTTCGGTCATTCCGTGACCTTCTTCATTGTGTGGGCCTATACTACACTAAGGAATCATGCAACAGACTACACAGATGAATTTCCACCAGAAATTTGATTACTGATTTGATGATATTAAAATGTATAAAGACTTGAAATAGGGGCCTACTAAGTTTAAAGTCGACCATACATGCGGAATACAGAATGACGAATAGCAATAATCACAAGGAAAATATCCAAGAGTAAACAATAGAATCTTAAAAAAAACGAAGCAACGGATGTCAAATATGTGTAGGCGGAATACAAATAACACTAATTGGATTAAAATGCTTATTGATGAATAAGACATACATTTCACACAAACATTTCGATGCCAAAATATTTCGCTAATTATTACGAGACTGACACACAAAAACAGACGGCGATAGGCCTACAGATGAATAAACTTGGGTCAATATATAGGTTCCATGAAGATGCGTCCGAATATACACTTGGGCCGATTCGTGTTTGCTTCAAACAAAACTCTTGAACGAAGCAAGTGACTAAAGCTGTGTTTTATCTTGATTGAATACACATTTAATTGTTTTTATATAAGCAGGAACACGACACAACGAAAATAACGTTGGCGGCTCGTCTGCGAAATAGACAGCATGTACATGTAGGCCTAGCGCTCGACTAAGATACTGGCCAGTTTATGAAATGATTAGGAAACTACACGGTCAGTTTATGAAATAATTACGATACTACATGGACCCCGTGACAAGATGACCTAGACAAGATATCAGTCTTAATTCAAGCGATAATCTGACATTTACGGAAGTACAGGTTTGCCTTGTAAATAGAAACGTTTGCCAGGAAACTAAATTGGTGGATTTGCGTTGAACCAAATCCCTTTGCTTTGAACCCCCCTCTATTTTCTGTATTTACTAAATATCCTCAACTGCTAGGGACTGAAAAAAAAATATAGGCAACTTAAAGGGCAAAGTGCAAATTTTGCAACCACTGATTCTTATTTAGGCCTAATCTTAAAATCCCTAAATCCCTTTTCCATAGGTTACAATAGGGGTATTTTATACGTGATATAAGTCACGGTGTGAATACCTTTTATTTCGTAACAGTTTGGTTATACCTGTACAAAAGAAGTTACAGTTGCTCCCTAAGACACAATGAAATATATCCCTGATACTATCTTTCGTTATTCTTAATCTTTGCCTGTCAATTAGGAGTTACGTGTTTCAATTAATATTCATAGAAAACAGGTGATTTCAAAGGTGGTGAAAATGCACAGTGCTCGGATCGCACTCCAAGTACCGCTGATGCCGCTTTCCAAATATTTATACTCCGTATTTTAAATAGCAATATAGTGTTTGTCTTAAAGCTCTCCTATAGTGAGTCAGGTGTTTCAATTGAGCCTTCGGTAGCTATAATATACCTATAAGAGAGACATTTTAGAAAAACACCAAAGAATCTCTAAAAATATTTTTTTCGATACAAGTAATGCATACATAGTTGAGAGGGGGAGAAGACATATCTTTTTACTTTCTGTCTTGTAGTGGTACTTTTAGATAAGGGGCAGTGAAAGTTCAATCGTGTCGTCTGCAAGATATTTTTGTTTGTTTGTTTGTTTTTCCTTGTGGAATACGTCTCTCTCTCTCTCTCTCTCTCTCTGAGCGCGTGTGTAAAGAGGGAGACACGATAAAAAGGCATTAAATTATCTATCAGAAAACACATACTCTCTTTTCGCACAATCCTTCATAAAGACTATGATACTGACAACTCAAGAGGCCTCATGTTTACTACTGCCTCCAAGACGTAGCATCGTACCATCTGTACAAACACGTCCATGTTTCTCCGAACATCTCTCTTTGTGTATTTAATGTGTTAATACGTGAACATGAACTTGCCTAAGATCCGATTTAAATCTAAACAGGTACAATTACAGAGCAGCATGGGCTGCACATCAGTCACTATTATGGTGCTATTTGTTATTATTAATATGATCGGGAAAGTCTTCCAAAAATTCGGGCACTGCCCTAGGGTTTTATTTTCTGTTTGTAACCGAAATAGCTCTTCACGTGTGTGAAGACGGCTAATTGTATAGCCGGCTGATGAAAGACGTGCTGCTAACAGTGAGAGAAACGTGCAGATTTAGATAAAAGCGGACTCTGGTTTGCCGGATTACACCTAAGTAATAGATGTGTGCAAAGAGAGAGAGAGAGAGAGAGAGAGACTGGAGGAGTGCGAGACGGTAAACATATTCGCCAAGATGTAGAAGACCAAAACAGTAACCAGCACACTACAAAGCGTTCGACAACATTTCGGAACACCGCTCAACATCCTAGCCGGCCTTTTCTTACCTGGTTCTGGCCGTTTAAACCATCATGCGTCTGCTCCGATATTACTGGCAAAATCGCAGCCATATGTTCCTGACAGGTAAACCACCAAACTCCAGAGCCATCAAGCCATCCTCTCGCTCTAATTCTTCAACATTGCATCCAAACACCAACACCTTACTAACACGCACGGAACGTCAACAATTATCCAAAACCGATTTCTAAAAAAACTACCCCGTGGTGATGAAAAGCCAACGAATACCTTTACACTTATTTAGTACAGGCTCTATAAAAAACATGGCGCGTATTATTTATAGAATATTTTATCCGTCCCGGTGAACTTAAGACTTTTAACAAATAACAAACATTTTAAGAAGATGTCTTTTGACACCACTCTTCCCTACTTACCATTTTTATGAAGTCGATTGTCAATAGGGTGAGAGCACCACCTATAGAGAACCCGTCGCTCTGCTTGTCAAAACTAAACACTTATCTCGGTAAATCCCAATGTTAGCAGCTCCGATGACTAATTTAATATAGGAAGAATAAGGGTACCACGGAGTCGCCTTGATTTAGTGAATGCGAGGCAACAGAACGTAATATGCGTGAGCTTCTCAGTCATCGTCTGCGCGCGACCTCCCTCGCCAACATGCCTGCAACTGATTTCACCGAGACTGACTCGTGAAAATATTTTTCTCTTCAGACTCGTCTGTCTGTTGCTGCTCCTTATTCGTGTAGGATAAAAGAAGTTCCCTGTGCCAGCAGATGGGTTTGAAGGGAGGTTCGGTTTCTTGAATCAACGTTTATTTAATTATATCATTTTGCCGAGGAAACGCAGCGCTGAAGGCAAGTTAAAAAACAGATTACCTGGAGTGAGGAGGGCAAAGGGGGAAACGGAATGCGGGATTTTCAAATTAAACTGTTTTGAAATACATTTTGATAATTATTTGTGTTGTAGATAACACAGTGGAGATTGAAATGTTCCGCTATAAATAAGGTTAGTACAGCATCATTAGTCCCTAAATCAACAAAATATTTGTCAAGTTTTGTTTATACATTTTGATTTAAATTGGAAAGAAGAAATGGGGTACTAAAACAAACTGCAAGGGGGGCATGTAAACGACTCTCTAAATCTCAACGTTAGACACATTTCAAGTCGTTGCACTTTTGCAATCTTTCTGGAATAGTCAACTTTTTTCTTTGTCAACGTTTTTCTTAGTCTGTAATAATCTAAAAGGCGACACCCTCAGTTTCTGAGATAACTTGCCTCTAATATTTGTGCTGATCACAGAGATACGTTTCCAAGTAAACTTTGTAACTCAGGGCGAATGTGTAAACCGACTGTAAGGCTTTTCTCGTGAGGCTTGATCTTAAGTTAATAATTAAAGATCTTAAGTTTATAATTAAAGGGTAATATTTTAATAAGATAATCAATGTAGAGATGGGTATAAATAAAACTGGTGGTGGTTAGATTAAAGGGAGAACTAAGGCCGTGGGAATAAGGCTGTTTGAAAATTCACGACTGTTTTTGCTTACTTCTCGATCGGTGAATAAAAATTCAGCCTTACAGATTCCCTCACCCTGAGCTTCTGAACTTTGGGTTCCCTTCATTGGCCAACCTTCGTTGCCATGATAGCATTTTCTCATTTCCATCCACAATTTTGAAAATACATTGCAATAATGACCAGTTTGCCCACGGCATAATGCGTAATAAAAATATATATTTCTCAACTCAGAATTGCTTCTTAGTATCACCCCAAGAGTAATGGGTGTTTTGCCCTTCGCCCCCATCCCCCCTGCCCACTGGAACCAAAGACCAGGTGGTTCTCAAATTCACATCGCTTCAAGCACCTACCTGACGATTAAACAGTAAACACAACCATAAAGTCCAGTAAATTTCCAGACAGGTGGGATGGCCGTTTTGAATAAACAGAAAAGAAGCGGTGACCCCGTGCTGTTTCAACGGGTTGAATTACCTGGTGGATTACCGAAAGGATTGGTTCCAATTTTTTTGTAAAAAAGTTTTGAAGTGAAGAGGAAAATGATATTACATGTATAATACGGTGTCATTTTGGGGATTTTTGGGATTCCCCTGATGGTATTGAATAAGTGCTCTGACACACACACACACACACACACACAGAGAGAGAGAGAGAGAGAGAGACAGACAGACTACCGAAATGCGTTATAACTGGTTTCTGTTTGGGCTATTTACGAATAAGAAAAACAACTTCGGGTGATTAGTAAGGCGCACATTCATCAGCTGAAAGTCGCTTTATAGGCAATTACCAACCAAAATTACTCAGAATACCCAAAATAGCGCTGTTTCGGTCCCACTCCCCGGAAAACTAAGGTGAAGACGAAAGGAGTGGAAAATACGTTGAACGCAGAAAAGGCGCACGAGGGAAAGCAAGTAGACACATATAAACAAGCACGCACACGCGCATATGCAGTCGTTCCCTCACTATTATAATTATTATATTTGATGAGTTGTTCTTGGGGTGATTGCTGATTGCTAAAGCTATATCGAACTTAAGAATAAAACCCGATGTAAGATATGCAGGAAATTTGTGGACGCTGTACAATAATAAATTTTAAAATTTTGCCTCAGATAACCCAACTTACGCCTTTAGATATTGGATCATAGCGGTTTTACACCTGCCGAACGCGTCAAGAAGACAAACGGTTTAAAACGCAGATACATGTATAAACAGCACACATAAATTAAGGAAGATGGAATCACTTGTTTTGCCCCTCACTTGGTGTGTTTTAATGATTATTGCCATGGAAACCGAGTTCAGGTAAGTTATAAATCTTTAAGTGTATTCCCGATACGTCTCAAACCATGACCCTCGCGTATAGCGGTGCATTGATGCGACCCCCCCCCTCTCCCCCCCTGTTAAACAGCACTGTATAAAGGACGTATATATACATATGTTCAAGTGAACGCCTATTTCGCCTTAATGCCAAAGGCCCATGAGTAAATTTCTATCAAATTTGTCACTGAAGTAAACTGACCAGTAGTTACTCGTTCGAGTTCGCAGATGACCTGTGTCTAGCTGACAGTGACAGTGATGGATAGGGGCTAGCCTGCTCTAGAAAACCAGGGCAGGGGAGTTTCCTTGGAGCGCTCTCTGCGCGCCTTGTTTTCCCCAAGTGTTTTCTACTCCTAATTTGATGTGAAATAAATAAATAAATAAATAAATAAATAAATAAATAAATAAATAAATAACAGGAAGCCGTTTGAAGGAAGGTATAGGTAAGGTATTTGCAGCAATTCTTTAATGAATAATCTGAACTGCTGGAAAATTATTTTCCTAGATTAAGTCTTCATCTGAACTACTGGTGGAATTTTTCTACTGAAAAATGTTAATAATTTGGCGATTTTATACCACCGATTCTCCATTACAGGTTAGACGGAGATCACTCGTGTCTGTACTCTTAACTTTACCTGTGATATTAACCTAGTTTATTTTGGGGAGAGAAGGATTTCCGGGAAAATATCCCGTCCTGGGGAGGATACGAAAGTCTCAATGTCGATGTTCCATAATTGAATCCACTTGCTAAGGATATATATACATACTCTTAGGTACAGTTACATCTTGCGTTGCAACACAGGTGAAAAAATAGATTCCTCAGCGCCATCTGGTGAACGCCATTAGATGTATAGAGCAAATGATTTCTTTCAAGCTTGTCAATGTTTATCATGTACACAATTTAAGAATCTCGTGACGATGCTGTTTTTGTTCAGATCTTTGAGAGTCAACTTGATAACAACCCGAATTTGATAACAACTTTTCTAGTTATTTCATGATATCTTACCTATGAACGGGAAATCCTGAAATATTGTCTTGTAGTAGGTATTGATGAATGGGAGGAGGGGAGGGGGTACAGGTATATGTATTGTGTCAAGAAGAAAACAACAGCGTGCATGTCTTAATCTTTAGATTTAGGAAAAAAGACTTGGAAGTGTGGGTTCCCATGTCAGTATTAATCGCTGATCAATCGCATAAAATAGAGAAGAGTTTCATTTTGGGGGATGTTTTTAAGAATCAGACAACACCATGGAAAGGGAAAGAGGGAAAATCGCATCTGTTTAAGATTTAAAAAAATACAAGAACCGGTGCTAAAGTAGGCATTCGATTGCGCAATGAACGCGGTTCACTGAAAAAAACTTTTTAAATGTCACTGCTTTAATTTGAAACTAAAAAATCAGGCAGCTCTCTGATAATTGCGTCAGAGAGGTTCAGAAATTCAGTAACACGATCAGCCCAAAGGTCTGGAAAGACACAGACAGATATAGGGGCAAGCGTAAGGGTAGCAAAACACTCTCAATCTGGCTCCTGTTCATAACAAAACGCCTTGTTCATTCAACAGTACCTGAATCAAATTAAGGAAAATCCAGAAAGAAAAACAGGTATTAGTCGCCACATCTGGCTCTGAAACTGCCAGCGGCTTCTGCGAGAACAGCTGTAGTGGAGAGATTCTATACTACCGGTAACAAGTTCTGAGACTGGCTGTGTTTAGATACTGCATATACCATCTGTGCTCTGCTGTCTATTTGGGTAACCCTTGAAGACCCCAAGCTAATGCAAGAAAATCAAAAGCTGCTGGAGGCATTTTTTATACTTACAAAACTTCTTCGTCCGTATGACATGGCTTGTTAACTTGAAGTTTCCTGGAATTTCAATACGGACCAATCCTCACGGTTAATTTTTATATAGAGCCCCCAGTTCGCCCTTCTAATGCATTTTCTGTACTTGTCCGTTTTGCTCATCTTCTGTACACCTTGCTGACGTCACTGGTGGAATGAGCGATCCAGATGGCGCTGTTGGGCGGAATCCTGCCAGAAGAGGATTCTGATTGCAGCATCTTCAAACAAAGTTACCTGAGCCTATTAAAGCGATCGTGCTGCCACTTTTTTTTTCCAATTCATCTGTAAGATTGCTGAAAGATGAACATACATCAGGAAGAAATGATCCTAGGATAATTCAAAGTTGATAATTTCAGATGTTACTAATTGACACAAACATTTACCGTTGATAAAATTATTTTGTATTTAATCATTCATCTATCAATATTGTTGGGTCTGAGACTTTTCAATATCAAAAGGAGCACTGTTTTGGGTAAAGTTGATGCCTCTGTTATGACCACGTTATAACTTAAAGCTAGCTCTTTTTTATCTATCTGCTTTTCAAAGAACTAAGTGTTTACTTTACAATCTAGCACATTTAACCACAGCTACTAGAAATTAATTTCACAGCCCGGAGCTCACAAAGAACATGTGTTAATCATATAGATCTCACCCTTCAACAAACTACTGATATAAAGGACGCAGTGTCAATTTATATACCTACATGTATATATCGTAAGCATAAATATCACCTGAACAGGTGTATGGTTCACGCGTCGGGCAAAACCAATATACTGGTACTTCATATAGCGATTCAGGTGCGTGTGATATGGCGCTTCCATTGCAAGTCTAGATGCTGTAATGAAATTGACAAAGTAAAAAGCAACAAAAGACTAAACAAAAAACATTCATCTATACGCAGCAAACAGTTTTCAGAATACAACTTATATACCAAAGATAAACCAATGTAGTATACACCGTATATCCCTCGGATCTTGGACCTAAATATTTAGGTCCAAGCTCGGATAAACGGAAAAAGTAATTATTCTCAGTGTTATTATCAATATCATCTTGAACAGAAGGAAATATGCAAGCTGTATAAACTAAAAGTAAGAATAGTGAACAAAACAGTGGTGACTAAAAATTATTCCTTATTATCTTTTAACCTCTTGTAATGGGCTGGCACTGTTGACAAAGATAAAAGTAAACACTATAAAGTTTGTGCAACGACGGGGCGTGATTGTGCAGTGGCGGCGCAACCTACTTTATCAGCTCAACTGACGCAATCAACAAGTCACATGATCGATATCAAACCAAGATGGCGGATGACCGGACGGAAGAAACGGCGCCCCTCTTGACAGAACAACAGCCTACTGGCGACTCCCCGCCAGCTTATTCACCATACCCAAGCCAGGGGACGCTAGGTAAGTGATTAAAGGACTATTACAGAGTAAAGGCTTCTAGATACCTGCCTTGTACTTATATTATAAAAGCAAATTGCTTAACCTATCCCCTTGCTAAAGAGGAACTCTGTGCTTGGTGCGTATGACAAATCAGTCATAGCAGATAAAGTGAAGTGACCAGCGCAGACCTGGCACGACCAGTTGTCACTGTCTTACTGGACTGAGTCATCGCCCTGGAAATTGACCCTTTTTACGTGTCTTTTTTGTCTGCTTATCGCACTCTTCTTTTCTGCCTGTGTTAAATACTGAGAACGTGTATGTATGACTATGATGTGTCATTAATTCACAATTTCTAGACGGGATTTTACTCGTGGTTATTGGGCTATCTTTTAAATTGCTTCACTTTTTTAACTGGCAACAGATACTGTTAAAAGTTCAAGTGCATGGTTTCCTTGATCAGTATGACCTCATTAGACGTATGTCTGTATTCTAGAAAAGTAGAAATGAAATAAAATGTAAGTTCAACATCATTATTTCACTCACAAATGACATACTAATGTCATGTTTGCATTATGCTAGTACTAGTCTAATATGCTATTAAAAAGGCTATTTCACTTGAATTTTAGATTCATCAACTAACCCATTTAGTTATTAACCAAGCTTAGCTACACTGTACATAGATAATAACAACTTGAGATCTTGTGTCGCAGGAGTTGGAAGCAATGTGGTGACAGTGCCCCCTATAGGCCCTGATGAGCTCCCACCTCCCTACAGCCCTGCTGGGATCCCCACCATCAACTGCAAGGTATGCCAGGCCCCAGTCAGCATTGAGGGCAAACTCCACCAACATGTGGTTAAATGTGGGGCGTGTAACGAGGCCACGGTGAGTAGATGGCAATTTTTTACACTTAATTGGTGCAGTTTTTTTCACTTGGTTTGTGCTGCAAACCTTTCAGATCACTGGTCATTGAGACTAGTACACCTCAACGAAATAGAAAGTTAATATTTAAGCTTGTCCAGTTAGAATATGGGCCATTCCGTGGTATTTGTGTCCTGGGCATAAAATTTTCAAATGTACAAAAATCAATCAAAAGTTGGATTTTCTGAAAGAAGAGACTTCAGGGGATAAGAATTTGTAAAAGATTTACCTGTATTTTTTGAATTCATGATTTTATAGCGCGTTAAACTTGAAAAATGTGAAAATTAGCATTACGGACGGAATTTTTTATTTTTTGCATGTAACACTCAAAATAAATTTTAATCAATATCTTTCAATTGAGACATAAATTACAGCAATTCCTTGAGGTAAACACATAAAAAATCAAGTGAAATCTTTAAAAAATAGTTAACTAATCATTAATCCAAAGTCGTTTTTTCCGTCCGTAATGATTTGGGCTCTATTTTTTAAGTTTTTTTAAAGACTACTTGGCAAAAAAAAATTTCCTTTCATATTCTCCTCACACTAGTCCTATGTTTACCAAATATCCAAAAAAATTGTTTTAAACATGTTTGATGACAAAGTAATTTCATAATAAAAAATCATTACGGACGGAAAATTAGCATTACGGACGGAAAGGCATAGCTACCTGGCTATAACATTTCTACTGAGTGGTTTCATGTGGCATACTCAAGAAATAGATTTATGAATTTTAAAACTAAGGAAGAACTGTTTCCCTTATAAAGGTTAATTTAAAAAAAAAAGATTATTCAAAAATGCAGGATTTAAAGTCAAAAAGTGCTTTTTCTTACCTGGCAAGACTTGTAAACATCTGTCTCACTTGTCAATTAGTGGCATTTGAATTGCACCTATATATACCAGTAATTTTAAAAAATCAATTTTTACTATTAGACCCATGCCAAATCAGGTTGGTGACATGGTGGTTAATGTTGCAGACTATCTTTGATTTGAATTTACAAGCTATTTTATTGACACTGGCAATGGAAAAGGGGAAGGCTTATCATCATATGTTATTTGGTACACTTCCTAGTCGAATAAAGTTGGAACGTTTTTTTTTTTTTGTATAATTAACAGCTATACTGGAATTCTAGTGATCTTTCTTAACCATACATATTATACTTGAACAATAATCCTCTTGTATTTGACTTGAAAATCATTCACAATCACTATCTTTTTTATTCAGCCCATCAAGCCACCACCCCCAGGGAAGAAATATGTCCGCTGCCCGTGTAACTGTCTACTGATATGCAAAGGGACATCACAGAGAATTGCCTGTCCTAGGCCCAACTGGTAAGTGAAATAGTGAAATAGTAGTTCAACCTAGGCTTAACCAGTAGGGGAAATATACAGACACGAGCTTTTTCCATGGATTCTAAAGCGGCCCCTGGACCTCTGGCCGAATAGGCGTTGGGTCCCATAATAAATGTTCAGATTTTTTTTTTAAACCTAGGCTCATGTCTGAATATATATATATATATATATATATATATATATATATGATCCAACCTAATTGATAGGTGAAATATGGCCAGTCCAGGCAGGTAAATTGGTGGTACATCTTAGACATAACTTCTAAACAATATAAGGTATATAATCTGTCCCAGGTCTTACAGGTTGGTGACATGAGGCCTTCCATAGGTTCATTTAGTTTAGTATGGAAATAAAGGAAAATTAAGTGGATTATTGTTTTAAGATAGCTTGGTGGTGATGAATTGAAAAATTTATTTCTTTTTTCTGTGCCTCGTGCTTACTCCTGATCTGTTTTCTAAACCAACAAAGCGGATTCCCTTATTAGTAAGTGTCTAAAAATTTTGATTTATATATCAGCGATAAATGTGTTTCCCCTCCCTGACCCCCCAAATTATAATTTATAATTCTCTGTTACAGTATCCAAATTCAGATATGAAGAGCAATAAATAATTTGTACTATGCAAAAGTGTGTCCATTAATCATAATATTTGAGTGACACTGGGGAGCCTTGCCTGTGGGGTTTTACTGAGAGTTCTACTTTAGATTGGGTAACTGGTCATCTGTTACATATGTCAGATCTTTTTTTTTTTTTTTTTTTTTTTGCCTTCTGCATCTTAAGCACATGTAAGATTTATTTTGTTATCAAAGAGGAGAAGGAATAGCAATTTGTCCTCCACTGCACTTGAAATCACCTTGCCCCACATTTGTTTCACAAGCTTTAACCTTAACATGTTTAAGTTATACAAGAAGAAGTAAAATAGATAAGTTATGCACTATTTAAGATAAAAAGAATACAAAGAACATGTATATTTGTAAACAGATAATGCATCTTCATCTGCCTTAGGCACAACATGGTTGTATAATACAGCATTCATCTTTGAACTTTGTTGGGTATGTGGTTGGTTCAGTATGAAGAAAAGCTGTTTATTTCTTCTGTCAGTAAATGATTAACATTTTCCATTACTATTAGTTTTCAAGCCAGGTCATGAAATTTTATCTAAAATATATATGCCCCACAGCATAGTCTGTGGTTGAAGTATTGATCTGGAGCATGTAATCAATAAATACATTAGAAAAAGAAGACTGTACCCTTTCTGCTGTACTTAACACTGCCCAATAAATAAATAAATAAATAAAATAGAGCTGAAAGAAATGGTCTGCCAAAAAAACAACTGAAAGAAATGGCTGGTGTCATGTAAATGTTGGTGGATTTATTGCTGATTTACTTACTGAAGAATACGGAGATGCAAAGAGATGCCTGGCAGTTGTCCAGAATATTTGCAAATGTGTTGAAAATGTGAGGTGATGTCTGCATTTTTATTGTACGTAGTCTGTACTCTGTAGTGTAGATATATTTATATATGTTCCTGATTACTAGTACCAAATAGACCTAAATTGGTTTAACATTTTGTGCAATAAAACATCTCCTGTGTCACCTGAGCATAAACTGGTATAAGTGATTTTAAAGAATTAGAGAATTCCTGTTCATTTTTACCAAAATGGGAAGACTTCCAGTTTATGTTTCGTTATTAAAACAGCAAGGTAAACCATGTCATATTAGTAATGCAGTAATTTCAGTAAAAGACTCACCTTATTTTTTAGTCAGTGGTTTTATATCATTTTGTCCACGTACAGATATGGTACTCTATCAGTGAGACATTTTTAATAGTAACTTATAAATAAATTTAAAAAAAAGGGTTGGAATGAGTATTTACCGTTACTTCCTAATCCAGTTACTTTGTTCCAGTAATTTCAGTATGAGAGTGACCTTACTTTTGGAATCACTGCTTAAAATATTTCATTTTGATCCTATACAGATACAGTGCTTTATCATTTAGTGTTTTTTAATAGTAGCTTAAAAATAGATCTTGAGCATTTGTTTTGATATAAAATGGGTAATTCCAACTTTTATTTTCTTCTAATAAAAGGAGTATTTACTATTTGAGTATTATTTGGTAATACATTGTTATTTTGTTGCAGTAAAAGGAGTATTTACTATTTGAGTATTATTTGGTAATACATTGTTATTTTGTTGCAGTAAAAGGAGTATTTACTATTTGAGTATTATTTGTTAATACATTGTTGTTATGTTCCAGTAAAAGGAGTATTTACTATTTGAGTATTATTTGTTAATACATTTCTATTATGTTACAGTAAAAGGAGTATTTACCATTTGAGTATTATTTGTTAATACATTGTTATTATGTTACAGTAAAAGGATCATCAACCTGGGTCCAGTCAATGCCACAGTGTCCATCAGACCCCCTGGCACCAGTAGAGTCATCTGTGGTCACTGCACGGAGCCATTCCTGGTCAGTAGTCCAGTCTCTCTCTGAAGGGGCCCGCACACTCGCGCTCCTCAGCTCCCCGCAAACGATGCGCTCTTTGCTCAGCAGAGGTGCTTCCCGGCCTGCCCCTTGCGGACGCACTGTGAACTTTGGGATCATGTGTTTAAGGAAACATTACATATTGTTATTTTTTCTGATAGTAATGGATAATGGTGACCACGTTAATCAATCAGACTAACTATAACTGTGTACATTTTTGTTGACTTCGATGGGGGCTGCCATTTATGTTTGTTTCTGGCTACTGGCACATGCGCATTGTTAGCATGGCGTGAGCAATCGGCGCTTGCACCCCGCGCACGCTGAGACATTGGCCTCAAGAGACCAAAAAAATCAAACACGTGAGAAATTTTGCTCAGCCGCGCGTGAGGCAAAAATCTCACCAAAATACCCCCGCAGCACACGATGAGAAAACGGCGCAGCGCAAGTGGCGCGCGCCAAATGCTCACCGTGTGCGGGCCCCTTGAGCCACATTCAGAACAGTGGACTGACTAGTTCAAGGGTCAAATATGGCCAACCCACTCAAATACTTCCCCACGGAGAATCTATTCCGTGTCTATTAGTGGATAAGATGGCAAGCTTTTTAGTGGGTCGCCATATTTGACCCTCATACTAGTTTGAATGCGGCCTTACATATCTGCAGATCAAATATGACCAACCCACGTAAAACTGATCCAACTAATTGGCTGATAGTCTCCTGCATGCACCATTTAACGGATTAAATTGCAGCTCTGAGATTTAATTGCTTGACTGCTGCAAGGACAGCGCGTGTGGAGGCAGGGAGACCATTAGCGGATTATTCGGCTCTGGCTTAATGTGGGTCGGCCATATTTGATCTGCGGATCTGTTAGTTAGTAAGATTAACTTGATCTGAATGTCTTCTTTGGATGTTCTATTTGTCTGTCTGTGTCACAGTTGTTTGTCATTTTATTTGTCACTTTTGTTAGTCTGTGCAGTCTGTTTATATGTCCTTGTATATAATGGTAAATGCATGAGTTGGATGTGTGCGTGCATGTAAGCATGCGAGCGTGAGCAGAGAGAGACACTTATAGACAAAAGGATGTACAATTTTGGGTTATTAGCAATCAACCAACTGAAAAAAATCATTAATCATATCATGTGAACATAATTTTTATAAGTACTTAGCAAATTTCAAGTTAAAATTTCATGAATTATTAAGTAAAATTTTTCTCCATTTTTATTCCAGTTCAATATTCACCACAACGCACTGGCACGGTGCCCCCACTGTAGAAAAGTGTGAGTATTCTGGACAGTTATCAGATTTAGATGCACTCATTACCCTCTTTTGTGAGAACAGAGAATTGTGCCAGAGACATAAGTATTTGGGAATAACTAGTGAAAAATCAAACTGAGGCCCTGGTAGAGGGTACAACTAAGTCTTCTGTATGGTATGAAGACTTTCTCTGAAAACACTGTTGCAATGTGAAGTGGATGATTTGTTTTAAACCTCACCACACTGATGCTGGGGCCTATGTCAACAGAGAATTTTAAACTGAAAACTAGTCAGTTTGTTACACCAAAATATTTGATCTACTGGTGGTAAGCCTCTGAAATGGCCACATGTAGTCAAATACACTAGTTTTCTTTTTTGAAATGAGAATTTGTAATATTGCTTTGAAGTGGACGGCTGCAGAGTTTCCTTGGATCAAAATAGACTTAAGTTTTTGGTTTATAACTTCCCTTGAAAAGCTAATTACGGAAAAGTCCTTCGTCTCATCCATTCTGTTGAACCCAGTATCACTGATTTTTGTACAAGTTTTGATCTCTGAATTCTTATTTTATTCTTTTCAGTTCTTCTGTTGGCCCTCGCTTTGCGAGAACGCGTGCAATTATATATGGCTTGATAGGCTTAATCTTCCTGGGAGCTGGCATTGGGGTCACCGTAAGTACACTGCTGTGCTTTTGTGTGTGTGCATGTGTAAGTTTGTGTATGTTACTGTGTTTGTGCAAATTTCATGGTTGGAAAGATATTCCCAAGTTTGTACGTGAAATACAAATTGTTATGAATGCACGACAGTATGTGTACATGTGAAAGTATGTGTTTGTGTGGGCGTGTCTGAATAGGTTAACACTGTACATGTGCTTGTATGTCTTAAATACCCTAAAGTACTTAAATCCTCACAAAAAATGATATAAGTGTTGAGTATAAAATTTCTCAAAGGCAAATCATTTTTGAAGCAATTTTCTTTCGTTGTCCGTGTTTATTTAGGAAAATTATATTGCTTTAATTCTCTCTCACAGGTAGGAACATATGAGATGGCAACTCACCAAGGAGGATTATATGTTGTTTGGATAGGTGAGAATTGTGTTAAATTAGGAAGAACTGTGTCTGTGCAGATTTCTGTGGATATTGGAAATTACTGAAAAGGATAACAAAAGCAAAAATTATTTTTTAAGATATTAGTAGACTGGATTTTGGTTGAAATTGTTGTCACTTACTGCCTGCATAACTAACTGTTCTGAAAACTTGACCAAAATTTGTGAAGACTTGTACATGAACAAACAAATCGGTGCTATTGTTTCATAAAATTTATAATTTTTTTTATGTTAGACATGACAATTTGACGTTTGTTAACAGAGCAAAATATTAATGTTTGGTTCTTTATTTGTACAAACACAAATAAACATGATTTCAAACAAATCCCTGCAATCTTTGTCATGAAGTAGATAAGTGAATTTATTTCATTTTCTTTCGTTTCAGGTGCTTTCGTTACAGGATTGCTTTTACTTATCCGTGCCCTGTACTTCGTGTGCATGAAGGTCAGTTCAGTAGAAGGACCTGCATAGGTGGCAGCACAAGCCAAGATAGGCTGCATGTTAAGAATGGAGGTTTGGACCAGACTATTCATAGACATGTGCTCATTGGACACGTTTTAAATGATTCTGCGTGAACCCAAGTTGAACCAGTTTAATCTGTTCACACCTGTAGAGCAAGCTGAACAAAATTGTTCTTCAACATATTCTGATGAAAATTGATCTGTTAGTATCATTGCTCATAATGATGAAATTTCTAATACCAAACAGTTCATTTCCTGTATTGTTGACAAATCTGTTTGGTGATAATTATTCTACACATTTTCGACTCTGAAATCACCGTTATAGGTGATATAGGTGATATATATATTGTCAGTACTGTGATAAGCAGCAAATCTTGTCATTTTGAATGCTTTCTTTACAATCCCACTTCTGCGTGAGGTGAGTGCATTGAACTTGTTCAGAATGGGTTCGTAACTAATTAAAAACCTTGTGTATAAATCCTGATGTAGATGTGTTTGACAAAAGAATTGCCAATAGAGGGCATCATGGTCACATTGTCATGGAGGAGGGGGTTGTTTTACTTGTGATAAAGGCTTAGTGCTGCGAAATGTTCAATTTCAAAAAACTTGGACACATCAATAATTTTTCCTTGTTATATAAAAGGGATGGAAGACTACATGAGAATATCGTTTATTTTAGAGATTAACTGATTTGACCTCTGTACATACATGCTGTATGAAGAAAGTAGGTCATTTGGCGTAGATATACAGTGGGTTTGAATTTAATGTAATTCTTGGAAATTACGGTAATCACATAAAATTTTCAAAGACATTTTTTCTGATATTTTTCTTATTCAAGACTGATTATTGGCAGATATTCACAACAACATTTCAGTTATTTTTGACATAAAGTAGTCAAAATTTTCAAAACTTCTGAAGCCAGAGTTTAATTAAATTTCTGACAAAAAAACTTTAATTACTGAGTAAGTACTGTAAACAAACTTTTCAGTCATAATGTACCCAGAAATTTGAGGGAGGTGCCTCCAGATTTTTTAGAGTAGTGTGTCATGGTATAGGAGATGGACTTGCTTTTAATGTTTGTTTTACGTCTTTGAGAAGTTAAAAAGTTGATTATGTTAATAGGCCATTCTGCCTACATTCTAAACACCAAGATGGTGAAATTTTTTCATTTTGTTGTATGCTGCTAAAATATAGTTTTTTATGCGTTACTGGGGGCTAATATCTGTAGAGTTCCCCTTCAGAATATATATAATGTTATTATTCAAGATATTTCACTGCTAGTCATTTTTTCAGCATAGCTAATTGAACAATATGCATCTGTATAAAATGTGTCATCAGAAATTAACTTTTATTATTTGAACTTTGTGCACCATAAATGCATTATTCTCTATGGCACATGAATAGAGCATGGGGAGGAATGAAATTAATCATCAGGAAGTGATGGTTTTATTACTCTTTCATTAAAGATTAGACTATGTAATTGTGTATTTTACTTTAAACATTTGTATATACTTGATGTATACCTATATGAGAACTATTGACTGATATAATAACCATATTAAGCTACCATGTATAACGAAGAGCAACCCATTTCCATGTAATGTTCACTTATACTGTTCCCCTGTGCTTTATGGGAAGATACTTAAATTCAAAATGAAATGCTGGAATAAGACTTGCCTAGTGTTTATTTTTTATCAGGTAGTCTCCTAGAGAAAGAAAGATTGTTTCTAGGAAAACACCAGTCATATTGCTTATGAATGATATTATTATGATCATATCAGTACTTGATGAATGTTATAGTATTTTTTAGGTAAATTGCACGTCAACTTTCATCTTCGTAGTCTGGTGTCTTGGATGTGTAAATTGTCTAGTGCTTTTTTTTTTTTTTTTTTTTTTTTTTTTTTTTTTTTTTTTTTGCAAAATAATGACTTTTATTCTACAGATTGATGTATATAATGGTGACAAGGGCTAAGATATGTGCCAGGCATTTTACATGCTCATCTGGTGACCTTTGCCGAATTCTGAGCAAAAATATTTTCCGAATTAAGTGTCCATCAGTGTCTGATTGTATTTCGTGCAGAATATTTGAGATTTGAGCCAATTGCGACTAATGGGATGAATATTATTAGGATTTGCCTATATGGTAATCTCTTGGCACAGTGTGCAAGATCGTTCACCAAAACCATTTTTTTTTTATTCCAGATTGCAGTTATATTTCTCTTTGGCAAATTAATGTTTGCAAAACTGAAGACCACACTGTAGCTAAGTGGTCAGTTTGGGATTTAGGCTATTTTATATAGATTTATTTTTTCATCATTTCTGCACTATTACTGCATGTACTATAGGACACGTCATAACACAAGTAAGCATTTATTTCAAGTTCAGCGACTGTTACCTGGTCAAGAAAGCAAATGTGATGTTGTACACTGGCTTGACAAACAGTAAGGAAAGACTGGGACTATATCTGCAACTGGGCATGATTGTACATTCACCTGTTTGCATGTGAAATTCTTATATGAAAGGATTGCTTTTGTAAATAAACAATTTTTCATGTCTGTTATTTGTTTGGTGAAAATAACTGCAAGTGTGTATGATCAGAATTTCACGATATACAGATCACAGCCTTAATGGATTCAATCTCGAATAAGGATGGGTATTAAGTATTTATGGGATTTTCATATTAACACAGTTATGATTTGTCCAAGAAATGAAACACATCATTCCTGAGAAATAAACTGGAAACCAAAAACTTGTCAAGTATCAAAAACACACATGAATTTAAAAAATAATGCCATTTACTATACGAATGTGGAAAGAGGCTCTCACCACAAAAGAAGTCCACAAGTAATTATGACATGAAACCAAATCAGCACAGTTTACATCTGTGTGATAGGTAAAATAAGTTATTTTTTAAAGTTGGAGCTTCCCCTCTAAAATAATGTTGATGTAAAAAAACTTTGAAAGTGAAAAATAAATAGCACCACCAGTTGAGATCTGTACAGTCCAAAATGTTACATAAATGTTACTGTAAATCATAACACTTCTTAAGTTTTAAAGTTAACTTAACATGGGTTGGGACGGCAGTAGAAGGATACTCAAAACTGCCTAACGTCCAGCATTGTGACTTTGTATGGCATTATCTGACTTTGTATGGCATAATCTGAGGTAAAACAACTAACAACTGATAGTAAAACATCCCTATGGCATCACAAATGGCATTCATAAATCTCAGAATCCACTGCTTACCCATGCAGTTAAGTATTCTTCATTAATCAAATCCTTTATAAAAGCCCCCACATAGATCCAAATTCTGCTGCCAATAGTGTCAAAAACAGATGATTTTCGAAATTGTACCTTGTGGTGCTCTTAAAAATCAGAACAGGCTTCTGGCAAATTCCATTTCTTTAAAATACCTTCATGGCATAAACAGTATGATGGCAGCAGAGCTCCTTGTGAACATGTCTATGTTGGCTCTTCACTGCAGCTTGAACTAATAAATCTCTCTGCAGTCAAAGTTCAACCATTTCAACTTCTTGGCCTGGTCCATACAAATACGTTGGGATTTGCCAACGCTTCCTAAAGACACTTCTGGAGTTGCCTGTAATGATCAAAGAAATTTCCTGCAATTAATTTATAGGTAGCTGTTGAGAGATGTTCTAAATAATTGAGATAAATAGGTAACTATTGACAACTAACACAGCGATCACTACATGCATACATAATAATAGTACCAATAACAAATGTTATTACACAAATGCAATTATATATACCTGGACTAAATGCATTATTTTACAAAAAGAAAATGCTTTTGGCATTTAATAACCATTTAACTTGTTGTTCATTATCCTTAGAACAACAATTATAACTTTATAACTGATGTTTAAGGGATAACAACTGTTTATTTAGCCATAAAAATGGATTTTCCTGGGGTAAACAAAACTACCTGGTTAAAAACATATATCCGGCAGGATCCTCTTGAGAAGCCACCAGTCCTGTGGCTCCCCCTGTGCCAGTGGACTTCTGGACAGTTCCATCAAAAATTCCCTGGAATAGTTCGTTTCTTTCTTTACCAGGAAAACAGACCCTGGAAAAGAAACATGAGCATAAACAATTGTTCAAGAGCACTCTATTAACAACAAATGCCCTGTAATTGAAGGATTAAATGCCATTTCAGAAATAAAATTAAAATCAGCATTCTCGCGACTATTTTAAAATGCCATTTTACAGGGAGAGAAGACTTTCTGAATTGCAAGAAAAATATGTAACCTATCAACAAAAAGTGAAACATCAAACAAACTGGAATCACTTAATACATCAAAACAGCAAACAGCAGGAAAAGGAAAAAGGATCTGCTGCAAGTCAACATCTACAGAGAAGTGACCCAAACCTTTTCCTTGCTCCCCATACAACTTCCTAGCAGCCCTGGCAAAGTTCTCTCTGCGGACGATGGAGCCCTGACAGCCAGTGGTCATCTGTGCCACTGCCCGCTCCACTGATCCAGGGCTACTGTCTGGGAACAGTGGTGGTCTGACGGCCACATTTCCTGATGATATCCTACCACCCATCACCACACGGGAACCTGGAAATAAATAAATAATGAATAATTTTTTCTTTACTTTTTATTTTCTTATTTTTATTGTTTTTGTCTTTCAAACAATCTGTTTTAATTCAAGTCAACTTGCTTTCAGTTGCTTTTTAAAATATCATTATTATTTTTGAAAGAGTAAGAACAGAAAACTGCTTGTTGGTAGATCAGAAAGACTCCTTAGTGTCCTAGCCATGTTTGCACAAATGAAACAAAATTAAGTTTTACACATAAATATGTATGTAATGTAATAATAAATATTGATTACATTACATTTCTGTGCATTTTAATTATTTAATTCTCGAAACTCTAGGACATGTATTGAGTACTCTTATACGAGTTTGGTAATTCAATGTGCTGTGTGTGTGAAAGCACGTATGTGTGTACTCGTGTGTATCAACAGCCCCAAGCTTAACTTATTTATATATAATCTACCTGCTTTTCCTGCAGACTTTGTATCTACCACACTTGATTCTGCCTTTAAAACATCACCATCATCTTCTTCATCATTACAAGCTTCTTCAGATGCTGAGTCGCTTTCAAACATCACAGTGCTATCAATCTCATGTTCAAGGGCAATTTCTTCACTGTCAATCTCTTTTTCAGGAGTGGGATCAAAGCTATCCAGCCCATTTTCAATGGTGGTTTCCATGATGTCCATCTGTTTTTCTGGGGTGGAACCAAAGCTATCATTCTCTTTTTCAGGACCAGAACAAGAGCTGTCAGCTTTGTTTTCAAAAATGGTTTCAATGTTGTCTTTTGGTGTGACCTGACAGACGTCAATCACCTTTTGGGGAGTGGTGACGGTACTGATCTCTGCCACAGACTCCAGATTTGTCAGAGAGCCGTCATTCAATTCCACTGGGACATTTTCCATACTGTCAATCGCCTTTTCTTCAGTTTTGACACAATCATTTGTGTCGCACACAGATTTCTCAAAACACTTTCCTGGAGTACGATGTAACTGTGTTTCAGAAATACATACTGCTTTGGCCATTTCAGAACTGTCAAACACTTTTTCACTAGCAATATCTGTATTGTTCTTGACTTTGCCTTCTTGAGGTTTAAGCTCACAAGACTGTGCATCCTGAGAAGTATGGCCGACATCCGTACTGGCAACATTTTCTTTGGCATTGCTGCTATTGGCAGGAACCCCGCCCACAAGGCTGTCGCTAATGGTAACCCCACCCACATCACCCCGAGTCTCCTCCTTCAAATACCCACTCTTCCAGTCCTCTCCGTGAATAAGAGCCATCTCTAAGCATTTGATATTTGGGGCAAACATGTTAAGAGCCTTAGCACTCATCTCTCCAAACTTGAAGGACAGTTGATTGACCTTCAGTGAAGCAGGGTCGTTAGGAGGCTTAAAGACTTGAAAATTACTTGTAACAGCCATCTTTTTCCTTTGACAGTTAGCTTTGGGAACTTTGATTTTTTCATTCAGACCGATTTCCTCCTCTGTGGGAATGATGGCCCGCTTGTGGTTGATGGAAACTGATGTTACCTTGAACTGGTCTTTGCCAAACACAAATGGTGTAACACTGTCCAGATCTTCCCAGTTCTGAAGAAAATGTATGATGGTTTCAATAGGTCACTAAAGAAATCCTTTTATTTCTTTAGGGTTATTAATTGTGTTCTGTTAACTATACAAACGAGGCTTCAAAAATGAGCAAGAGCTGTCAGTTGCACCACATTATCACTGCTTTTTTCTTTGCTTATAGTAAAATACATTTTCTGAAGGGCCTGGCACAAACAATGGTCTTACCAAATCATCCTGTCCTCTGTAAAATTCTCCTGTTGTAAGACTGGGATTTCTTTGGTGAATTGTTCCAGACATAGGTGCGGGTTGCTTGAAAGATGGTTCCGTTGCCCTGACCACTGGTTCTGTTGCCTTGACAACTGGTTCTGTTGCCTTGACAACTGGTAATGTTTCCTTGACCGAGGACTCCTGTTGTTTGTCTGTTATCACACTTGGGTTGTTGTGTATGCCATCTCCTACCTAAAAAAAAAAAAAGAAAAAAAAAAAAAAGATCAAACAAATGGACCTAATACAAGCAAATAGTGACACTTATATATTCTTTTTGGGAAAAAGATTGAAATTAAAATTGCTATAAATCATAAGGTATCTGATAATTGACCGGAAATGTCAAAAGTTTAACAAGATCAATCATCAACGGAAAAAAAATTGCACATTGCACCTGGCGTGTGGTATGATTACTTCAGTGAATTGTTGAATAGTGGGAATCCAACAGTGGACAATGAATTTCATGAGTCCATAGAAGCTGAAGTGAAAGCTCATGATAAGAGTTGTAAAAAAATGTGTGGAAAATGATCCTTTATTGTTAAATGATGTAATTACTATGGATGAAATCACAGAAGCCATTACACAATTAAAAAATGGAAAGGCAGCTGGTATGGATGCAATGCTGATTGAATTTTTAAAGCATTCTAGCCTTAAATGTGTGGCTTGTATATGTAGCCTATTTAGTACCATATATGATAAAGGGTTGTTTCCTGCAACTTGGTTGGTGGCAGTTATATGTCCTTTACAGAAAGGTAGTACAAGAGACCCCAACAATTATCGTGTTTTTTCCTTACTTAGTGTGTTTGGGAAAGTATTACAAAGGTACTGAGCAACAGACTGACCAAGTGGGCAGATAGAGATGAGGTTATTAGTGAATGTCAAGCAGGATTTAGAAAGGGGTATTCCACACAAGATCATATTTTTTCTTTGTAGGCCATGATTCAAAAATATTTATCAAAAGGAAAGGGGAGATTTTATTGCATGTACGTAGATTTTCATAAGGCGTTTGACTGTATTAATCATCAGTATCTGTGGCACAAAATATGTTCAAAGGGAATTCATGGGAAAATGATAAAGGTACTGAAATCCATGTATGCTCAAATAAAATCATGCATAAAAATACCAAATACCAATAGCTGTACAGAAACATTTGACTGGTGTTGGGGCTAGACAGGGCTGCATGGTAAGCCCTTTTTTTTTTTTTTTGTATGTATATAACAGATCTTGTTTACTTATATATATATGAAGATAATATGTGTAAAGGGATCTTCATTTATGAAAGCTTTCAAAATGTTACTTCACTCTTTTATGCTGATGATTTTGCAAACTGTGGAGATACAGCATACAACCTACAAAAGCTGGCTGACCATTTGTCCGTTTTGTAAGCAATGGAAACTAAGAGTGAATATGGAGAAAACCAAAGTAATTGTATTTAGAAATAGTGGACCTTTGAGAAGATATGAGAAATGGTTCTTTGATGGAATGAAGATAGATGTTGTGTCAGAATACAAATATCTAGGGATTGTGTTTACACCAAAACTGGCATGGATTAAAGCAAAACATACTCTGGTACAACAGGCTGGAAAGGCATTGGCAATGTTTCAACAAACTGTGTAATCAAGTTGGGTATTTACCACAATGACATTTAGTATCATTTAAATCTTTTGACACCACGATTAATCCAATCATAACATATGGGGCAGAAATCTGGGGATACCAGGTCCCTGATTTAGTAGAGTCAGTACAAACCCAGTTTTGTAAAAAAAAATCTTAATGGTATCTCAGAGTGCAAGTACGGTAGCAGTCCTAGGAGAATGTGGTCGATTTCCAATATATATTGACTGCTTTGTTAAGTGTGTTAAGTACTGGATAAGGTTACTATACATGAGCAGTGATCGACTGCCAAAAGCCTGCTACAATATGCTCCTAAAATTAGACAGAAATGGGAGAAAAACTTGGGTTTGAGAAATTAAAAACATGCTTTACTGCCGTGGATTTGGTGAGGTGTGGGAAAGACAGGGGTGTGGACATTTTGAGAACTTCATTGTGCTGTTTAGACAAAGATTACTAGATAATTATAGGCAGAACTGGAGTAGTATGGTACACAATTCAAGCAAACTTCAGGTTTACAGTACTTTCAAATTGGAATTAGTGTACGAGAGATATCTGTCAGCAGTAACAATAGTTGAACACAGGAGGTGTATGACCAAATTCCGAATTTCAAATCATGATTTGAGTATTGAAAAATGTCGACATAGTAATGTTGTAAGAGATGAGACTATGTGAGCTCTGCCTGTCTAATGGTGATGTGTATATTGAGAGTGAGGAACATGTGTTAAAGTACTGCATATGGTACAATGAACTCAGGAAAACATAAATGCCAGAAGTTAATAATTATCTATCTATGTCAGCATGTTTATCTTCTCAGGATGATGACTTCATCAAAAGAATGTCAGTTTATTTATATAGATGTAACAGGGACAGAAAAAATTACCTAAAAGACATAGAACAGTGATAGAAATGTGCAAAGCTCTTATGATAAATTTAGTAGTGTATACGTAGAGACACGGTATTGATTCAACTATATGTTTATATATGAATTTGTTGATGTATATTATAATAGTTATTTTTGCACAATGCACAATGTGATCAAATAGAATGGATATGGTACTCTTGGCCTGCTGGCCTAAAATACTGAAAATAAAGAACTTTGAACTTTGATAATTGACCTATATTTCTTTTTCAAAATTTTGGAGGCAGAGGTCGATCACTACAAACATACCTGATGCAGCCGCCTAAAATGATTTCCTATGACATTCTTTGCCTCCTGAAAAAGAAAACAGATATTTATAAGTATAGTCCAGCCTTCAGCAGTTGCCACCAACTGTTTACCTTACAAACAATGTGCAATGCAGGATATTAGGCCAATGCCAAGTTCAAAAACTTTTATAGAGAGAAAAAAGTACTTATTACAAAGTACTGGACATTCTTTTAAATGACATTACTTTTCAATAGTTCAATTTTTTTAAGATAAAGGACAATTGGTTTAGCTATAAAATTAAAACTCTTTATGTTGACAATACTACTGATCATTGATTGATTTTAGGCTCTAAATAAATCAATCAATAAATAAATAAATTAATTAATAAATCATTATCATATACCAACCTCCAGTAATGACAGGTTCTCCCCAGATAATGTCAGCTGACCTTGATCTAGGTTAACTTGTAAGCTGTAAATCTGAAATGTTTACAGAGGTATTCAACAGTCTATTACAATGTAAACTTACAAGCATCTATATACAGTTCATTGTATAAAACATTTCCTCCATGGAATTTTTCACATCTTATCTTAATTTGTACTCTACATCTAATTTCAAATAATATTTACACCCAAGATAGGTCAATGCATACTTTTTAATTGATGAATTAGCTACCCAACTGCATGGCTTTTGGCAAGTAAAAACAAAAATCAGTAATTATGCTTCCACTCAAATCATACATGGTATGGTGAATTACTGGGTTTGGAGGTCAAGGGCAATGTTTGAAAATATATTTGACTTACTCTGTAGAAGCAATCAGCATTTATTAACACTTCATTAACCATTTTTACCTTTGTCTCATCTGCCAGTATCTCTTTAGTGCTGTCACCACATGGCAAATGCCCGATTATTCCATTCTTAGGCTCAGGGGTATGACTCCTCATGTCCTTAGTCACAATATAGTTACTATTAAGATCGGGGGTTGGGGAAGGCGTGAGGCTTCCAGTAAAACTTGGAGAGCGCGACCTTGAGGAGAGAGAGAGATTGCGGGAACGCAAGTTCCCTTCAGTGAGCTGGTTACTGACATCATCTAAGGCTGTTTGCAGGTTTTTCTTTGCTCCTGAAACAAACCTCTTGTCCTGAGCTTCTTGAATCATCTACAAAAAATAAATAAAATACTGAACAAGTCAGATCTATCTCAAGGAGCTTTGTACAATATCAAGAAAGTAAGCATCAGTGCATGAGCCTGTAGCCCATACAAAGTACAGCACATGTTTAAACTCTGTTTAAACTCTACCATATAGCCTTAAATTGACAACTTCATCTTTTTTGTGAAATAAACAGATGCCTTGTTTTTTCAAATTTTACATGTAGTTTCTGAACCTCAACAATATCTTTATTTACCTAGTCCATGGCAAACTTACATATATACAACGCATTTATTTACAAAATTTTGTTTCTTTCTACAGATTTACATAAGATGTCTTTGAGAAAAACCAAAAAATTTCATTCATAAAACTTTACATCTACAACAATATCTCACCAAAGTTTTATCTATTTTGAGACAACAAAAGTTCAATCACTTAAAGGCAACACATAATTTTTCTCACAAAATTTTACGTTTCTCAACACAGATCCTTTTTTTATCTGATTTACATACAACTTACCCTATATGCATCAATGTCATTATAATCCATGGCCACCAGTTTCTCTATCAACTCCACCGCATCACTAAAAAGACAAAGGCGTTTATGCAAATCGTATAGAACTGCCAATATGTGGTACCTACTCTAACCAGCTAGGTACCATCATAACTGAATAATAAATACACCTGTGCACACTCCATAAAATATGAGAATGAGACTGCCTGGTAAAATTGAATCCAGGCTTATAGGTGAAATTTGGTGGGCCAAATTATATAACAGTAAAAAGAGCATATATCATTGAAACTCATTTTCCTAATCTAAAGGGTGACAGGAATAAATTAATAAATATGAAAATATATGTTTCATACAAATTATTTATATGTCTATCAGACTGATGATTAAAGAAATGTTTTTTTTTTTTTTTTTTTTTTCATACCAAAATTATATTGAACTTTATTCGTTATGGCAAAGTTTACTAAATTTGATAAAAAGATTTTAATTAAAATCTTACAGAATGTCTTCTTTGGTCTTGGCAGTGATGATGGCATCTCTTTCGATTCTATCTTGACCTAAATCATATACATTCAAATTACTTTTCTGAATAATTTTCAAAATTGATATGTGACAACATATTTTGGCCCAAGTTTGTCAAGAATTTCAGTCAATATTGAGGAACATTTCTGTCTAAAGTCCTTTCCCTTTTCAATTGATTTATTACAAGTACTTCAACATAATAAATATACATGTTACTACATGCTAGGTATCATCAAAAAGAAAACCAAATCTTACTGAAAACGAATAAACCATTTCAACTATAAATGTGCTTTGATGATATTCATTCAAATTTATATTAAAAGTTCAAATCAAAAACAAATATCTGATAACTAACACTTTGTAATGGAAATAATTGTATCAGTGGCACCCTCTATCAGCTTGATTCTCGCTCCTGCAACTCCAATTACTGAAAAACATAATGTTAAATGCATTTTTAAAAATCCTTCAAACAGTAAATTGTGGAAAAGTCAGATTTTTTTCCTAACATTGTTTTTCTTACAGCCATGTATAAAGGCAACCCTTATTCCTCAAACATATTTCATATTAAAACATTACAAACCTTTTCCACACTGCTGGTATGGAATTCCAATGTCAAAAACATACTCATCCTTGTCTGGCTTTCTGGAAAGAGAGGAAAATGCTGAAGATGAGCTGACATCTATATAATATGCTTCCCATATTCAAATTTAACTTTCACTCAAAGGATCAAAATTTCCCAGTTCTGTTTCATGGAAGGGACACACTGTATTTCTATAATAACCTTCAAAACCTAATAAATCACATTTTTTAAATGATAAGTATGACTCCACTGAAAATTAAAAAGAGTCTAGAAATGTCCCATTGTGATTACTTCTTAGGGCTACTGTATTTCTGCCTCAAAGCCGTGCCAGGGCTCCCACTTCTATTTCTGGATTTCATTTGCTGATCATCTCCATGAGACACTGCTGCTGATTGGACAGGTGATACTGTCCCACTGACAGCCGACTGGACAGGGGAACCTGCTCTGTTAAATGCTAACTGGACAGAAGACTTCACATGATCATTGGCTGATTGGTCTGGATATCTTGAGCTGGACAGTTGGATGACTGACTTATCCACATTGACAGTTGATTGGAGAGATGGTCTCACATGACTGATGACAGGTGGGATGTGGGCGGAGCCTGCCACACTTGGGTCTGGAATTTTCTAAATTGAAAAATCAGAAAATAAAGTTCCAACACTGAAAGTTATCTTTGATCAATAGTTTAGTGTACCATAATTCTTGCTATCATGTCTTATCTCCCACAACCTGTTTAAACAATTTCTGTGTGCAATTTTTTGATTTGGTTTTAAACTAGCCCTTAATCCCACTGACGCGCCCCCATCTGTGGATGGCATCTGGTGCTGTTCATCTCATTGTTTTGTAATCTTGTGTATTAACTCCTCCCACGGTCACACCACTCCCTTAAATGCCACCTTCTAACTTCTGTCACTGCCTGACAAGAATAGTAGTCCTATGTAGAGCAATGAAAGTCCACGGTCCCATGTGATAAGTGAAGGCAAGGGTTTGCTGGAAGCATGTATCCAGTTCAGTATATAGGACAAATATCACCGGTTAAAGGAAAAGGCTGTAAGGTTCCAAAGAGATTCCCACTATTTTCACATTGTATATAGGTTTCTTGATATCTAACCACTCCCAATGCCACACCCCTCTCTCTAGCCACACCCCACCCACCTGTCTGAGAGCCATCTCCTGTTGCTTCTTGCTATAGTGTCCCTGGGTGACATGGTCTGGCCCAGCCCACTTCCTGGCCCTGGCCTCCAGCACGTCCATAACTAACACTCTGGCCTGAGAGCTGAGACACTGGTCCTTCGCAGCCTGACGTATTGTGTTGAATATCAGGTTGAGGGTAGCTGAAATGAAAGGTGTGGTCATCATCAACATGGACTGACTGTACAATTTCAGTGAGAACCAACTTTATACTAAGGGAGGTGGAGGTTTTAAAAATTTGCATTCAGATATGATTCAATGACTGCTTCATCTTTAATGGAAAGGTGCTCAGATTACTAATATAGGCAGCAATTAATGATTAAAATTGAAGCCGAGAATACAGGTGACAGAAAAATAAGTATCTTATAATTAAAGAGCCAATTTGTAGTCAATGAGAGTGACAACAATTATACATGACTTTTGGTCACTTACTGTGAAGCGAAAAAGTATCAAAGATTGAAATGCCACATTTCAAATAGCTGGGTGGCTTAGTCCATTATTGCAAAATAAAGGGTAGTGTGGGAGTAATAGATTCTAATATAAATCGTTAAAGATTTCATTTGCCATACTACCAGTATATATGTATGCGTTTTTGAATAATATCTTAAGTTGAAAATTTGAATTTCCGTGGCAAGTTAAGTGCTTCTTTTCCATTAAAAGTCATTTTTTCTTGTTCTTGTTTCCTACTAATTAAACTCCTCCACACCACATGAAAAAACTTCGAATCAGTTCTCATTATGAAGTATTATTTTACTGTATATAAACAACAAACTATATTAGCAGAGCCGCAGTCCGTAATGGTTAAATGAATTTAAATGTTATATTCAGTCTACTCGTAACTCAGGATTGTGTAGAATGGCTAATTTCGTGGAGGAAATATTGTGGAGGATTCGCAACTGGCTTGACTTGTGCAGGTGCGATAAATAACGATAAAACATCTTCTTTGGAAATAAGACATTTAGAAAGGTCAAATGATTTTAACGCCTAAGATATGATTTATTTTAATTAAAGGGACATTTTATTGTGCAAATAAGTGATAAGTATATTGATTCTCCAAATTTAGTGAAATCTTCAGACCTACTCTCTGTATTGGAGAATATGACGTCAGAATATGGCTGACTTCTAGCGAAATAGAGTCAAAAAGCTCACTTCAACAGCTCACATAAAAAGTTGCCACATTAAATTTCGATGAAACTTGACGCATATTTTTCTTATTTAAAAATCCACATTTTACAGACTTTACTAATACCCCATTCACACTACAGTTGCAAAAATGCGCATTTCTATAATCCGAATTTTTCGTGAGGAATTCGATTCGGTATTGCGTTCACATACGCTAAGCGAAACCGAATTACATGTTGAAAATTTCAGGTTTAACTTCCTATTTTGAACACTCGCGCATGCGCCGCACAGGAAATCTTAAAATACCAACAAAAATTTGTGACGACAAATGCAACTCTTAAGACATTCCAGCATTCTTGAGAAGTATAAGATGGCAAAATAAGTTTATTTCCTCATGTTGTAGTGAGTGGTGACCTCCAAATATGTTTGGTGCAATCCCTAAAGTAATGAACAAGCGTTCATAGATACCCGCACTTATCTGCACACATGCGCAGTTAGATCTGTACAGGCGTCGATTCCGGTAAGTTATCCGGATCGCGCTTAGAAATCCACCTCGCTTGCAGGATTTTGAAAATGCGCATTACAAAAATCCTCTTGCGTTCACACTACTGCATTTATTCGAATTGTGACCTAATTCGCAATTTATCCGGATAACTGAGCGTAGTGTGAACGGGGTATAAGACGTGTTATTTCTAATAAAGGAGATATCTCAATTTGTTACAGTGTTGCTACGGCCAAAAATTGATCCGTTGGCTGACTTCCTCGAGTTCTAGCTCATTCATTTCTACTTACTTATAAATAAATTGCAGACGTCGAGACGCGTAGTGAACTCTGCTATCACGTCATAATTCTTCACAAGCACGTATGAGGGCAATTAAGCACAATTCATGAATTCCCGCGATGGTTACACAATTTACAAAATTTCAACCACGACTTCATCTCAGCGCACGCGCTCTGTTCTGAGGATTTTCCTACGCGCAGCCAGTTGCCATATGACTGAAATTAAAACAGTATCACTTTTCCACAGGTGTCTTTTGAAAAATATTAAAACTCAAAACAATTGTCTTCAGTAAGTTAGGTTAGTCATACATGTTATTATTGGTTAATAGCATACTCATTTAAAATTACATTAACATTGTCATTTTCATCCACCAAGGTGGATGCATATGTTACAATGAATAAACTATAAAACATATGCATGATGTACTTAAGTTCCAAATAATTACCCTCATTCCTGGTCTCCAGTTCCTTCCCATGCCTCTTCAAGGTGGAGCACAGGTTGCTGACCTCCTGAAGTGATGCCTTTCTGTCTGACAGTTTATACACAATCTGTTCTGCCTCCCTCAGACTGGACAACACTATAATGTTATTATCTTCCTTAATTGAAATTACTTAAAAGATAAACTGTGAAACATGAATTCATTAAGGTGCAATATGCTATGTACACAAAATTAAATGAATCACAGTTCAACAAGTGTCAGATGGAAAAACATAAATACACAGTGTACTAAAGTTGAACATTGTGAAAAAACTATTATTTATTAAAAGAAATAAAAGTCAAATAGAATAAATGAAGTAAATAAAATAATACTTCAATGCACGTGTTGTCTATATATAGTTATAGGGTAGGCCGGTATGTGCATGAGTGAGGAAGTTAAGTTATTGTTAAGATAATTAAAATAATAAGACCTGCAGTATCTTGCTGTATCTTCAGTGGTCTGGGTTTTTCCAGACTCCCTCCATGTAATTTCTTCATCCTCGCGCCACGCCCACGCCCTGCCATGATGATACCACTGACTGATTAACTCTACCTGTAATAATAATAATAATAATAACAATAATAATAATAATAATACTTTTCTTTCTGATTTTCAATACATATTCACAACATTTGTATCCTCATTTCATTGCATCACACTCTTAACTGTAAATTGTGACTACTAATATTTAAACCACGGAAATTCTATTATCTTAAAGAGCTTCTGACACTTTCCAACATATCTAATACATAACAACATACTGCTGGATATATATAAATGTGCAGCTTTAGTTCTTCTCCATGGTAAAGGTTATGTTTCAAAGGAAGAAGCATCAATTAATCCTGACACCCCAGCTCTTTAAAACCTCAAATTCTCACAAATTCACCAGAAATCAGTCATTTCACCATAAAATTAGCTAACTAACTGGACAAACAACGAAACAAAAATTTTAACTAGATCAAGGATATATTTGACTAAATGCTTTAAAGATTTTTAACTTCCCTAAGCCACAAGGCTTAAATTTTACGACCAGTACATAAAGCCTGGACACTGAGGTATACACAAACAGCCAACAGTCTGGGAATTTTATCTAGATCATGAGATGTCTGCATCAACATCTAATGCACCAGTCTAATTACTAGCAGCTTCCCTTTGAAGTCTAGATTATTGAGGGGTCACTGCAACTTCTTGCATAATTGGTATTTTAATTGATTCTTTACAAAACAAGGGTCTGTTTACAGCTGTTAAATATTACATTTTGCAACTTGCCTTTAATGTCAATGTGTCTGGGAGTGAAAACAACCTGTTCCTGCAGAGTATGGTTATAAATTTATATCAAAACAAAATACACAAAGCAACTGGAAAATTGAAATGTAATTAGCCACTCTTATTTCAAACTCGGAGTCCATTTGAACAAATTTGATTAAATTAAGGTCAATATTAAAGGATATTATATTCAGACACATTCTTTTCAGCATTTATCAAAAGTCATTATCATTTATCAAAAATCCAGAGTAAATCTGATTTGGACAAAGCAGTTTTTAATGTGGTAAATGTACACACCCTTGCTCTAACCAGTGGCTATGTTAAAACAGGTGGTTTATTTCCACTACAGACGTCATCTCAGGCACCGTATCACTTTTCCACAGGTGTCTTTGAAAAATATTAATACTCGATAACCAGACACTGGATTACTGATGATAAGGGACTTAAAAGCTACAGGTCTGATTTTACAAAAGAAGTTTAACCCAAATATTGGTCTTCACTTTTACAAAAAAAAAAACATTCATGTTTAACCAAATAATAAGTTTGGTCTTCACCAGATTACTTAAAGCTGCACAAAGTGGAATGGACACAGACATGCTGAAACTGTCGGTGCGATCGGTCATGACCAGGAAAATTTGTCTGGACCGGAAGAAAATTGTACTTGGTCGGTCCAAAGGCCTTTTTTTATCATCACACAGAGAAAGCAGCATGTAGATTACTGCTTTGGGTACCTGCACATGGCTCATGGCACACACAAAGGGAAAATGTTATGTCCACCTTTTCCTTGAGGACACTGGCTTGGAGAACATAAATGTGCTTGCCAGTGTCATAGAGGATTGTAGGATCTGGAAATCTATTTATGCTGTTGCTTAATTAATGATGTTGACGGGTCCACCATCAATAAGATTGATTGATTTGGTTTTCTCTACTTCTATGGTCTAATTAAGCTACTCCTAAAATGAATACTCCCTCCTTAATCACTAATCACCAAGATATATTCAGGCCAATCACCAAGAATTCCTGAATCACAGTTCACGCAGAATATTGGGCTCAAATAATGCATCACGCTTGAAAAATAAGACCAATCATGCGAAATGCAAAAGGTATTTCCTACCCTCTATCATAGACTGGGGATTGGGGTTGGGGCTGATCTGCCTGATGGCAATAATTCATTAATCACAATCGATTAAGAATAAAGTAGTAATTAAGCAATTAAGATGTGGTCTCACTATAAACAATTTATGGATGATTAACAATTTTTTATAACTTTTTTGAGACATAAAACTGATCCAATGTTTCAAGTAATTCTTTTCCGATTGCAGAGGTTTAACAATGTTTTCAGAATACATGTATTTTAAAGGGAGAGATGTAGTGCAGACATTTAAAAGTTTATGACATTGAGTAATGCGGATTTTTCTGCCATATGCAATAATATTTATGAATTTAGTTTTAGTTTAGTTTTGTTACATGGGAAAGCTGACAAGTTTATGAGTAGACAATAGGAAACATCTTAGTCTATCTTTGAAATAAGAAAATTAACTGATATCAAATAGTCGAACAGAAAAACCGTAGCCTTCCGGCTTCGGTTCCCAAAAATACAAAATAATGCCGTCATTTGAACTTGTCGAGCACAATTTTGGCAGAATTTCCCACCGCTTATCGCCTTTCCTACGACAAATTAGTAATAGAGATCATGTATAACTAAATAACTGCTTTATGGAAGCTCAAAACAGTGAATATGAAGAAAAAACTCACCTAAATATTACTCTACCTCCTTCCTCGTCTGCCAGAAATGTTACATGCATCTGCAGCACTTTTCTCCCGGCGTGATAAGGTTGTGACCAATCAAATACAAGGTGAAGGTCGATTTAAAGTTTTGTCTTGTCTAGGTTGGGTGGACACGCCAATTTAACTACATTTAACAATATTGTATTTTGATCCTATGGAAGTTTCTTATTTTCCTTTCTCTTCACTCCATTTAATTTTGCATACGATTTTTTCCTGTTTATTTATCCTCTTATTCTGCACGAGATTATATGTAATAATAAGTAATAATAATAAGTTTATTGAGCACTAAATGGTATAAATACATTTGCAGGCTCACTAGGCTACATTATTTACACAATATATAAAGGATATACATTCATATATGTTTACATATGTATTATGCTTAAATTACACGTGTTAAAGTATGTTATGCTATAAGGGTAATTAATTAGTTAAGCTATATACAGCATTATCAACAATTAGTGGCTGTGATGTACTAAATTGTAGGTGAACTATATATATTTTAACAGCAGTTTTTACGAATTCTGCTATTACTTTGTACCATGGCCAATAGGAGCCTATACGCGTGCGTCTTTTAGACGCCCCTTTACATGCGAAAACGACAAGGCCTATGCTGCATTCGTCTTTTATTACAGAGCTTCAGTTGAAACCCTATTAACCTAAAGGGCTCATGTTACTTTCAGCCAATTAATTTGAAACAGAAGGACCGTCTTAAAACCTTTTATATTTGAATCCTTCAAAATAAAATTGTAAGGTTATATAATTATTACAAGCAATTAGCCACACTGTTATGTAGATAGCACTAAATTGTGATGGGATTCAAATGAAAAAATGTTTTGGGACAGCACTTCTGTTTCAAATTAATTGGATTTGACATATAAGAGTTGGCTGAAAGTAACATGAGCCCTTTTATGTTAATAGTGTTTCAACTGACCCATGTCCAATAGTACATGTTGCGCGCATCTGTGTGGAGATAGATTTTGTTGGAGGTTTGTAAGAGTTGAAAGCGACATGACTCTCAAGGTCACGTCAACTTTGTTTATAAGGGTCTACTTATTCAGCTGCGAAAACCACACGTCATGCCTATTTCATGTTTTATAACAGTGCCATTTGAGAGACAAACGTGACATGGGTCGTGTCAACCTCGCATCTAACGTGTTCAGTATGTGGCGAAAGAGACACAGCCATGTCATTTTCAGCTCTCAAAGCTCTGTAGTAAAAGACGAACTCGGCATAGGCCTTGTCGTTTTCGCATGTAAAGGGGCGTCTAAAAGACACACGCGTAGGCTCCTATGGGCCATGGTAACTTTGAGGCTTTTTATGTACAGACACAGATGTGTCTGTACATATAGCCATCACCTGCGTCTGTCGTCGTCGCCGTGCACTTTGACCACCGATAACATGATAAGTGAAAAACCGTTTTACCTTTTGGCTTGAAACTTACAGAACTGATGAGCTTTCATAATATGCAGGTCAATTAAGTTCGAAAATCAGCATGATATGGCCATCTATATGGAAGTTATGCTGTTTTTTCACTTTTTTCANTAACAATAATAATAATAATAATACTTTTCTTTCTGATTTTCAATACATATTCACAACATTTGTATCCTCATTTCATTGCATCACACTCTTAACTGTAAATTGTGACTACTAATATTTAAACCACGGAAATTCTATTATCTTAAAGAGCTTCTGACACTTTCCAACATATCTAATACATAACAACATACTGCTGGATATATATAAATGTGCAGCTTTAGTTCTTCTCCATGGTAAAGGTTATGTTTCAAAGGAAGAAGCATCAATTAATCCTGACACCCCAGCTCTTTAAAACCTCAAATTCTCACAAATTCACCAGATATCAGTCATTTCACCATAAAATTAGCTAACTAACTGGACAAACAACGAAACAAAAATTTTAACTAGATCAAGGATATATTTGACTAAATGCTTTAAAGATTTTTAACTTCCCTAAGCCACAAGGCTTAAATTTTACGACCAGTACATAAAGCCTGGACACTGAGGTATACACAAACAGCCAACAGTCTGGGGATTTTATCTAGATCATGAGATGTCTGCATCAACATCTAATGCACCAGTCTAATTACTAGCAGCTTCCCTTTGAAGTCTAGATTATTGAGGGGTCACTGCAACTTCTTGCATAATTGGTATTTTAATTGATTCTTTACAAAACAAGGGTCTGTTTACAGCTGTTAAATATTACATTTTGCAACTTGCCTTTAATGTCAATATGTCTGGGAGTGCAAACAACCTGTTCCTGCAGAGTATGGTTATAAATTCATACCAAAACAAAATACATAAAGCAACTGGAAAATTGAAAAGCAATTAGCCACTCTTATTTCAAACTCAGAGTCCATTTGAACAAATTTGATTAAATTAAGGTCAATATTAAAGGATATTATATTCAGACACATTCTTTTCAGCATTTATCAAAAGTCATTATCATTTATCAAAAATCCAGAGTAAACCTGATTTGGACAAAGCAGTTTTTAATGTGGTAAATATACACACCCTTGCTCTAACCAATGGCTATGTTAAAACAGGTGGTTTATTTCCACTACAGACCAGACACTGGACTCAGTGGAGTACTGATGATAAGGGACTTACAAGCTACAGGTCTGGTTTTACAAAAGAAGTTTAACCCAAAAATTGGTCTTCACTTTACCAAAAAAAACATACATGTTTAACCAAATTATAAGTTTGGTCTTCACCAGATTACTTAAAGCTGCACAAAGTGGAATGGACACAGACATGCTGAAACTGTCGGTGCGATCGGTCATGACCGGGAAAATTTCTCTGGACTGGTAGAAAATTGGACTTGGTCGGTCCAAAGGACCGACAAGAGTTTTAAGAACCGCAATTTTGAATTTACAGTCATCTTTTGACATACTTCACTAATAAAATTATATAAAATCCAAAGTGTTTTTTACCTTCTGTTTCAAAACTATCACTTTCACAAACAAAGTAAGCTACCCTAATCGTACTGGTAGTATCTGTCACAAAGGAATAGAGTGATTTCCGACACTCCATTCGACAAAAATCCATTCGGTCTGGCAAATTTTTCATTACTGCCGGTCCAAATGTCCAGACATTCTGAAAAGTTTTCAGCATGTCTGTGGACAAGGTGCCAAACATGAGAGCTCTATGTCACCTCTAAAATAACAGACTGCGTATTGAGGGCATCTGGCCTTTTTTTATCATCACACAGACAAAGCAGCATATAGATTACTGCTTTGGGTACCTGCACATGGCTCATGGCACACACAAAGCAAAAATGTTACCTTTTCCTTGAGGACACTGGCTTGGAGAACATAAATGTGCTTGCCAGTGTCATAGAGGATTGTAGGATCTGGAAATCTATTTATGCTGTTGCTTAATTAATGATGTTGACGGGTCCACCATCAATAAGATTGATTAATTTGGTCTAATTAAGCTACTCCTAAAATGAATACTCCCTCCTTAACCACTAATCACCAAGACATATTCAGGCCAATCACCAAGAATTCCTGAATCACAGTTCACGCAGAATATTGGGCTCAAATAATGCATCACGCTTGAAAAATAAGACCAATCATGCGGAATGCAAAAGGTATTTCCTACCCTCTATAATGGACTGGGGATTGGGGTTGGGGCTGATCTGCCTGATGGCAATAATTCATTAATCACAATCGATCAAGAATAAAGTAGTAAGCAATTAAGATGTGGTCTCACTATAAACAATTTATGGATGATTAACAATTTTTTATAACTTTTTACCCCCACCCTGTAACTTTCTGTAATTTTCACTTTTCAAACAGTTTTTTACATTTTCTTGTTCATCTATGTCAAAGCTGTTGAAATAAAATGCTTTTGTAATTACCTGTGGACTTTTTATTAGTTTTAATCACGTTTAATCCACCCCATTGAAATACAATGTTAGAATCTTCAATTTACACCCGCAGTCAATAACTTGCTGCGTTTTCGTTGGCTAACTCTAAGGTAATTTTNAGAGTCTTTTCCAATCGTGAGCATGCGCAGTTCGCGCCATTTTGTGCGGGTTTGTTTCTCAGGGGGAAAGAGTAGAAGGGGCCTTCGGTACTTTTGTAGTATACCCCCCCCTCACCCTGTAACTTTCTGTAACTTTCACTTTTCAAACAGTTTTTTACATTTTATTGTTTATCCATGTCAAAACTGTTGAAATAAAATGCTTTTGTAATTACCTGTGGACTTTTTATTAGTGTTAATCACGTTTAATCCAGCCCATTGAAATACAAAGTTAGAATCTTCAATTTACACTCGCAGTCAATAACTTGCCGCATTTTCGTTGGCTAACCCTAAGGTAATTTTATGTGAACAAGTAGCTCATAATAACTTCACAGAGGAAATCCAAGTATACAATGTATCAATCCTATGTTCACATAAAATAAGGTAGAGTTAGCCAACGAAAACGCAGCAAGCTGCGGTTACATTGTAAATTTTCACATTGTATTTCAATGGGGTGGATTAAACGTGATTAAAACTAATAAAAAAGACCACAGGTAATTACAAAAACATTTTATTTCAACAGCTTTGACAAAGGTGCAAAAGACACTGTAAAAAAATGTTTGAAAAATGAAAGTTTCAGGAAGTTACAGGGTGGGGGGGTATACTACAAAAGTACCGAATGTCCTATCTTTGCTGTCGATGAGGTACGTTTTTAGTTCTTTCATTGAAAAGTCATCAGGTACTTCTGCTAAATTTCTATTCCAACTGCTCCCATGAATATGTTTTCGAAAAAAATCAGGTGTTAACATGTTACGAAACTTTGAAAATTCAGATTGAAATGAGCACTCCTCGATATGGCGTCCGTCGTGTACACTCCACACTTTCCCCCTGAAACTTCAAATCCCGCAAAATCTCGAGTTCCCACGGATAATTTAGCGGAAGTCACGTGACCGTGGAAAAGACTCTATTGTAAAGTCAAAAACTGCAACATACTATTTTAAAAAATGTCTTCGCCAAGTCTCATAGTATTTCAAAAACACGAGAAAATCGAAATTTGGAAATAAGACAATGAT